TAATCCTAAAACTGGCCATTGATCATTTTCAAAAATTGTGCAACTTAAAAGTAGTTAAAAGTTACCTGTTTTGTGCCTCTGGAGTTACAGTGTGATTTTATGGCTTTTGTTGCTGTGTAAATTGAGAGGTTTGTTGATGTCAAAATTAAATAATCTATATGCCTTTTTATTAAAAGAAAAAAACAGAAAAAAATAAAAAGAACTACGTTTGGCTGCTTTGTTGTTTTAACAGGGAATAGTAAAATCCAAGCAAAGTGTAATTAATTCATCTAGAAAACTCACAAAGATCAGAGGAAATTGACCCTTTGCTGTCAGTAGAATCAATAATGTTGGTTTCCAGGATTTGCCAGGACCTAATGGCTTCTCTAACCTTAATGGAGATGAGGGGAGGAGGAGGAGCACTTATTGAGCTATTTGGAGGTGTAGTTTTTATTTAGGAGTCAACCCCTCATTTCTTGGGTCTTGGGTCAGCTTGTAGATGTTCAAAGATGTACAGGGACAAACAAAAAGGATTTGGGAAATCTAAAGGCATACTAAAGCTGCTATGGGGGTCCATGTCAAATTTGTACCAGGCGTAACGCAAACATTAGCCATTAGCAAACAAAAGTCAAATCTGTAATTACATATACACCTATATTCCAACAGAGATTGCCAGCTTTGAACCTGTGTTATTTTGGGTTATGTTAACATATTAATAAGTACAAGAAATGTTTTGTCACCTTTTTAAATACTAGGCTTACGTTATATTTGTATGCTTTGTTTTGTAACTAAAAGGCCTTCTTCCCTTTCTGCTCTCACTGACGTCAAATAACAGCAGGGCCTGTGAACACCAAGGTGACACACAACAAGTTGATTGATGTCGAAGTGCAGATGCGGTGATGCAAACATGTTTTTCAATTGTTATTTTGGCTCTCGTCTTTCTTGGCTCAGCTCATTGCCTTTTGTTAATTTGACAGGCTCAATAAACGTGTCCCCAGCCTGCCCCCAAAATACTATTTTCTCACACTCAACCAGCCATAACCAGCATCTCAACTCAGTGCAACCGAGGGAGGTGACCCGTAGCCCTCCCTGTGTCCACCCGCCTATTAGTGTTACACCGCTGAATCAGCCCCCACCTGTGTAAAGACGTCAGCGAGCTTTAAACACTTTTTAATGTCCCATTTGCATCAGCGTGGACAAATATAGCATGTGAGCGTGTGACGGAGGCTAAATTGAGTAAGGACGTGCGCATACGTTTGTGGTCTTAGTGATGTGGGATGGGGCAGGTGTGTCACTGTCTGTGGGGAGGGAAAGGAAAATACGGATAAAACCTCATTAATGACTCGCGGCTGAGCTACTGGTTTTGTGCTCGGTCCCAAAGGATGGACACGGCTCATAAATAAGACCCTGATTTGCACACGGCTCCCTCCCAATGTCAGAAGGTGAAAGGAAGACCTTATCAAAAATACATGGATCAAATATGCATTAATGAACAATATAAACCATTTTTAAAATATTCACATCACACACCGAAATATTAGATTCAAGCTCTCTCTTTAGTCTAGTATTTTTAGACCAATCTTGACAATGATTAATTAACCATTTTCAATTCACTAAAATATGCATGGGCACATGACTTTTCTTTTAGTGCGACGAGGAAATCCAAATGGACTTTTCTTTTTAAATAAGGACAAGTTATTTGCAATTGATTTGAGGATTGCAGTTGAATTACCGATTTCTGGTTGATAAAAATTTATGGAAGAAAGTACTTTATCGTTTTAAAAATAGTGCTATTTACCAGGGCCAAAGATATGATATTCCATTCAAACACAATATTACATCCTCAGTGGACTTCTGTTTCTATCTTTGCTAAATTGTTCATGCCTCTTTTCATTATAATGTGTTCCCAGCCTATCTACTAGTCACACAGCCCCACACGTGAGCTGTCCATGGTGCTCAATGAAAGATGGCTGCGTAAGAACACAGAAGCACCTCCCAGATGCACAGATAACCCAGCCCTCTCATTACTTCAAAAATTCCATTGATTCATGATATAGACGGGGCTTTTTTGTCAATTGGCTTTCCTCCAAATTTTCAAAATACTGTCTAAGAAAATGAATGATTGTTTAAAAAAAAAATCAATTAACTGTACAGTCCTGTAGCATCGACCCCACATGCTCTAGGTAGACTGTGATTGGTTAAGCCCGAGCAGTATGGTTCCTCCTGTGGTAAGGGTTGGGGAGCACGATTGGCTGCACATGATAGCTCTTTGCACTGTCCGCACGGCTGGTATAAATTTAGCTGCTCACATCCACACCTCCTCCTCGTGTGTATAGCAACATTCCACCTTCTCGGCAGGAAGTGCGTCAAGACATTGTCAAGGAGGGAGCCAGCCCGCAATCAGGAAGTCACGAGGCCAACCATTAAGAACACAAATGTATGATATAATTTGAATTCAGCTAATAATCTTTATCTCTTATTGAGTTGATGTAATTTTGTTTTAATTGATATCTTCTACTGTTTGGCTTCTACCAGAAGAAAACAATTAACCACACTCTATGGGCAGAAATTACATAGCCTCTCAGTAACATCATAGCAACAGGTGTGAGGCTTGTTTGTTCCCATTATTTGCTAGACCAAGCCGACTTTGGGGATCTAGGGCACCATGTCGGTTATAACTGGTCATACTTTGATCTGCAATATTAGGACAATATCAAAATGAAAACACCATGATCACTTACAGCGTTAAACAAGCCAAATTTAGAAGCATTTCTAGTATTCTTGCTAGCTCTGATAGCTCAGTCTGTCCATCGAGAAAGTGCAGTTTAAGAATATGTTATCGAACAGCTTCCCCCGTATAAATATTTTATTTGTCATAAAATGCGTCAATATTTTATGACAAATAAAATATGTTTTCATTGCCGAACTTGTCATACAGTGACAACATATGTGTGAGTAAAAAGCTCATGCTATCTGTTGTCCTGACTCCTTCCACTGTTATTACCACATCATTGATAGCTGCCAATTTTTATTCAGGTTTTGATAAAAAAATTACCATCTTTTGAATTTTGGCCCCAACAAATGATCTCCCTCTATGCAATGCACAGAACAGTAGTAGTGGTTGAATCACTGCATATTGATTGATTTGATATTTAGTTGTTTGCAATGTACATCCTCTCAGCCTTAAAAGATTTGCTAATAAATGCAACTTTAAAGCAAATTTGTCAGTATTACTTTGCAGCTCTCGCCTAAATCCATCCAAATAATATTTGTTCATTTGTGTGAGTGTCCTCTGTGCTTGGTGGTGTCCAGATGGAAAGATGTGTGAGAGGATGCGAGCCGGGTGCCTTGGCTGAGGGGGTATTCTCCAAAAGCCACGCGTAGAGCCTTTCTTTTGTCCTCTGCTCCGCGGGGTGACACACACACTCCAAATCTCATTAAAAAGCGAGAGATGGAGAGATGGGGGAGGGCTTGTACAGAGAGTGAAACAGGAAAGCATAAATAGAAGTATCTGGTTACATCTAAGTTACATCCAGTATTGATAAGCCATTCATACAAATGTCACTCTTTGTTAAACATGTATATAATATATTCTCACCACCGCATTGATTTTGTGCAGTGGGCCTTGCTATGTCTATTTTTCTTCAGTGAGGTGACAGGTCTGATGGAGAGGTCCCAAACACAAGGACAACCCTATCGTTGTCAGCTCTTTTGTCCCGTGTTTAGTGACAGAGGCTCACTGCCACTGCTGATCAAGATAAACCAATTACCTACAACAATACCAGTTAAACAGTTTGGATCTAAAACAGCCCTTTATATTGTCCAGTTACACCATTTACCGTAATTGCTGTATGAAAAGCCCAAGCTCCAACCCTCCGCAACAACCTGCAATTTACACATTAAGGTTCAAATTGCAGAGAAATTACCGACAATTGCTCTGTATCCACTGCAGTGACTGTAATGGCCTCTCACGAACAAGAGAGTAGCATTTTACCTTTGAGTATTATGCTGTTGTAAACGTAGGTGATGTGTATTCAATTGACTCTGTTTTGCTGGTGGGTGGAAAATGACTGTTATTTTAAGCTGAGAGCAAGTAAATACAGACATTTACAAAAATATACACTGGCCTGACTGCACCATGCACCGTGTTTCACTTGCACCTATGAACACTAATCAAACTTCTGTTGATGTGTCTTTACCTGCAAAATACTGTCTCTGGATTTAATGCTATGTCTATCTTGATCTACACTTTCTTCTTCTTCACTATTTTAGTCAGATCTTTAAAAAGCACTATGTGGATTATGCTTTTATAACATTTGAAAATCCTCAAATGTATTCTAACTTTGAATGTTGTAATCAACTAAAGGCATGGGAAATTTTGTTTCAAGTGCCTTTTGGAAAAACAATCTTTATCTTCTCTCCATCTGCAATGAATTGTGTGACTTGTGCGATACAATACATGTCACAATACGATACAATGTGAAAGATCCCGATGCTAAACTATGTGGTTATAATAACTTAAACAGATCTTTTCTTGTGCGTCTCATTGGTGAGCAGGAGTTAAGAGCAGGACATTAAATATTGAAGATGTGTATAATACGTCTTCAATACAAAATTACTTTTTTAGAAACATGATTTTTTTAAACAGTTTTTTATCACAATATATTTTTGAACAATAACCGATATTTTCGAACAGCACTATGACTTTGTAAGCAAAATTCATAAAAACTACCTCTCAATATTGAGCCAATGGAAGTAATGATGGTAAATATAACTAGCCAGTAAATAATACCAGGACACACTAATCTAATATAATATATGTAAACAATTTTGTCAAGGTGTCTGCTGTGTCATTTTGGTCTGTTCAAAATAAACAGATTTGACTTGAAAGATTGTAAACAACAGCCTTCTTAGTCTGTCCCTTATATTCCTTCACATTACTTCAATCCCACGTCCTCTGATTTACTACACAGAGTAATACAGAGAAAACATCTGCCCTGATCTATTATTTCTTTGTACATTCAGACGTTTCTTTGAGGACAGCCCTGACAAACCACCTGCTGCGTGCCCACCTCTGTGCCTGAATACCAACACAGTACAACAGTGAACTGCAGATGAGCTGAACTTTCCCTCCCCTCATAAAGGCTTCCCCCTGTCATTCTTCAGCGCTGATAAGACTGCGAGTGAGTGACGGCTAACTTGATGAGGGCGATAAGATAATGTCATGATCTTTCTTTTATCATCCCTCCGAGCTGCGTGCACTCTGGCCCCCCGCCCCCACAGAGCACGGCTTCAGCCGGTCACTGCAGCACGGTGAGTCAGACTGCAGAGACTCTCCGTCTCAATGATATATCGCATGAGTCACACATATCGAGCACTTTTTAAACTTTCATCCAACCTCCCGGCACAACATCACCACACTCGGTACATTGAGTAGTGTGCACATGTACGCTATAAAGACACGCCAATTTGCCTGTTTTTCTCACCTTGCACCTCTTCTACGAACCGCGTAAACAAGCACATTCAAATGGGTCTTGACCGCTGCTGCTCAAGAGGTGTGCACTGGGGCAGTAAACCTGTCAATCCCGCTGTCCACAGAGGCCACGCTCATTCCTCTGCTTGCTCTGTCTGTCAGTCTGTCTCCAGACTGGTATTTAAGCCCTTAAATCACTTCTCAAACACAGATGCACATCACGTCTCAAAAAACCTTTGAATAAGCAGACAAAAAGAGGCAAAACAAAAGCCTAGTCAAGACATATGCTTACATATTTTGTGTAATAAACTAACACAAAAAAAGATTAACTAAACATTTCAAAATATCAGAAAATAAACTCATACATTCATACAGAAACATTGATGCACATGTATTAGTCATCCCGCTTTCTATGGACCAATTGGCTCCTATGTGTTTGTTATTATTGAATTTCCTGTGTTCAATCTGTTCTTGGCGAATCGACAACTTTCTTAAGTCCTCTGAGACGACGGCTGTTGTGATATAAGGCTGTACAAAAGTAAATTGAATGGAAATGACTAGAATAGAGCAATCTGGTGTATTTACAATTACTGCTTTTCATTAATACACACTGTCAAAAGGAACGGATAAAAGAATTTGAAAATATCTGATGGGATTTTTCTAACATTGCAATTGCAGATTTGATTTGCAATTTTGTCTTTTGTTTGTTCTAATTGCACATGGAGAATTCGTATTTGCGGGAAAACTGAAAACTGCATAAAACATGACATAGTGCTTGAATTAAGTCCTATGCATCTTAATTTCTCTCATTCACCTCAAATCTACACAATTGTTGCTAGTAACCCTTGAATTTCGTAATCTTAATCTTAGAGCTCTGAAAACAGGGTCAGCTATTTGTTGTGAGTTAATATTTGTAGCCACTAAAATTTGGATATGGATTTTATTGTGAATCAAATATCTTTCCTGTTTTATAATTCAATTAAATCAAAACGATAACATAGTTTGATAGAGACGGAGAGAGTACTGTAAGTAGAAGTATTTAGAAGCCTACTGACGTGAGAAATGTCAAGCCTCCTCATGACATCCATCCTTCCTCGTCTGGCGTAATGAACAGCAGAGAATCAGATTGAAGCATTAACATTCTTCAAAAGGATTATTAATTGTGTCTTAACACTAATTACATCATTAATAATTAATAAGAACCATGGCATAAAGGATAAAGTATGCATGACATAAAGAGACTGGAGTTAGAAGCATTAACCAACATCCATTCTTGCAAAAATCTAATATTACATTAGCGAATATATATTCAAGAAAAAACATGGATCACTACAATGTCTGCCAGTGCCATTCATAAAAATTTTTACTGCATATGGGTCTTGCATAAATAGAGTACTAAATGTATAATCAACAGCAGCAGAAAATGTTCCAATAATGATTTCACCAGTGTTTTTGCTCTGGTGCAAGTGCGCAGATTCACTCATCTATTTGTGTATGGCATCTTTGTCATACACATCTTTTGTCACTGCCTCTGGAACTGAGATCAGTTTCTATGGCGACTGGATGCTCTGAAGGAAAAGTGTCAGAAGAGAGAAATGTGGTTGTCAGGAGACTCTGTGGAGTAAAGACCATAGAATGGAGGCTGAAAGAGCAAAATAAATCTATGAGGGGCATATTTTAAAGCCTGTGCACGTTTTGAATAGAACCAACTTTCTGTTTTGTCATTGCACACAAACAATATTATCGTGTCCACTGAGAAAGAACCTCACCCCAAGCTGTGCTGTCTGCATCAGCTACTGATAGTCACCTGTATTTCTCTATGTGTAATGAATCTATCCATCTACAGTATCAACCATTGGACTCTTGACATTTGTTGTTTGTTGACATATGTTCTGTTTTAAACGATGTTCATTACAAACAAATAAATAAAGATAAGTACATACTTATAGCATACTTAATATCAGGGCAGTATACATAACCTATGGCTCATCTAAAACTATAGATTAAGGCATCCTTTGCTTGTCCCAGGAAATTGCACACAATTTTATGCAAAGATCTTAACACTGGAATTTCCCTACAGTAGTATAGGGAATATTTGATATCAATTAACTGTAGTCTCAATCTTGCCAGGATTGTAGATCACTTGAAAATGTGCGGCGCTATCACAATACTTGGCAAAAAAATTACCATTTACTTACTGTAAATTATACAGTTAATTTGTCACAGTGTTACATGGAGTAAAACCAAAGCCTGTCTTCTATGCTGTAGGTGCATAAGTCATTGAACTATAGTCATAATCTTTCTTCGTCAGTGATCCCTCATGTGGTGACAGGGGTTAAGCGACTGGCCAGTGATAATACAGCTGTTTCGGGCACTCCATCACATGATAATGACATTACAGCACTACTCCGCTGCTTGCACTCGCTCCCAGTAATCTTGTTAAAATCACAGTGATTGGACGCACAGTGACAGAGAGACGAATGGGGCTGCGATTCCTCCTTTCAACACTAACAAAGAGCCCTCTCCATGTCTGACTAAAGGTTTTCATGAGAATCAGGCTTTTGTTTGGTCGCCAAGCAGCAAATAAAGGCGCACACAGGTAATGGCTGTACTTAAACTGTTTTCATGTCATTTACATGAAATCCTTAGGTCTAAACATTTCTTCTTCCTGGCTACAATTATGACATAGTCTTAGTATTAGTATTAGTATGACATAGTACAGAATAATATCGCATAGCGTGGTATACCATAGATAGTATTCATAGATAGCTTATAATAGTATAGTATATTTAGTATTACTACACTAGAGTAGAAGTACACACTAGAATAGAATAGCACTGTATGTGTGTAATTCGCCAACAAGAGTAAATGTGCTAATTTCATTCCCGCTATAGACTTGGGCGGCACGGTGGCTGAGTGGATAGCACTCTCGCCTCTCAGCAAGAAGGTGCTGGGTTCGAATCCCGGTCGGACCAGGGCCTTTCTGAGTGGAGTTTGCATGTTCTCCCCGTGTCTGCGTAGGTTTCCTCCAGGTACTCTGGTTTCCCCTACCACTAAAAATATGTCCAATAGTTCTGGCATGTGCCTCCTGTACTGGCGACCCCGCTCCCATCTCTGTGTGGAGTGAGAGACAAATGCCCAAAATTAACAATTGTAAACCGCTTTGAGACTCAGATCTGCAGTGAAAAGGCGGTATATAAATAAAAACTTACTTACTTACTTACTACTTATGTTCCATCTGATGCACAAAGGTAATGGAGCCGCGACAACGCCCTCTGGTGGACAATGTCTTTTCACTCAAAGAATGAAGGTGAAAAGAAAAGTAATAAGAAAAGAAAAAAGAAAGAACCACTAATAAATGGATAAAACATGAGTAGACTATCTTTTTACATGAATCTATACAAAAGAAAAGATAAAATAAATATAATCAATTGGTACACCTGGCTGTGGCACAGTGTATAGAGAGGGTAAGTAATTGACATAAAGTATAATTACAGAAGGAGCAGGCCCTGCAGCACTGACCTCCTGCTCTGCCAGCCTGGCTCAGCTGACACCTACATCAGTCAAGAGCAAAACCACACGAATATTATGTATTAGTCTTTATATGAATGGCTTAAAGGCACGTTTTCCTACTGACAAGCAATCACTGAAGGAGTATGTTACCTCGCTTGGAATAAATAACTCAGGATGGGAATTATACCCACACAATCCTTTTCAAATCACTTTTACTTCCCATGTGCATTGTACCGGGGGATGCAGATTAAAACAACTATATAATAGGATTTTTTGTTGGTTTCCAAATCTAAAACCAAAAACCAGTTCATAATAGACACATTTGTCTTTGTACGCAGCACCTTCAAAAACATGCGTTCCTAATAAGTGTGTCCCATCTGATGCGCTGGGGTCCCTTTGACCCTGGGGACTCATTTGAGTGGTACACAGCACATGGGACCCAGGGCTGAATAATCGATTCCTCACCAGTGAAGAGGGAGCAGGAGGACATGCTGGATTAAGGTTTAGTTGTCTTGGCAACCTGCGACGCCATCTGTCATCTGTGTACTGAACCAAATCACTGAGACATAGTTTTAATTTAATCATGTTCTTATTGCCAGACCTCCTGCTAAAATGGATGCAGTCGTGTCAGCATGGACTTAATGAGGGTGGAGACATAAGAATGAAAACAAGACGATTTTACAGAATGAATAGTGACGTTTGGCCTTGTGAAAAACAGTGTTTAGTATGGCTCTGTTTTACAGTGGTGCCGGTCTATTTATTATCTCAGCAGGGGCCTCTGAGTCATTGTTAAGGGGCTTTAACAGGTCTTTAAATTGTCATCAGTATGTCCGCTCGACCATGCCTGCTCAAAGACAGGAAGTTATTCACCCTCTCTTTAATTTAAACCTCAACGTATGCAGAAACACTTTTGGTTTTATATTATTTTCTGCACATACACAATTACTGGTAAATGCTATGGCAATATTATGGAAATATTGAACTAAGGATCAGTTCATGTTGAAACTTTTTCCCCATCGTTATTGGCAATAAGGCAAAGAAAAGTTTTTAAAAAGCAGTTGAGTAAGTGTACAGTATAGTACAGAGTAGGCGCGTGTTCGAATTCGGAATGTCATTTACCTACGTCACACATCACGTGGCATGTTTTTAACAGGTGATTTCTAAAAAAAATTATAATTTACATGTTTTTCTTTTTTTCCCCATCATTTTTATATGGCTCTAACCTTACAAAAACTGCAATTGGTAAAATAAAATTCTAGTACTACTTTAAATAACAGTTTTTCTCATTATGTTGAATGCTATGGGGCTTTTTGAGTTCTGATAGTGTTTATATAACTAAATAAAAATGTAACACTTAATTTACAGCAGTTTAATTAATACTAACCCGTGCAAATAGGCAGGAGACCCTGATGCTCCATGGGGGAGAGGGTGTGTCTGCAGAGGAGAGAGTATCCCAAGAGACAGCTCTCCAGATGAGCAAAGAGCAGCTGTGACTGGACACAGAAAGACCTAATGCACAGAGGTTATGGATGTCACCAAACACAAGGGAACAGGACTTTAATAAAGCACACTCAAACTGTCAGTAATATTGTTCTGTGCCGATCTATCTACTCAACTGGTAGTTTGAGCTTGCAAAACATAAAGCATCAGTTTAACACAGAAAAAAAGTATACATCTATAACCATGAGCTGACTCGTCCTTTCCTCAACCTTATTTCCATGAAAACAATGTTTCTTTAAACCACAATATGACATTAATCTCCATACTGACTCCTTACTATTGGTAGAGAATATTCTAAATCAAAAGTATTAATCATGGATCTATAATACATTTTGCAGAACATCTTTCTCTGAAAATGTTAGATACTAATAATACAATGGGTTACAGGAATATCAAATTACAAAAATACTGTTTTTTTTAAACGTGATCATTTACAATGCTTTGAGTAGTTTAAGTCCAGAACAAGGATTATACAGTTATAGTAACTATGCAGATCATCTGTGTTTCTCAAAATAATTGCAAACGTGTGAAATCAAAACCTCCTTGCATGAGCCTATGTAACTTGAGCTACTTTGGTTGTAACTAATAAACTGTCAATTTCTACTTGTGTAAAGAAGTAAACTACTGAGTTACTTAGAAAATTACTTCTGTAAAATATTGCAAAAGTTACTCCCAACTATTGACTCTATGTTCTAATACTGCAGAGTTATCATACGTTTATGATAGTTATGACATGTAGCTAACGCTCACGTGTTCCTGGATCAGAACTAAACTAGTCTCAGCTGCTGCAATCTGTGCTAAACTGTGCTAAACTGTCCTAAACTGTGCATACACGACATTAGCGCTAACGCTAGCCCAAAGTCACTGTATTCTGATTCTGACTATGATGCTGACAGGTTCCAGTGAGACACAGAGGGTAATTATGATTAAATATGACTTACTTACTTAGTAGTTCAAGATTTGGCTAGTTTGACTTTGTTTCTTCAACAAGTGAAACCACACGTACACGACATAGACTGTACACAAACACACGCGCGCGCTCGTACACACTCACGGACACGTATATACACACGTGTTTACACGCACACTCACACGCACACATATATACACACGTGTATACACGCACACTCACAAACACACGCACACATATACACACACGTGTATACACGCACACTCACAAACACACGCACACATATACACACACGTGTATACACGCACACTCACAAACACACGCACACATATAGACACACGTGTATACACGCACACTCACGTGATGAACCGCGGTAAAGTTTGAGGACTGCTCTGGTTCTGGAGGCTGACTGTAAACTGACACCACTCAGAGTGCGCTCTCATGAAGACAGTATGAGGCAGACCCATAGACTGTCGGACAGACCGCGGGACCATAGACTGTGGTGAGGACTGTGGATCCATGAGGACAGGGATGTAGCTGCTCCTGAACCACAGGACCACAGGACCGTGTCTGCAAGAGTAAGTGCTGGAGGTCACACACAGGTTTTTATAGACAACTCTTTCCCAATCATTTCAAACCAAAGCAAGTTAGTTTCATTGTGACTCTAACTTCCAAATAAAAGTATTGACTTTATTGCAGACAATTTTACTTTCAGTTTCCCCGACAATTAAAAACTTAAATTTTCTAATGAAACATTGAAAATGTACGTATGTCATGCATTTTTTCAAACATGTTTCCATGATGTGAAACATTAATATATACAGTCTATGTGTGAAACATGTCGTCTTCAGTGAAGTCTGTTGCTGGGCACAGCACAGCGGGTAATAAAGCTTTCATTCCTGGTTTATTTTGTCTGGAAGAAGCCGAGAACAAGCCACAGGGCACAGTCACTTAAAGTCATGCTCCAAATGTACAACTCAATTCATGCATTGTCTCTCATTGGGCCATGTGTTAGTCTGTTGGATCATAGTACAAATACCAATATGACGATATGCAAATATACATATAATGTATTTATATAATATTTGTACTAACGCAAGTGATCCAGTGTTCCATAAACTTTTTTGTTGAAAACAATCTCAGGGCACACCACCAGCTGAAATTGTTCCACACAGGAATCTCTGCAGCCTTTATTAACTAATTAAGTCATTATCATCAAAGTTTAGCATAAAGAAAATCTAAGAAGCAAAAAAAAAATATGTTTTGAGGTTATGTTAGGTGGTCCTGTCTGAAAAGTTGGATAAGCTGTGCTGTAAACAAACATTAGGGGACCTCACCTCCTGCTCGGCAAGTCACATAATAAGATTATTGTGGTAACTGAATATGCAAACACAGAATTACACATTTCTAGCAGTTCTAATTGTGTACATGTTTCATCATGTAATTCTACTTCTCAAGAACAAAGAAGTTTTTCCACCAGGGAATTTGAGAGAAACCTTGTAGCAAGTAATATCTATTTCTTTCTTGTGTTTCTTTCGTGCATAAAGATAGTTGCCAATCCCACTTGTGACATTTTTCAGGTAGGCTGGGCTGTAATTTTTAGCTATTCTCCATAATCGCCACTTAGACAATCCAGTTTATTGGTACACCAATTAAAGGCTGTGAAATACCATTGAAGCAAATCTGACTTTGTAGACATTAAAGTAAATGAGGTGTGAAACCAAAGATACATGCTTGGGCCTGTGTGTTTTTACAGACAGACCCTCCACTCGGCAGCAGCATAAAGGAGGCTTGTGTCTGCACTAGGCCACTGTTCGACCTTTGGCTTCTCTTCCCAGCAGTGGCGTCCTGTAGCAGAGGTGTGAATATTGCACATGGATGTTTTGTTGGTAACAGAGGCGCTCGTGCCCTGCTGGTCAACCCGTAAACTCGGCTCAAAGTGGACAGGCTTCCATGTCCCTGTCTCCATCATGTATTTACAAAAGAGCTCTTCTTCCTACATGCTATCGGCCTTCCCCTGCTGTTGGCTCCAGAAGCAGATGTGTTCTCAGATCAGATTGTGTAATGTCATTATCAAAACACTAAGTTTGACAATCCAACACTTCCACAAAGCAATCTTTCTTGATTACATGATGGTATACAGACTTTATGCAACTAAACATGCACAACATGTACAAACAATTATTTCAGAGCAAAAACAGAAACCCTATGTGAATCCAATCTTCTCCCAGCCTTTCAGACACACACGACAATACACAAACAGTACCCTAAAACATAACACATGACAGTAATATGGCACACACATGTACACATAAACACCAATGGCAAGAGATACAATTTAAAAACAACAATTTGGCTTTTTAAACACCTGTGGCAATGCATTTTTAACCCTTTAATGGTTTGGTGGATCACTTTTTTGAGTCACTTTATCTAATTAAAGAATGCTTGGAACTTAAATAAGAGATAAAATAAGATAAGAAATATTTTATTCGTCCCACAGCAGTAGTAAGAGCACACAGGGAGCACACAAAAATATACAAAAAATATAGTAGCTATGTTTTTTAGCTAGCTGTAAATACTTCAAAACCAGTCTTTCAACAAAAACAAAAATATATACGGTATATATATATATATATATGTAGTGTGGAGTTATATACTGTACATAGGGCAGGATAATAAGTTGATAAAGTAAAGAGACATTGTTCAGTGACATTCTGGACAATGCAGTAATGCACATTGCATATGATTACAGTATTTACTTATTTACAGATGAATGACATTTACCTGCTCACCAGGCTCATTGTACAGTCTAACAGCAGCAGGAAGAAAAGACCAGCGGAACCTCTCTTTCCCACAGCGAGGGGGGAATATCCATCCATCCATCCATCCATTTTCTTCCGCTTTATCCGTTGCCGGGTCGCGGGGGCAGCAGTCTAAGCAGAGACGCCAAGACTTCCCTATCCACACACACTTCCTCCAGCTCGTCCGGGGGGACCCCAAGGCGTTCCCAGGCCAGCTGAGAGACATAGTCCCTCCAGCGTGTCCTGAGTCTTCCGCGGGGCCTCCTCCCGGTGGGGCGTGCCCGGAACACCTCCCCAGGGAGGCGTCCAGGAAGCATCCGGAACAGATGCCCGAGCCACCTCAACTGGTTCCTCTCGACGTGGAGAAGCAGCGGTTCTACTCCGAGCTCCTCCCGTGTGACTGAGCTCCTCACCCTATCTCTAAGGGAGCGCCCAGCCACTCTGCGGAGGAAGCTCATTTCGACCGCTTGTATCCGCGATCTCGTTCTTTCGGTCATTACCCAAAGCTCATGACCATAGGTGAGGGAGGGAACGAAGATTGACCGGTAAATCGAGAGCTTTGCCTTTCGGCTCAGCTCCCTCTTCACCACAACGGTCCGATACAGCGACCGCATAACTGCGCACGCTGCACCGATCCGCCTGTCAATCTCACGCTCCATTCTTCCCTCACTCGTGAACAAGACCCCGAGATACTTGAACTCCTCCACTTGAGGAAGGACCTCTCCACCCACCTGCAGAGGGCAAGGCACCTTTTTCCGGTCGAGCACCATGGCCTCGGATTTGGAGGTGCTGATTCTCATCCCAGCCGCTTCACACTCGGCTGCAAACCGTCCCAGTGCATGCTGCAGGTCCTGGTTCGTTGGAGCCAACAGGACAACATCGTCCGCAAACAGCAGAGATGAAATCCTGTGGTCTCCGAACCGGACCCCCTCCGACCCCTGGCTGCGCCTAGATATTCTGTCCATAAATACAGTGAACAGAACCGGTGAGAAAGGGCAGCCCTGTCGGAGGCCAACATTCACCGGGAACAGGTCTGACTTACTGCCGGCAATGCGAACACAGCTCTGGCTCCGGTCATACAGGGATCGGATGGCCCTCAGCAGAGGACCTCCGACCCCGTACTCCCGGAGAACCCCCCAAAGGACACCCCGGGGAACACAGTCGAACGCCTTCTCCAAATCCACAAAGCACATGTGGACAGGTTGGGCGAACTCCCATGAACCCTCGAGTATCCGATGGAGAGTATAGAGCTGGTCCAGTGTTCCGCGACCGGGACGAAAGCCACACTGCTCCTCCTGGATCCGAGATTCGACCATTGGCCGTAACCTCCTCTCCAGTACCTTGGAGTAGACCTTACCGGGGAGGCTGAGGAGTGTGATCCCACGATAATTGGAACACACCCTCCGGTCCCCCTTCTTGTAGAGAGGGACCACCACCCCGGTCTGCCACTCCATTGGCACCGCCCCCGATCGCCACGCGATGTTGCAGAGACGTGTCAGCCAAGACAGTCCTACAACATCCAGAGACTTTAGATAATCAGGGCGGATCTCATCCACACCCGGAGCCTTGCCACCATGGAGGCTACCAACCACCTTGGTGACCTCAGCCAGGGAGATGGATGTACCCGCCCCAACATCCTCAGCCTCTGCCTCTGTAACAGAGGACGTGACGGGGGGATTGAGGAGAACCTCAAAGTATTCCTTCCACCGCCCGACAATATCCCCAGTTGAGGTCAGCAGCTCTCCACCCGCACCGTACATGGTGTTGGCAAAGAACTGCTTCCCCCTCCTGAGGCGCCGGATGGTTTGCCAGAATCTCTTCGAGGCCGACCGATAGTCATGCTCCATGGACTCTCCGAACTCCTCCCAGTCCCGGGTTTTTGCCTCTGCAACAGCCCGGGCCGCGGCACGCTTGGCCTGCCGGTACTGGACAGCTGCCTCAGGAGTCCCCCGAACCATCATGGCTCGATAGGACTCCTTCTTCAGCCTGACAGCATCCCTTACTGCCGGTGTCCACCACCGGGTTCGGGGGTTGCCGCCGGGACCAGCACCAGAGACCTTGCGACCACAGCTACGAGCCGCCGCATCGGCGATTGAGGCAGAGAACATGGTCCACTCGGACTCCATGTCCCCCTCCTCCGCCGGGACCTGGGAGAAGCTCTCCCGGAGGTGTGAGTTGAAAGTCCGTCTGACAGGGGGCTCAGCGAGACGTTCCCAGCAGACCCTCACTATACGCTTGGGTCTGCCAGGTCTGACCGGCTTCTTCCCCTGCCAGCGGATCCAACTCACGACCAGGTGATGATCGGTTGACAGCTCCGCCCCTCTCTTTACCCGAGTGTCCGAGACACGCGGTCGAAGGTCAGATGATACGACAACAAAGTCGATCATCGACCTCCGGCCTAGGGTGTCCTGGTGCCACGTGCACTGGTGGACACCCTTGTGCTCGAACATGGTGTTCGTGATGGACAAACCGCGACTGGCACAGAAGTCCAACAACTGAGCACCGCTCGGGTTCAGATCAGGGGGGCCGCTCTTCCCGATCACCCCTCTCCAAGTGTCACTGGCGTTTCCCACATGGGCGTTGAAGTCCCCCAGGAGAATAACGGAGTCCCCGGGCGGTGCACCATCCAGTACCCCTCCCAAGGACTCCAAGAAGGCCGGGTACTCTACACTGCTGTTAGGCCCGTAGGCCGTCACAACAATGAGAGACTTGTCCCCCACCCGGAGGCGGAGGGACGCGACCCTCTCATTCACCGGGGAGAACTCCAACACGTGGCGGCTGAGATGGGGGGCAATGAGAATGGCCACTCCAGCTCGCCGCCTCTCCCCGCGGGAAACTCCAGAAAAGTGGAGCGTCCAACCCCTCTCAAGGAGTTGGGTTCCAGAGCCCAAGCTGTGTGTGGAGGTGAGGCCGACTATCTCTAGTCGGTATCGCTCAACCTCCCCCACGAGCTCGGGCTCCTTCCCCCCCAGTGAGGTGACGTTCCATGTCCCAAGAGCCAGATGTTGTGTGTGCGGACTGGGTCGCCGAGGTCTCCGCCTTCGACTGCCGCCCAGTCCTCTCTGCACCGCTTCACCACGGACCCCTCTGCAGGTGGTGGGCCCACAGGAGGGACTGCCCACGTCATCCCTTCGGGCTGAGCCCGGCCGGGCCCCGTGGGCTAAGGCCCGGCCACCAGGCGCTCGCATACGGGCCCCGACCCCAGGCCTGGCTCCAGGGTGGGGCCCCGGCTGCGCCATGCCGGGCGACGTCACTGTTTTCGTGTTAGTGCTGTCCATGGTGTCTTCTGGACTGCTCTTTGTCTGACTCGTCACCTGAGACCTGTCTGCCATGGGAGGCCCTACCAGGGGCATGAAGCCCCAGACAGCATAGCTCCCAGGATCATCCGAGTACTCAAACTCCCCCACCACGTTAAGGTGGCAGTCCAGGGGAGTGTAGGGGGGAATAAGTCTGTCTAAATATACCTCTATGGGGCATCTGAGTTTGTTTTTAGACACTTTTACCATCAAACGGCATCTCAACCACTTGGTTGGTTTTTGGCCTTTACCAAGGCCTATAATTAAATAAAACTAGCAGTTAAAAACAAAACATTAACACATTTTTTGTGTTTTTAGTGCACCTACAAGGGTTAATTGCTCTTGTGTTGCTCCATGAATATGTTTCTCACTCAATTCCACAGAATACAAGGCTCTGAAAGTATTTGCCAATTTACAGATTTTAAGAATCAACCTCATGTGTTTGAAATTAAGATCAATTTCTCATGGACATGTTAAAGTGAACTCGAGTTTCCTTTCCCATAGTGCCATGGCATGTCCTACTTCCTCTGTCTTCACGCTGCTTGAGATTTATAATGGCCTCGTTCATTATCTACACTTGTTCATGAAGAGCAGCCTCAGTATAAAAGTGTACGGTACAAACCAGCTGCGATGCTGCAGCTTGAACAACACATGTTCACCAGGTGTGATTTGACTCTACCTGATTATGACACCGCTTTTGTGTGAAAGCCTAAAGACTAAGGGCTGGGAAAAACATAATTGGTGGTATCATTGCAATGATTAGGGATTGGACAAATGATGTGCTAAATATGTAATTATAAAATACAAAGGAGAAACAAAACACTGGGTGGGTTGAGTGTGTTCTTTTTGAATATCATGTTGAAATGATGTTGTAGATTAGCTATGATCCCCTGGGTTTTGCACAAGCATTGACCCAAAGCTGATGCTGCCATAACTTCACTTGATGAGCAGCTAATACTGTATTACAGACCAAGTAAGCATGTCTCCATATGGGGCTGAAGTTTGACAACGCACCCTGCTTTGGGAGCTGAGTAAATGAGCTGTGCGTGTACCAGGAGATGTAGGTCTTATTAAGCCCAAGTCTCCAGTCAGTCACTCTAATGCTTCTGATTAATGAGGCTGTTGTTGGGGTATAGAAGCACAAGTGTGAAATGGGCTTCCATGGCATGTATGTGAAGGTTTGGAGCAGCCAGTCGGAAATAATAAAATATCCAGATGGGGAATACACACCAACAATTAATACAGGGATTAGTTGGCGATGTGTTAAATCTTTGAGGCCAAAATAGTGAGGTAATATAATGGCCACTTTTTCCATCCATCCATCCATTTTCTACCCTTTAATCCATTTCTGGGTCAGGGGGGTGGCAATCAGAGATGCCACCCAAGTCTCATAGCACCAGCCCCTCACTGACCCTCTGCAGGTGGTGAGTCCACAGGAGGACGGCCGCTCTCTGAGCGTGAGCATAGCCTTGATCTTTTCAGCGGGGGCTTTGGGCAAAGTGGGGTTAAGTGTCTTGCCCAAGGACACAACGACAGCAGTCATCAGTGGGAGTCGGTGGAGAAGGTGCAGAGGTGGGAATTGAACCCACGACCTTCAGGCCTGAAGGCCAATGCTCTACCAACTGAGCTACTGTCGCCACTTTTTATGATGTTGAATTAAAACATAATAGGGTTGTAACATGGTAATAGATTAGGCACAAATTATTGAAGTTGTTGTCAACCAATTAAGTAATCGATTACATAGACTTAAACAGGAAGAAGGGGAAGAGGTTTTATGCCAATTGTCTATAAACAGAATGAAATGAAAAAGTGTTTTCAAACTATTTTTAATCCAACAACCCAGGGGCAGCACTTGAGCTTTGTTTTGGTCAAATGTACATAAAAAACATATATTTAGATTCAATTATTTTACTACATAAAAGTTCAACACGTTTGTGCAAGTTCAATGTTATATTTTTGTGTCCCACTAGGAAATTGGTTCTGCAGCAAGCAAATATTTAAGAACAGACAGACAGTAAGTATTATTGGATAGTAGTTACACTTGGTGTAATAATACTTTTTCATTAGATTATTGTTGTGCAAGGGATGCAGACCTCCACAGGCTGTTTAAGCCCAGAAATAATACCTGGAAATTCCGGTCAGTATAACATGGAACACGCCCACTAAAATTGCACTTTTTTATTTTAGTTTGCACCTGCAGTTTATCACCTGCAGTGATAAATATAGCCTACATCGGCTTCCTGAGGGGAGATGGGAATTGACGAGAAGAGTCCTGTATGATGCTCTTAGCTTCTTCCTTCTGTGCCCGACCTATAATCTAAAAGCTCATGTTTACAATGTGCTGCAGTTTTTTATGCTTATGTTACTTTATCATAAGCCTAAATGTTATGTTAAAGTGACATGTCAAAGTATAAGATGCCCTCCATAGGGCTTTTATATAGATGTAATGATATCTTTGCTCATTCCAAAATAAAGGCTGTCTACCATGTAGATGCCAAGATATATAAAACTGTCACATCATCATAGTTTTGGAAACATACATGTCCAAAAAGCCTTACAATCCAAGCCTTCAACAGTGAAATCAATTGAATAAGTCATGTTTAGGATCCCATGACAAGAATGTTGTGTAATAATAATAACTATGCATCGCTTTTATATAGCGCTTTTTTGGACACTCAAAGACGCTTCACATGTCATTGTTCATTCACTCCATACACGGTGGTGATTAACGCCACAGCTGCCCTGGGGCACACTAACAGAAGCAAGGCAAACAGTATGTGCCATTGGCCCCTCCAACAACCACCAACCATTCACACACACACCAGACTCATTCTAGGCAATGGGGGTGAAGTGTCCTGCTTAAGGACACAACGAAAGCAAACATCAGTGGGAGTCTGTGGAGAAATCGATCAATCAATCAATTTTATTTATAGAGCCCTTTACAACACTCAAGGCGACCAAAGTGCTTCACAATAAAATTACATAAAATCCATTAAAACACCACAAGACTTTCTTGTGTCTTGTGAACCCACAACCTTCAGGCTCAAAGGCCAATACCAACTGAGCCACTGTCGTTGTGTAGTACCAATGTGAATTGTAATGTCTTGTTTGTGCTTCCACAGGAGCTGAATCATGGAGAGTGAAGTGGAGCTGAGCGGGGACAGAGCTGAGATGCAGCTGACTGGTCTGGGACTGACTGATGTTGGAGGCCAAAGACTGAGGTACGGGGGTCCGGGCCTCACCAGCCCACAGGAGTACAACCAGTGGCTGCCATTTCGACATGATGCCACTCTGCTGCCCATGAAGGAGGACCTGGCCCTGTGGCTCAACATTATCATGGGTGAGGAGTACAAATCATGTTACACCACCATGTTTTCTTTATTCACTGAAGCATCAAGCAACTATATACAGGTTGTTCAGCAGTCGTACATGGATAGATGTTGTTCAATTGAAAATATTCCTGTCTGAACTTAAAGAAAAAAATGTTATTCTCTTACATTCTTAAAAATACTAATACTCGACATTTCCCTGCTTTTGGCTGCTAACACAAATAATGTAATGATACATGATACATACAGGGGTGAGGATGTTACTCTTCCTCCAATGCCTTTTTGAGTTTCATTGTGTTCAGTATTTTGGATTATGGATCTACATGTACATAATATTGTATTTTAAAGTAATGTAAAACACTTACAACAATAAAGATTTACTGTATCTAAAGTATCTTATCCTGTCAAAGTTACAGTTCTCATCTATAGTCTACACCTCATGTCTATACTTTATCATGAATTCAGCTTTTGTTTTAAAACATTTTGGGCCATTATATTTTGGGAATGGTTTTACCACGTTACTGCATCGTTCATTCATTCACTTATTTATTTGATAATCATGGACATAACTGTTACAATGGATAAACCAGATCCAGAATCCTTGAGTGCCCAATTCCTTTTTTTGTGGATACTTTTAATTTGTCTAATTTACACAGACCTTCAACCTCAAATCACTGGAGATAATTAGATGGTTTCTGTGCAGTTGGCTTCTCTGACCTCTTCCAGACTTTCTTTGGCTTTGTGTAATGGCCGCACACTGACTAACAAAATATTATCAGAATGGGCTGCTTTGATTTAGAAAAGTAAAATCTGTCCCACCCAAAAAAAACTGGGGTTCATGATATCCCTCATTTCCAATTGCATTCTTGCAATAAAGAAGAGAGGAAGAAAAAAATAATTTAGATAGCATATTCCACTCATGAACTTCTGCTGAATGTGCTTGATAAAGACAATGAAACCAAACAGTAGACCAGCCAGGCCCTACTCCTTTTAGATACATATGATCAGCTAACCCCCTAGCTCAATAAAGTCCAATAGGGAGGTGTTCATGAACAAAGTTTTGCTCCAACTTGTCAACACTATTTAAAAATAAACGTCTCTAGCTCTGTAACCATCACACTCACCATTTTGACCTTGAAAAATCACAGTTTAGTGCTCTCTGTGATCCTGGGGTTAATATTTTGATATTGTCTTTGTAAATCCAGATATGAGCCTTAAGGATTGGCCAAACAGAGGCCTTAATTGGCAGGGGAGACTCCAGTCTGCCTTAGCAACAGCTAAATTCAAATTGTGTTAGTACTTTTGCAAGCAAGTGTAGAAAGACATTAGCCCACTCCAGGCGAGCTTCAGGGACTTTACTGAAAGGGGAGGTTCCTGCACTTTAGAGCGTGTGAGGGTAAACTTAAGTGGCGGTTACATGTCTGGACCTGAGAAGAGTGACAAGGTTTTAAGACGTCGGCTCTCTGACTTTTTGTTTGTTTTTATAATCATAATTATTTCCAGACAGCTTGCACATCACAGGGAACTGTACAATATGGGAGGTAATCACTTCATAAAATCTGCAAACGCATAGAATGTTGTTTACCTATCGTTGTTTTACTGTTTTGAAATCTTTATCGTGCATTCCTGCGCCGGCATCTGCCACATAAATGTATCTTGTCACGCTGCTAACATTTCAAACTCATACTTGCCCTTATTTTTATATTTTATTTGATTATGACTCAGAATAACAGCCTTTTGAATATTATCATGCAGCCTTACTGACTACTTATTCATCCAACATTTTCATTTTTGTGTAGGTTTATATTGAACAGTAATTGACAAGCCTAGATCAGGGATCTCCAGCCTTTCTCAATCGGAGACCTACTTTTATACAACAGAAGAGGCAGAAAGCTACTCCCTTTCGTAGTTGTAATAAACGTCTAAATAATAACTATGACTAAGCATGGAGAACACAGATGTAAAATATATAATAATAGAGTAGAACCCTACATTTATACTTACATATGTATGCAATTACTCAATATATAATCATTCAGGAGCATGTGTTAAACTCTAAATCCTTTGAGTAGCCACCTGAAAGAGGCTGGCGAGCTACTGGAAGCTCTGAGCTACAGGTCGGAGACCATGTAGTCATAGTTTATGTGTGTATATGACAAAAAAAAACATTACTATGACTTTTAATCTACCATTAGTGAATCAACAATTTTGTGATGCCTGTTATATTATGCATTATTATTATTTTAGGGTATAACAAAATGATATGAATGAATTATACGATTACTAGTACTACTAAAACACCGGATGTACGGTCACACTTTCTGTTAGGGTTCGCCTATTTATGTCTAATAGGCCATACATGTAATAGCAGGGGAAAGGCCTTTCTATTTGGAGTTTTCATGTTCTCCCCGTGTCTGCGTAGATTTTCTCCAGATGCTCCGGTTTCCTCTACCACTAAAAACATGTACAATAGCTCCGGTATGGCGACCCCGATCCCATCTCTGTGTGTAGAGTGAGAATCAAATGCCCACAATAATTGTCAAGCACTTTGTGACTCTGGCCTGTGAAAAGCACCATATAATTCAAGATTATTTACATACTTACTTACTTAAACTGGCACCAGAAGCGGGAAACAAACAAACACACCACCGTGCTACCCCAGTAATAGGCTAACCCTCTCCTACTTTGGCGCCAAAATTATCAACAACATCAATTAGGTCAAAATAATATAAATATTGATCAACAAATTATCTACTTACAACTTTGCAAATATGCAGATGAATAATAATACCAAGTGTGACCTAAAATAAAGTGTATTTGTGTGTGCAGATGTGGACCTTACAGCTGAGAGCCTGATGGACCGTCTGGACAATGGCGTTCTCCTCTGTCAGCTGGCACAGGCGCTGCAGGACAAGATGATGCAGGCGAACAACAGCAAGGTGAAGGTCCACTAACCTTGGAGACACATCTCCTGGGGCTGGAGGAAACCACGGAAACACTGTTGACCACACAAATGCCCTGACCATCCATAAGTCAACTAAAGAGGGGTGTGGAAAATCCTCTAAGTCAGGGGTGACCCAATTTGACCCACCAGACCATTTTTGTGGACCCCAACTGATACTAAATTATTGTTTCTAAATTCCAACCATTGATTGTAAGCTAGCCTGGCATGTTATATCTCATTTTATGGCTATTTTCAATCAAGAAAAAAATACTTTTTTTTAATTCTAAACACCCCAAAACGCAATTAGCAATAGTTAGTAAGGTAGTAAAATAAAAAAATAAAAAAATAACATTGTGCAACAATCATCATGAAGGGTCTTACAAAAGTACTGCTTAAAGGTGGACAATTTTGATCAGTCAAAGTTGAGTTTTGAGTTTTAATAACTTTAAAATCAATTAATCAATTTGTAGGAAACTTGTACATTATATACGACCTGAGGGACAACAGCCCAAACAGCTAAACGTGCTATTGGTATGTTATCGGCTGTGGGGTTGACTGTGGCACTTGGAAGAGGGAAAGAACAGTTTCTACTACAGAACACTCAAGAAATGAACGCATACGTAGCTAAACACACTCTTATAAGATAACGAGCTGCAAAAATTCTAAGGGTTTAATTAATTGTTTACTATAATTAAGTAAATGGGTATTTCGGGCTGAGTTTCTCTCTAACAATGTTGACGTTCAGCCTGTTCATATAAATGAGTGGCTGCAGGTGAAGCGTGTGATCCATTTCACAAGAACATGTCTATTGACGTCACAGCGAGGTCTGTAGAGACAGGAGCGGCTCTGACCACGGCACAGGTCAGAGCTGAGGACATTGGATTGAGCTTTGTTTAAATCCTTTCATGTTCCTCTGTGAAGCTTCACTCCACATTGTGTGGGATATGTCTCTCACGTCTACGCCAAAATGAAACCGGCTTTGTGGTAAAATGAAAGCTTTCCCACAGCACAGTGTGCACTTTTCATCAGGGCTGGGCAATTTATTAAAGTTCTATTCCAATCAAATATTGTGGCCTAATTGTTTTAACACAATAATGATTAGATTGTTTGTTTGTTATTCATGGCTAATCTTGTACTAAATTAGTTTAGAGCAGTGTTTTGGATTTTTTAGGACTCATTTTAATTTAATAGAACTAATCTCACCTCCAAAGCTTCAAATCCTTTATATACTATATACAGTATCTACCTAAGCGTTACTGGTCTTAGGTCTTAGGAAGCACCTAACTAAGTGTAGATTTTAGTTCAGCTTTTAACCACGTTACCTGGTCTGTATGTTCCCACATAAAAAAGCAGACCTGGAATTGTTTTTTGATCTATCCATGCTGATATGAGGAACCTATGGCACAAACATGTAACTCAGCCCTTTCTGTCTAAAGTTCCAGTCAGTTTTCTGTCTAGTAGTATTGTCTACTAATTCGCTTTGGTAGTTTCTCGGGGAAATAACGTACTTTAGAATCTGAATTTTTACACAACATACTAATCATTTGACATGTTATAACATGAGTAAGTAAATAGTCTCATTATCATTTCAATTATAAAGTTGTGAATTAGAATTTTTCTCTTGTCTCCATTTAGCCCTTTGTCAGGAGAGTCATCCACTGGAGACCTGACGCAACTTCAGGATCATTTTTTGCCAGAGACAACACAGCCAACTTCCTCTACTGGTGTCGCAAAATCGGTGTTGACGAAGCATATCTTTTTGAGTCTGAGGATTTGGGTAAGTTCAGCTTTATCGAATGATCAGTGAACAGCTCAGAAAGACAGATATGTTCTGCACCAGATTATAGCTAGATGCTAGTTTCCATCTGCAGTCCCTGATTACAGAGAAATAAATTACAATATACAATGTGAAAGTGCATCCAAACGTTCTTTATCAAACACATAACACTCACTCACCCATTCACTACATTTCATTCATTCTGCATCAGTGAGTTAGTGATGCACATGGAAAACATCACCATCTCTTATAAAACTCCTAGAGACTGATCTAAGAGTCAAGTAAACGTTTTGTATTTCTCTTCTTTTGTTGGTGCAGCCATAATGGATGTCTTTTGCAGGTGAATATTCTCTGTGTGGTTCCTCTCTGTTGTCTGCTTTATGATTCTTGTTTAATTTATTACAGTGCATCGCCACGTCTAACTTTATATTATTACAAACACGGAAATCAAACAATTTAAAGTAAAGTCTGGTAAATAGCCGTGAATAATAACCCCCACACCTTTTTTCTCAGCGGAGAAATAATAACATAAATTAGATAACACACAGATTTGGCTGGGAGCTGGGATCTAAAAGTTGTTTATCGGCAAAAAGATTAAACTGTCTACATCAGCCATTCCCAAACTCAGTAACACCGAGGCCCCCTTAAAAATCTGACGGGTCTGCGTGGCCCCCCCCAAAATAATAACCAAGAAGACAACATTAAAAATAGGCTCTTCTGGTTATTTTATTTTGGGGAAATAGCCTCTGCTACAAACATTGTAATACAAAAATGATTACAGTGGATTATTCAAGTCAAATAATGAACACAAATATTTTAATATTACAAACAAAACGTTATAAATTTAACATTAAATAATTATTTTTTTTATTTTTATTTTTTTATGACCTCCCGCGGCCCCCCTGCAGTACCCTCGCGGCCCACCAGGGGGCCGCGGACCCCACTTTGGGAGACACTGGTCTACATGTATTGTGTTTTCAGTGAAATTTCAGTCAAAAATAATTAACCTCAACCTGTCAACATCTGTGTACGAATAAGTGTATTGGCTGGCCACATTCTTCCTGTGTACATATCTTGTGTTTGTGTACACCAGTGCATACTTTTAAGCACAAAGCTACTGAGGGCTGTGAGGGACAAACTTAGCTAAACGTGCTAATATTATGTTAGCGGCTGTGGAGTTGACCGTGGCGCTGGGAAGAGGGAAAAAGAAGAGTTACTACTAAGAGCAAGAAATGAACGCATACGTAGCTATACACACTTGTTTGTGAGAGTCTAAAGTTCAGTTTACATTGTGTTGAATTAGAAAATTGACCAGTAATTTTTCACTACAGATTCGTCCAAATAAATAATTGTTTACTATAATTAAGATAGTGGGTAACTCCAAACCCTGAAGGACAACTTTGAGCCCCCTTGTCTTTTACACCAAAACTCATGACCATACCGTTCATAATCAACAAACTATCATGTGTTGTTAGTTTGATACTTATCTAAACATAAAGTAAAAGATGGGCTACCTAACATTTTGTTTGTCCCAACAGTAAAAGAATATTGTGGTGAACAAATCAAACTGCAATATGCTGTCCTCATCATTGAAGAGAACATGTTGTCTTTTGCATATCGTTATGAGAGAGCCATGTGAGTCATTTGGGCTTTGAGAGCTGATTGGCTGAGTGAGGGTGGTTCTCTCTTTTTCACTTTTCTGTCTGAAGAAGCTGATCTAAAGATGTGACGGAGGCCAAAAATATGTGCGTTTGCAAGCTAGTGATAGAACCAAACTGTTTTGATAGTGATAACAAATTTTATGCATTGTAATTGATAGAATTTTTGGTGGTTTTAAAGTTAGGTACCCCAGCTTTAATGTCTTTTATAATCTACTTTGTCTGGCCTTGAGTGCTGTGTCTGGCGGATGTGGAGATACTGGCCAGAAGGCCCCCATGCCCTCAGCTTTCACTCAGAGCCCACACGAGTCTCATCTTCAAAGGCTGATGCACAATAGCCACAGCGTGCATCATGAAACTTGCCCTTTATTCAGACAGTGGCTTCTTTTCAGGGAGACATACTTTTATCTCCGGATACATCTTTTTTTTCTGAATCTGAATGACTCACGCTTTATGTCTCGCCTCCACCCACCCCTCCCTTTTGTTTGTACTACACACCTTTCATGGGAAGTCCTGCAGAAGCAACCTCGGGAAGTGTGTTTGTGTTTGGTAGAGCTGGGGCGGATTGCAGCCAGGCAAGTATTGAAAACATTTACAATTATTCATGCGGACGGCAGTATAAGCTATTATTGTCCAAAATGTTGCAGGTTTGGTGTGGAGCCTCCGGGTCTGGTGAAGCTAGAGAGGGAGATTGAGCGAGAGGAGGCCGGTTTGTCGCCTTTGTCCCCGTCGTCTTTTTTCCCCCCTGCTTCGTTCAGTCCTCCTCCAGCTCCATCACCTCCACCCATCCCCCCAACCCCTGCTGTAACTCTCATATGTCCACCTGAACCTGAACTTGAACCTCAACCTCAACCTGAGCCTGAACCAGTCCCCAAACCTCCTGAAACGACATCCAGTGCGACCCAGACCCCCGTATTCATCCCTCTAAGCACCACGACCACGCCTGCTGCACCGCTGCCAGCTCCATCTCTGTGTCTCATCCCAGTGCCTGCTGCCCGAGTCTCTGCACTAATCATCCAGTCTGCCCCTGTAACACCCACCCCAGCCAAGGCCCCAGGAGCCCCCAACAAATCTACTAAAAGACGAAGCACAAGCACCAAAAATCTTTTGGATGACATTGTATGATTTGATATATATATATTTTTTTCTATAATAATTATTTTCCCTTTTACTCATACAAATGTACAAACATGACTTTTTGTCTCATAATATGTAGGTTCGAAACATTGTGGAGGATCCTCCTTGCGCATGTCCCACCCGGTTTCCAGTTGAAAAGCAGCCAAAAGGTTGTTATCGTATTGGGGATAAAGTTCTCTACATCCGTGTAAGTATAATCATAAACTGAATAAATGATACTAAGAGGTCATTTATCCAAAAACAAGGGTGGAATGTATTATCTGTCATTCGGCTAATAACAATCAGGTTAATATTAGTTGAGGCTGCAACAAGTGCCCTGAGCGTATGGGACTGCTGAGTCGTGCACATAGGGGCGCAATGTCTGGTACAAAGAAAGGACCATCTGGGAGGCTGGGTTGCTTGGCAACCAATGGATAGGATAAGGCCAGGCTCACAATGATGTTATTCAGTACTGAGACCTTCAACTCGGGCAACGAAGGCAAAACACACATGTCACAATAAAGATGTTTTTCTCTAAGATAATAGGGTAAGGCCAGCTTTTTTCTGGGATAAGATCTGAATCAAATTGAGTTTAGTCTTGTCTGTAGACACTATTATATAGTAATAATTACAATATACATTACTTAAAATTTAATTGACATTTCACCACTGTGGGACAAATAAAGGATCTCTTATCTTGTCTTATCTTAAACATAATGATTGCCAACAGCAGCGGAGAGGTCTATTAGGTAAGTGGAAACGAGTTATAACCATTGAAGGTGCTCTAAATTGTATTGAATAGATGGTGTAAGGAGTGTGGTAGTAATCAATGTGTCAGTGTCAGATGGCTCAGGAGCAGTAGTATCTCCATTCCTTTTAAGGGTTTGGTTCAGGGTCAAACAACACCTGCTTTTGCAAAGACAAGAACATAACAAGGTTGTGCATGTCTGAACACATCATGGAAACTACCAAGACCCAAATCACATTTAAAACATGTTTTTCAAATTAGAATACATTATCTGCATAAATCCATCCATGGCATACATCTGCTGTACCTTCAAGCATATAAAGAAATATGGCATGAGTGACCCTCAATTACCATGTTCCGTGATTAACAGTGCACTGCTCCAAGGGAAATGTGTGCCAAGCTTTCTAAAGAGCAGATACTATTGATTACACAGAAGTCATTAGCCAGGAGTTTTTAATAAGACAGCTCGTTAATGAGTGACCCAAGCATGATGGCCCCCCCATCCTGCCCTTCCCTTTATCATTCCCTGGCACCCCCATTTCCACTAGAGACTATTCAGTCCTGCCAGCTATGGAGCACACCTCTTTTTTGTGTTTAAAAGGAAAGAGCTTTTCTTTCTTCGCATGCTCTATTAGGCTCTCTTCTGGTATTGTATGAGGAGTCTGCCGATGTCAATAGATGGAAATACATTAGACAGCTTCAAAACCTCAATTTGATATCTAAAATAGAGTATCACATTCATTTAAGAACTGTAATTCTCAAACGTGTGATAATAGTCGCAGACCTTAATGCATGCCATGTGCCAAATGTTTAACAATGTTACATTATCATGTCCTAATGGGCAAAACATGAAAGTCCTGACCTGCTTGATCTGATTGGGTTCAAAGCTCAGTTGCATTTAGTTAAGTATGTTTTATTACACTACTTTGCCCTTTGTACATTGTATATACGTGATTATTTATCCAAAGTTTTCCATTCTTTATAAGGGGCTCTACTTCATTATAGGTCCAAAAATTGCATTCTTCTTGGAAATGTTATTGGTTTGACAACATGGCATAAAAAACTGTAATTTAATAAACTAGTCTTCCCCTGGAGACACTCTGTTAATTACTTGTACATTAATTGTAAAATAAATTCAAATTAAAAATGAGTGATTGACTTTGATGCATAGTTAAATCATCTTTATAATGAAAAGATAGGATTAACACGGCTTCAAAGTCCTGTAAAACTTACACAGGAAACCCTGCATTCAGCTAACAGTATATTTTCCCACTATTCCCAGTGGGTTTAAATTATTTCCTTTTAGTGATTTCTATCTGTACTGTTGAAGAACTGGTGGCTACAGCTAAACTCTGCCCCCAACTGGCAGTTGCTGAAGCTGTCGCCTCTAATACTCATGTATTTTTCAAACAGAAACGGGAGCTGAAATCGATGAGCGCTCTGTGGAGACACAGGGGAATCCACACACTGCTTTATAGGCTGTGTGCTCACATTCTGCACAAATCACACACTATTTGGATGAACTATAAGAACATTTGAATCCTGCTTCTTTAATGTATGCACAAAACTACAAGGTGTTAGAAGTTTAAAACCAACTCCCATTGTGTCACTAAGCAATGGGCTATTCCCTTGTGATGTAAAGCTATTTGTTCCATTGAAGGCTGGAAAGCATTTACAATCACACTGGAAAGGTATGAGGTGTATTGCCCAAGGAAACAGCAATAGTATGAAATGGTTAAATTGCTTTGACCACCCCATCACTACAGCTTGGGATGACCCAAATCTAATATCCCTGACACCAAGGGAGGGTTAAAATAATTTAGCATTTTATAAATCCACTGGGATTTCTATTTAGACAGAAATCTGCAATTAATATTCAGTGCATGTCTGACAGGCGACTGTGTATCCGGGATGTGTGTCTTGACCTCTGTCTGCCTTAACATTTTAATCTGGCCGATGACAGCTGAGATGGGGTTTCCTCTTTTGTCACTGACTATGAGTGATTGACCCTGTCCCCGTCCTGCATCCCGTGCACATGGCACCTCGGCTGTACTCTTGTATTATCTCCTTCTTAATGGCTCTATAATGAAGGGTTTATTGGTGATAAGGCTGGAAAAGGGGGCGGGGCCGCTGCTGACAGGGGCAACCACAAGCTTAGCAATGCCCCCGGGGGATTCGGCTGTCCACAGGGACTTGCAGAACTCATCTCAATTTCAGGCTTTCATATTGTGGTTGCCATGGCAGCAGTTGTTTTTCCCTCTGTGGGAAAATATCACTTGGATTATTGTTTGAAATATGCAGACATACAGTACAGCTGACTAATGTTATCAAATAACCATAGTATATTGTGAATTTGAAAGATATGCTTATAAAGGCTTTTGTGGGAGGATAATTGAAGTCTTTGTCATCTAATGTTGGTGCTTTAGTGCCTCTGTTCATGTGAGAGTGTGTTGTGTGCTTAGCTGGAGCCGTGAGCTGTTGTTTCATTTGCTTTAATGAGATTTTGACAAAGCTTTCCAAGAAGCCACTTGTCGTTTCAGTACCAACACCAAGGCTGACATGAATATTACATGAATGTGTTGAGGTAGCAAATAGTTCTATATACTGTAGCTCTGAGCATGATGCAGGAAAACAAACAGCCTGTCCTTTGGCTATTAGTATTTTAATAACTTTTGATGCAGTGGGTCTCTCAGTGTGTTTAGATGCCTCCAAGTGAATGGTAATGTTTCTCTTTGTAAAGAATAAATAGTATGCATTATTTTTAGCTATTCAGAAAAATAATGTCATTGTATGCTTCAGAATGTGAAATTATATCTTTGATATGGTGAAACACAATAACTATTCCTGTGCGACCTCAAGAGGGAGATCTAGAACTTGTTTTGTTTTTTTCTTATTTTTAAAATTACTTGCTGCAAACACGGTCAAGTGATTGTAAAGAACGTAATTTCGCCTGAGAAATGGCCAAAATTATTGTATGTATAATAATGATCAGAAAACAGCTCAAATGAGATAGTTCCCGCGCACATAGGCCCCATCCCAAACATGATTCCTCCTTTATATCAATTCCTTACACAAGCTGGGATACAAATAATAAAGTCAAGAAAGATTCTTGTAAAAGTAAAATGCTGTGAGGTATGAACAAATCAGACCATGGCACATGTGTTCGTCTTATTATAAAAAACATAAAAAGAATATCTTGGGTTTAGGTTAGTGTGTGAGGAATAAAGAGCCCTTTGAGTCAGCCTCTTTTGGAACTGACCACCCTCTCTCAGCCAATCGGCTCTCAGCCCAGAGCATCAAATAGTGACTCACAGGGCCCTCTCTTACAAGCATGCAAAAGATTAAGTGTTTTATAACAAGGTGAAGACCGCATGTTGTGGTCTGATTTGTTCACATTTTACTTTTACCAGACTATTTTTGTTCAGACAATCAGAATATCTTTTATTTATTGTATGCAAGTTAGGTACTTTAGCTTTACAATTGACAAAATGTAGTTGATTGAAACCTTTACTACCTTAATCACTTTCTGTATTATACATTTCCTGTAGATAAATGTAGAGGTGCCGAGGAGAGGAAGGGATCGGATGAAAAAAACATATCAAAGTTTAATTATTTTGATGTTTAAACTGTTTTGATAACATTCTTTGTCCCCTCCTTCGCAGATGTTAAACGAGCGCCACGTGATGGTGCGTGTGGGGGGAGGATGGGAGACCTTCTTGGGGTATCTGCAGAAGCACGACCCGTGCAGAGCGCCCAGACCTGAGCCCAGAGTCTGCCGGGTCAAAACCACATCCCTGCAGTCGTCTCCAGACAGCTACATGGTGGTAGGAGCCCATTACCGAAACAAGAAGGAGGGTCAAGTAAAGGCAATGAAGTTATAGGGATAGAGAAAAGATGCTATTTTATTACCTGGAGTTTTATTTTTTGTACCGATTGTGTTTATAAATCACCTTTATACTGGATATTCTGAATTAGTGGATACTGTATTCGTATATTACTGCTAGTTGTAATCATATAACATTTTAGCAGGGAAAATTAAAGGCTAGCTGTCTCCATTGATGCTAGAGCAAACAATGACATTTCTATAATATTTTGAACATTGAGAAATATTTGGTCCCATTTCTGAGAAATGCAAAACAGTTTGAGAGCAGAAATAGATAAATCCTCTTATGGCTAATTTTTGCTTAATTTTATTGTTTGTTTGTTTCTGCATATTTCTTTTTATCATAAAGACTTGTGCTGTCACAAATTTTAAACTGTATTTCAAAACTAGAAAGAAATACTCAAATACTACTATTAAAGGCTTTTTTGGAGAATAAACTCAATATATCAGTACTTTATGTGGGGCCGTTATACAAGTTATTTTGATATAGTCAACAAACATGTTCAAAAAGCTCAAATGCTCCATATATATATATATATATATATATATATATATATATATATATATATATATAAATAATTACTCAAGTGATTGTATAAAGCAGTGTCTCCCAATGGAGGTCCAGGGCTCACAGCATATATATAATTCATAATATGTGTATTATTATTACTACTCCAGACTTTGGAAACTGCTGGTGTATACATATCTGATTTTAGAATAGTCAAATATGGCATTTATTATGTGGTGGTTTCAGTTCATAGTTTTGATTTTTGTTGGGTGTAATTATGTACATATTGCTTCAGCAAATATCAGGTTATTCATAAGTTCACGATTATTCCTATATAATTTCAAACATTTACATTTGTCAAGTACATTTCTGTCCTCTAGGTGGCACTGTGGGCTCAGGGACTTCTCTCGTCCAGTGTTTTGTTACGACTTGTATGCCTCCAACACATAAATCCATACAGAACGTTATGAAAACAAACATTACCGAACAATAATAATTAGATATTTTATTTCAATAAAATAAAGTAATTAAAAATTGACACAAGTATTAATATACAGAAAGAAACTACCGGTAACTGTAATGAGATCATGCACGCCGCTTGTAGCCCGCAAATACTGCCTGCACTGGTCTGAGAGAAATGAGTAGAAAATAGTTGTGCTACTTAAACACGAGCCACTTGGGAAAGTGACAAGATTAATAATAGATAGTTTCGCAATATATTTCACAGATTCTCAAGTTTCAGCAAGTTTGTTTTTAGATCTGATTAACATGTATTTAAATGAAAAACTGCTGAGGTTCTTTTTTAACTGTAAATGATTTGTACTTTTACTATGTGCTACTATTTTTGTATTAAACATGATTTTATCTGAATTTGTGCTGTCTCATGCATTCACGTCTTGCTGTAACTGGACATAAATGTGCGTGTTTATCATCTTTTGTCAATACTGTAATTTGTATCTGAAAAACTGTCCTTTTTTTCAAAACCAAAAATACACAAACACACAGACCTGTGCAATTGTGCTTTAAGTCTCAACAACACATTTTACTTGCACAATGTACTTTTACTTACAGTTTACTGCTTAGAGTAATACTTCTATTACTGATAATCAGTTTTGAGTGTGAACTTAAAACGTTATAAAACCAAAACACCAAACAGCATTGCATTATGTGAAATGTCGGACATCTGAAAAATACAGCCACTCAAGCGTCCATGTGAAGTGACCATAGATATAAACCCATGTTATTTCTATGGCAGCTGTATTTTCATTTATGTCCATATAACTGGCATAATATCATCACACTAAGAGCATGAACCGACTGACCCTAAACGCACAAGATTATTCAACCCAAAGTCTTTTGTAAACGCTTTTTCTCCTCTTCCCTCAACACATGTGGCATTTAGATGTGTTTTTGTAGAAATACAATACTGGCGCTCAGATTTCATTATAGACCAAGCAAAGTGGGTCCAACAAGACATTGAACAACAGTTTTATATCTTCAGTCCATTCTCTTTATGTCTCTAAACTTGATCGAATGACTCATCAACAGCGTTAACGTCACTGCTGTCGTTCAAACATAAAAACACATTTCCTTTCATCAATTAAATATAACAAAATAAATCTCACATTATTTCCTGTTCAATTACACCAAGGCTCATTCATTTGTGCTTTGCATTGAACATTTCCCTCGGATCCATTTCAAACCATCAGACAAATCATAGTCGCTTCATAATATTTTGCAATGTAAACACAAGACAATATAAAAGTCTATTGTTATATATTGGAAAGTCTTATTTCTTTTTCCATTTTACTTCTGTAGCATTGCTTTATGTTGCCAAATCGCAGACAGAGCCCTGCGTAAGTGTTAGGTATTTTAATGATATTAACCACCTGGACACCTGCTACAAGCTGCACTTGGCTAACTTTTACAAGACTGAGTGAACCCCTTTTAACCATGATCTGTATAAACACTGGAACTTCCTTATTTTCCCTTTTTCCTTCTAACACTGAAGGCTGATAGTGACTTTGTGCACGTAAAGATTTGGGAGTGGCTTGTGCTTTCATGTTCGTCGGGCACACAAACACTAGACTATTATTTATTACTATCATTCTGAAGTTGTAGCTTGTGAGGTATTCACTGAGGCCATCCAACAGCAGTACACATGTATTTGAGTCAGATTGAGGTCATCATGGCTCTGTCTGAGCAGTGGCTCTTCACTGATTGTAACTGAATGCCTTCTATCCATTTGGTTCAAAAACATCTTGAGAAGTTGTAACACTCTCATAAAGTCTTTTCCACTGCATACACACATTCTTACTGAAAATCTATTGTACACGAACATTGATGTGGTCTACATGGAGATGTGTCTGTACATACTGAGGCCTGTCCACTCTGGTCCTCCCAGTGCTTTGAGCAGACATTCACCAGGGGGCTTTGTCTCATATCTAAGTATGCTACACTAAAGATAAGCAATGGCTAACGCCAGAGGTTTTTTTTCATTATGAACAGTAACACAGCACTTGACTGAAAGAGGAATGCTGACAGAAAGCTTTGGCCTGCGTCTCATCTTCAAATTACTCCCTGATCCTCCGTAGTGGTGTCCAGGATAGTGGAGTGTATGTTTATATATATGAAATGTGTGTATCTGTAAGTGGCATATGAAATACAGCACCATTTTAAGACATACTCTTCAGAGACAGTTTCCATGTCCATTCCAGTCTTGTGCTATGACAGCTCTGTCCCAGTGGTGGGTCAGACCTCTTTCTCTGGCAGGCACACTGAGCACTGAAGGATGAGGATGAGGTGGTGCAGACAGTGATGAGACACACGTTACACGTTGCGGGGTCCGGGTTTGTGCGTTCAGTGGTCAGTCACTGTATCTCCTGTCACACGGTACCATTCTCCTGCCTTGGCTTATGGGGTGTTGTGCGAGTAGGCGTGCTTAGGGAGGGGGCCAAGGTACAGAGGAAACCAGCTAGCAACGTGAGCCCCAGACCTCCCCAGGCACAAAACATGGACCAGCCATAGCCATGGCTAATATCCTCGGGAAGGCCATACATGTAGCGGGGATAGCGCGACAGCTCAAAGTTGATTCCTGCCACGCAAGTGCAGAGGGAGATGATACAGCATGTTCCTGTGAGCAGACAGCAGTGATTCAGACAGCATCCGTATCATTAATAATGTATGAGCTGAGTGCACATCGTGGAATGAGAAGAGTAGATGGGGTTGTTTCCACTAATGGGAAGCCTCCGATTAAAGGAATCATGTATATAGCTATTTCGGACTAGAGTATCATGGCATGGAGTTTTTTCTTTTTAAAGGCCTATAATCAGCTTTTAATTGTTTTTGTTAAAAAAAATAATAACATATACATATGGAACATTCTTGGATTCATTAGAATAGCAGTAATCATTTCAGATACACAATAGTTGACAAGGTACCAGATTATGTGAGTCTTGATGCATTAGAATAATATATAAGTTTGGTATTGGGAAATAATGTACCCTAAGATTATGCAAAGCTCGGGCTCATTCTGCTCCTAGAAGTTAATAATAATGGAAACAATAATAAAATGTGGTCACATTGAACTTTATTCCACTCATGATACCTATTATATAAGTGTGTTCAGTGAGTCTTTACCTCCCATGAGAAAGAGTAGCCCAGCTACATATTGCATGAGGTCATGCTGTTGGCAGCAGCCCAGCACGCCAATGATCCACCCGAACAGGATGATGGACACAGCCATGCCCACGAAGCCCGCGGTCATCCTCCTCAGGTCTGCACAGAGAGCCATAGGGTTTACAGGTGAACATACATGTATGAACACTGAACACTGAACATACATTAACAGCCCACAAACTTTTTTCTAAGAGGGCCCTTAAGTTCATCAGCTCATCAGTTCACAACGCAGATTGTAAAACTGTTTTGACTGGTTTGGGGCAGTTCAGATTCTTAAATGAGATATGACATCATGTCCATATTGATTCACATTTGAGGGAACTGAAATTGACAAATGATTATTATCTCTCCAGCAACAGAAGAAATTTGTGTTACAATCAGAAACAAATGCCAGTACAAACAAATAAAGACAACGGCTGGATGACTGGGGTGACTATTGGTGGAGCTGATATTGACTGAATGACACTGATCTTGTGTTTACTATCTCATGCGCTACTTTGGGTCAGCAAGACAGAGCCACAAAATGAGACACGGTGTAGTGTTACTACAAACTACTACACCTAAACTGTAACATTGATCATTTCAGTTCCCCGTCACAGCCAGGTCAAACAGCTGAGAGCTCTCTTGCATTTCTTATTGATATTTGTTAATGACATAATCCAAGGTCAGAGTCCTGCACAGAGTGAAGATGCCACACGTCCAGGCTGCTCCAGGGACATTGATTTATGAAGCATGTACTCAGATAACCCAGCAACAAGAGGCAGCAGTTCTTTAACAGAGATGACCTCACAACCTTTGGTCTAGACATGAGGAACATGTAGCTTGTAAAGTGTTAGATTTCTGCTTTGAGGGCTATTAGGATTCCAGTAAATGATTTTAATCAAGACAAAATAGCTCTCGTTTAGTGCAGTGAATAAACAGAAAGTTTATTTCCAGTATTGTGTGCTTAGTATCAGAGAACACTGAACCTTATTCATTCATTAAGGTTAGGGATATTTGCATTTCTATCGTAATTTTTACATGTATTTTTATGATTCTACTATGAAGCTCCCCAAAAATACAGATTTGTGGCACGTATTTTTCTACCTGACTTAAAAATTTCTTTTTCAGTTGTATTTGGGATTTCTAAGTAAAATAAAAGTTAATTAGTGTGCTTGTGCTTAGACGCTTGTGAAAAACCTTTCTTAGACCTCAGAACCTAAGCAGTTTTATTTCTACTTTAATTATTTATAATTTATGTATGTATAGGTATGTTTTACTTATTTATGTTTAATTGCTCTAGTTCACACATCTCAATGTTTTATATATTCTATTTTTATGTATATAAAGATGGCAGACCTGTATATCTAAATGTTTTATTTCTATCCCTGTGTAGCACTTTGTAAATGTTTTTTAAACTGCCCATTTATCAATATTTGAACACTCCTTCTGTGATCTCCCATTTGGCGTTGTACTAAATGTTCAGAATGGTCCGAACACCAAAAGATCCTACCTCTTTTAATCTATTATGGATTTTCAGGTGTGTCTCAGGTCCTGATCCTCTAATAATGTAGCTTCAGTGTTAATTTTGACAAGAAATTTTAATTTAGTTTTAGTCTTAGTCTTCTGACTAAAATTCATTTTAGTTTTAGTCACCTGATTTATTTTAGTTTTAGTCCAATTGTAGTTGACTTAACTATACTTTTTTCTGAAACATGTTGCTCATGACATTTGTATAAACAGGGACATTTAAAAATACGTACAGAATTATTGCTTGTAGCATATGGTAGCTATTAGGGGTGGGAACCTAAGGGTACCTCACGATACAATGCGATACGCGATACAAAGCTCAGAATAACGCTTATATCACGATAACACTTATATCACGATAACGATTATATCACGATATGACGATTATCGATATATTGGTCAGCTATATACCATATTCCAATGTATGGCATAAATAAAATAGAAAAATGTTAAGTGAAAAAATACACTTTATTTCATGATAAATGGAATGGAGATGTGTAATGTAGCCATATATTGAGTATTAAAACTAACTAAAAAAAAAAAAATCGATACTTGGCAAATGCATATTAATAATCGATCGCGGGAGTATCGTGATATCTCGAAAAATCGATATATCGTCACACTCCTAGTAGCTATTACTGTACTTTACTTTGGAGCAATCTTAATTCATTGAATATAAATTAAGATTGCTCAGAATATAATGTAGATCTGTATTTGAAGTGTCATGCAGGAGTGTTGTTGCTCAAATCAGGACAATAGGAGTAAAACTCAGACAAAGTTCACAGATCTTAGAGAATAAACTCTAAAGTCTGTGGTTAGATTTCCTAGCTTGTTTCCAGACTAGCTGAGACAGAACTTTACCTAAAATCACACTGAAGAAATAGTCCCTCATTGAAATAAATGCTCACAAACAAAAGCTGATGTTCCAGAGAAACAATTAGTAACTAAGTAAGTAAGTAAACAAGTAGTCTTACTTTTACATGGTGCATTTCACAGACCAATTTCAAGCAACACGATTTATAATGTTTTGGACCAATTTTTTTCCACTCCACACGGAGAGCCATTGAAGGCTCTGATCCCTTTCATTTTACAGTGATTCTAAATCAGGGAATCTTAATCTTAAACCTTCCGTAGGTTGATGCGCCAATGTAGATCAGAAGATAACATTGAATTACAATACATTACCTAGGCACAGGTCAATACTATCCTGTCTCCTATTTGACGGTGCAATTAGCAAAAAGTGAAAAATGAAGTAGAAAAACACAAACAATTTGTCAAACTCAAACATGGTTGATTACAAAAACACCAACAGACACTAAAAACTCTTGTGATTTCAAGAGAATCATCTACATTTCTGTGAATCTGAGATATTAAGAGATATATTTTGTACAATGTGCCCAAAGTACCCGTTTTGAGGAATCATTAATTGTCAATAACAGCAGTTCTTTTTGATCCAACCAAATGATTGTCAATCAAACTTACTTAAGTGAGTTTCATCCTTTCATCCACAGGATATGTCTGTGGATCATTGTGCATGTTGGTGTGTGCATGCTTGCTCTTCATGTCTACTTTTTATTATTCCAGAACCAAATAATTGCATACACATTTGCTGAATACCCTTCATACACAAAGAAATATCCATCCATTTTCTACCCTTTAATCCATTTCTGGGTCAGGGAGCTGGCAGTCAGAGATACCACCCAAGTCTCATAGCACCAGCCCCTCACTGACCCTCTGCAGGTGGTGAGTCCACAGGAGGACCGCTGCTCTCTGAGTGTGAGCATAGCCTTGATCTTTCAGTGGGGGCTTTGGGCAAAGTGGGGTTAAGTGTCTTGCCCAAGGACACAACGACAGCAGTCATCAGTGGGAGTCGGTGGCGAAGGTGCAGAGGTGGGAATTGAACCCACAACCTTCTGGCCTTAAGGCCAATGCTCTACCAACTGAGCTACTGTCAGAAATATTGTGTAGTATTATCTTAATTGCATCCTTCTTTTCATTAACTCGCACAAAAGTTCACGTGGGTTTATTTCAGGTGATAAGGAGGTCATTAAATTCTCATTTTCAGGCCCCTTTTCCAATTCTTGCTGTAGAATATCCTGCATAAAACATCCTGTACCAAAGTTTCAAGATCTTTTTGTTGAGATATTATTTAGTTGAGTTCCTGTTAGGGATACACCATTTTTTTTACAGAACTGATACAAGTACGAGTACTTGCCGATACCGAATACTGATTCGAGTACTGCGTTGTTATTCCTGGGAATTCATGAAACTAATGCAACTGAAATTTAAAATGTTTTATTTCAACAAAAAGAAAATGCTTTGACAAATCAACATTATAGCAATTCTTTAAACAATCAACAATACGAGCCACTGTCATATTCCACTCATATAAATGGTACAAAGAAATGGCTCCGGTGCTAACAAAGGTTACTCTGTGTGGTGGTGAGTTTTATCAAGTTGCTGGTGTTATACGTGTTTGTCACTCTCGTTTACTTTATAAAACTGCTATACGGCCGACATCTTGTAAGCTTGCCGCTTGTTTGCCGCTAGCTTGCCAACTTTGAGAGATCACCCTGGCAACAGTGCCACACAGCTATCTACTGTAATCACGCTAATGTGAATTAAGAATGTGTGTATCGGTTTCCGGAATCGGGTCTTATGGTATAAGTACGAGTACTTATACCAAATCTATCCCTACAAGCCTATGGTAGCGACCCAATACCAGATACCAAGATCGGTATCGGTGCATCGCTAGTTCCTGTCCACCTTCCACCCCAGAAGTTACACAAAGTCATCACTATTGATATTTACATCAAAAGAACCCCTTCACCTTGCAATTGTGTTAGAGTGGAGCCAATAATCTGATCCTTAGATTCTTCTTCAAGTTTGAGTACAATTTGCGTCCAGGACGAAAAAAAATCTATCCCTGGTTCATCAAAGGCTAGGAAAAAATATCATGGACTTACGGAGTGCGTGCCACTCGTCCTGCCGAATGGTCTTGGTGATGTTCACAGGTAAATTTCTTGGGAGGATGGACGAAGTGTAGTGATATTTGACTGGCGTGCATCTTTGAATGATTCCTGGAAGAAAAAAAGGCAAATCATTCAGAACAGTATTTGATTAGGATGCCATATGATTCAACTTGGACTCTGAGGAGCACAGGGACTGGACTCCTGCTGGCAGTGTTGGGAGTAATGTCTTACAGCTGTGGCTACAGTAGTAGTTTATCACCATCAAGTATGGAGTGAAAGAATATTGCCATGTGAAGCACCATTACCAAGTTTCATGCTGCAGACCTGTACTTTTGTACCTGCGTTCAAATGCAGAGTCAACCGTGTGAACTATTTTTGCAAATAGTTTCCTAAACATAATCCAAAGCAAGGTGTTTTTTAACCTTTCCTGCAAGCTGAATTCTCGTGGTATTTGTGAGTTCACGAACACAGGAAAATACATCTTGCACCGCTCCCGCCTACAGAGCCTACACTTTACCCAATCATGGGCCAGTCGTGAAGTTTAGGGCAGGATTTCCAGGTTTTGAGGAAAGCAAGCAGTGCCAGCCGAGGCAAAACAAACATGGCCACCCAGCAGGACGGATGCGCAGCTGAGGCTATCAAGTCAGTTTTAGATGTTGCTTTGTGTTGGCGAGGTTGCCTTTACGCTGCAAATTCGTGTACAAAAATGGAAAAAGTCATTCAAAGACAGGATGGCAAGGCAGTAATAATACAAATATTGCTTTTCACGTTGTATGTACGTGCCATGACTACAGTGTGGCTGGTGCTTTGTGTTAATTGTTATAGTAGAATCTCTCAGATCATTAGTTATTTGTATGCAAAAGTTACGAGCGAGTCCCAGGTAGAGCACCTCCTTATCACAGGAGCAGGAGAGTTTGTGCTTATAATCATTATAAGAGCAGTTGGCTGTTTCTATTGTCTCCTCTTATAAACTTATATTGGCTTAATAATAACAGGTATTCAAGACGTGCATATGCTACAGTGTTCATAACGTCCTTTCACATTTGACCAGGCATATAATATCTAGTTATTTTTCTAAAGCCAAAACTTGCAGCAAGCATGCATTTCTGCACCTGCTGTAAGTGCACACTTTACATGATTTTATACCCTTTGTGTGTGACTATATTTACACCCAATTCCAACCTGACAAAGCCGTACAGGTCGCGTATAAATACTCACATGCTCTAATAAATCAAGAGCATGTGGTCCTGGGAAAGGATCAGCACAATTGTAAAACATACAATTCTGGCGTCATCTTATAATTAATTAGAAAAAAACCATATTCCACTGTGTTTCATTATTGTCTTTATTATGATTATTTGTAGTATTGTTATCTTTGAATTATTTAAATTAATCTAAAAACAGCATAATGCTGTCTGTGTGTATCAAGAATTTATCAAATATAGGCCTACACATTTACAATCCAGGCCTATCTTGAATTTTTACTCAGAAACAAGCTCTTGAGTCCTGACTAGGCACCTTTTGACCAATTTACCCCTATTTTTAGCTTCTTCTGATGTGTTTTTATTGTTATTAGTGTAAATATGTTTTTTATTAATATTTGTATGTAGATGTCACTCTCATTTTAACTGCAAAAAATCTACCTGTGGGTACAAGTAAAGTCACCTTGAATCTTGAACTTTGCATTTAACTCAAAGTTGGAACTATAAGAAACATTTTTGCAATTCACTAAAAATCCTCTCTACAAGATCAGATACTAAACAATGTCTAACAGACGTATCCAAACATTTTAGTGAGAGGGTCACTTTAGTTCAGGGGCCGACAAACAAGTTTTTTGACAACATTCGAAGTACAACAAGTTCATATTGATTCACTATTGACAGAGCTGCAGCTGATTACACAATCACAACATCATTATATTCTTCTAAGTCAATCACTGGATACAAGAGGCTGTGTGCTTTAAAACAAGGTAAAGCTCTGTTGGAAGCACTGAAGTTGGCTGGATGACACTACAAGCTCAGTGGCTGAGTACTTTGGGGTAATAAGTCAGAGGGCATAATACAACCATACAGAGGACTGCTGGCCGGACTTTGGACGACAAAACGCACTGACACTACAAAAATATCAGTCAGGTTCTTCTGAAATTTGCTCTCATGCTTTTGGGAGTAACAAATTGGAAGCGTTGCATAGTTGAGACGGAAACAAAAACAGATATTTCCCAACAAATAGATGCTGTCATAACGCTGGCACATCAGCTATGATCAGAATTGGGATGAAAGAGCTGAAATCAAGCATTTTCGACTGCTACAACAATGTCTATAGTACAGAGAAGACGCAGCCTACACAGACTCAAAACGAGTTTTTCAAAAACACTGTGGTCGTTTATACTCTTTCAGCCTCTGATCACTAATTTGTACGACTGTTTCGTTCAATGTTTTCTGTGACATTGATGCATTGCATCTTCTTCCCCATCAGTTTGATAACTGCTTGTTTGAATTGTTTTGCTGAAATAATAATAATACATTTTATTTATAATGTACCTCACATTTCCATGAAACCTGAAAGTGCTAAAAATGATCTAGAATCTCCATTTAAGATAAGATGGGTCAAGAATTATTGATTAATATTAATATAGGCTGTTATTTTCGACACAAAATAGTTTTTTGAGTCTATGTTAACCTCAAACTTCACATGCCCAAATCAACACATAAAAGGCCAGTCTTAAAACAGTCCTCTTTAATTTAGCACATGGTAAGGTAGGTAAAACTTGAAAATATAACCTTAAGTGTAAAACAGTCACCGAGCTGCCTCTGTCCTCGTTCTGCAGTCTGAGTCCTGGATCTATAGCCCGTCCGTCCGTAGGAGAGGAGTTTTACCTTGCCGATGAAGGAGGATCTAACGACAGTGGTGATGATCCAGGACACTCCACATTGAACAACATTTATCAACAGTGATCAATATTTATGGACATTGGTCATCTGCCCCTTATGGACCAGTGTGTTTTTATCATTGCATTTCTTGTGTTGTAGCTGTTTGATTCTCTGATTTGTGATGACGAATTCAACGGTTTTGTAAAGTCCTCCGAGATGACTTCTGTGCTGGCTACTGTACTGGCTATACAAGATTACATTGAATTGAATTGAAAAGGTCTTGAACCAGCTAATAATGTCGCTGTCTTTATACAACTACAAATGGCCGCCTCTCCACAGATCTGACTTAAAACATGTCTACTGCTTGTCTAATAATGTCTCCATGAAGGCAGATCAGAAATGGACGGCTGTAACAAGCTGATCGATGTCTTCATGGGCGGAAATCTAACAAAAAGTGAGGGGGAAAGGCCGAGAAAAACTTCTATTTGGTTAAAGTGTCACAACAGCAACTCAGGCAGTTCTTTTTTTTAAGAGAAAAGAGCTGAAGTTTGCAGTGTGGTGTTTGTTTTCTTTTACATAACACTGTAACTGACACTTGGCCCCAAAGGTGATGCCGATACCAAAACCAGAAAGTGTCACATTATAACTCAAGAATACAAAATGTTAAATGTACCTCAAAGGGAACAAAACAATATTTTAGTGACTATTGTAGAACTAGATACACCTTTCCTATGTTCTAATGGTTTAATTCTCTTATCTGTGGTTGGTGAATAGACAGTCCTCCAAGACAACTGCTGTTGTGATTTAGGGCTACACAAAAATACATCAAATTTCATATTATGGTATTATCTTCATTATTATTATTGAAAAAACAGTGATCACTAACAATCACTCAAATGTGTATCGCATTTTCTGTGTCTAGTTGTCATAAACAAGTAATTGGACTTGTGAATGATTTGTCTTGTGACGTCAAAGGGATGAGTTAGTTTGGGATTAGGTGAGTATCCCAAAACAAGCCTGTTGTAAAATTGACGTTATTAATTATACTTTATTGTTCCCATAGTGAAAATTGTCTCATGCATGTGACTTATGCTTCAATGCCACTAGACTATAGAGCCTACAGGAGCAGTGGTCGCCCTAGTCGTCCTCTGTTGATGCTCGGCTGTGTCAGGACCAGAGCTGGTGGATAACTCCCATTGTACATGTTTTTAGAGGGAGAGGTAACCGGAGCACCTGGAGGGAAGCTACATAGACCCTGGGAAAACATGCAATTTCCGCTCCTGTTACAACCAGGATTCAAACACAGGACCTTCTTGTTAAGAAGCGAGAGTGATGTGATGTTGAACAAATAAAGATGTTGCCCTGTTAGCAGTGATTGATGAAGGAAATTGTTGTCTTTGCAAACCAACATTAAGATTTAAATGTCAGTTCACCGTAAGACTTTTAACCAAGCACCGGTGATCCAAGATGGCGCCCTATTCAAATGAATGGTTTGTGGTCTGTAGCGCATGGGACTTCACGGAGACCGGGAGATTAGCAGAACTCGCCAATATTTGGGCATCGTCTGGTCCTTCCGATTCGGCGCAGTGGACGAGCTCCCATGATGCTTTGCGCTATCTCCCATGATGCGTCGCGCCAAATACACGTGTGTAGGTCTCACATGGGCTTTCATGCACGCGCACAGAGGGGCTCGGCCGCGCTCTGACCAATCAGAGCTGTTTATCAGAGCAGCGGAAGAGCGGAGCCAGAGCGGGAAGGAAAGGAGCAGAGTTTGTGGCAGTAAAGTGTGGATTTAAAGAAAACCGAAGGATTTAAGAAGAAAAAAAGTTCAGGATGACAAGGGACACTAAAATCCCCACAAAATCCGATCTTTATGAAAGCTGTAGATTCTCTGTCAGCTGAGGTGGAGCTGTTTTAGTTTACATTGAGATCTATGGGACTTTTTTCTGGGTAGCCCATGTGAATTTAGTCTGCAGTACCACAGCCCCCCTGTGCCCATGAGTGGGACAGCTCTAAGCTAGTAATACCCTATCCAGTTATTATTATAGATCCATGCTTTTAACCAAGTAGTTAATATAAGATTTTTTTGAGGGTTATTCCCCCTTGAATTTATTATGGATCTGAAGAAGGTGTACAAACATGTGTCCTAACTGTAACCAGGCTTGCATCATCAAAGAGGAAAAAATCATTATGTTTATATAATACTATATTTAGAAATAAAATCATTCTGTATCTCAATGCGTGGAGATCACATCATATTAACAGACATTAAAAATTGTTTCAAACTGTTTCAAAAAGCGTAATGAAGAAGTATGTGGAGGAAAGAGGGATGCGCTCAGAAAAGAGAGAGTAGTCTGAGAGAGGTGTAGGGTTCACCCATTCCCTTTTCAAACTATGCTGCATGTAGGGTACAGGTTTGAAATGAATTAAGGTAAATACATCTCCAAAAACCTCCCTCCCATTTGTTTACAAGGTAGTGATGTTTTTCTGGCTTTGTTTTTTGACAACATTAAAATCAAACAGATATATCAATAGAGAGTGTTCCATAGTCTGCTTATTACCTTTTGTTTCCATCTAATCATGAAGGTGATTCTCCACCAGAATCTTGTGTTCTGTCTCTTTAAGAGTGGAATATTCTAACAGTCTGCCTGAAAGCTCTGTTCTCTCTGGCATTTAATCAAACAACCTGCTAGTATAGTGCTAGTATATACTAGTATAGTGAATGAATATGATAAATGTTATATAAATGCACCAAAAGACCCTGCACTGTTGTTACACTCTTATCATAAATATAATATAGATAAAATATCATAAAGGATCCATTCAGTAATACTGTGGAGTCGGTCTGAATGTGCTCATTTGTCACACAGAGAGTGAGGCCTGAGCTGTGAAAAGAGCAGCTGCACAGTTCTTGTCTGTGGAGACTTAATATTAGAAGAATTCTGTGAAAGCCTTTTAGCCACCACTTCACTGTCATTCACATTGACAGGATATGGCTGGGAGCAGCCACAAAACATAAGGAGGAGACCAGCCATTATGTCACACTGTGGAGGACTCCTGGTTTGCATCAGACAGGGGAAGTAAGGAGGTGGATGTATGCTCAAGTGGACAAAACATATCTATGAAAAATGTATATGGACTAACCGGATGCATCTGCTCAGAATAGCCTCTCTAGATTATAGGGCAAAGTGCACTGGATTGTTAGAATTGTTCGGTGATTTGTCTTATGTCACTGAGAATGGAAAGATACGGGGAATATATACATTATATATATATATATATATATATATATTAGATAGGAGACTATCTATATATATATATATATAATATAATAGTCTCCTTGGAAGGCTACTTTATACCAAAGCTGCAACATGCACAGTAATCTTATGCTAATGAGGAGGACAGAAAAATGCCATGGAGATAGCCAACCTTTTATGATACCTATGGAGCACAAGAAGCCTGACAAACATAATACAAGTGCTTGCATCCCAGTGACATGACATCCAGATGGAATGCTTCGTGTTTGGGGAGGCCCTAGGTGAGCTTGTGGCCTGCTGTCTGGTGCTATCAGCTGTTTACCTTTGTAGATGAGGTCTTCAGTCTCCAGGTCGAAGCCTTCCCGGTGACACTTTCTCCACAGCCCGGAGATGGTGGAGTTGAACTGACGGCTGCAGTGCGACTCCATGGCGGATGCCGCTGGGACAAAGTGCCGCTTAACCCTGCGGAGAGGAGCCACATCTGGGCCTTTGGCTGTCCTCTCCAGCGCGCTCTTTGGGGGCATCTTGAGGGGGAGGTTGGGGTTGGATATGTAGATGTATCCCGGGTCGTATCGCTTGTTGGCATAGTTCTTACATCTCTCCCGGTGTCGCCTGGCGTCTGTCTCGTACCAATAGTCGGTGCAGATGGCCATCGCGAGCAACCCGAGCGCGCACATAGCCAAGAAGAGCCCCGCGCTGGTTAACATTTTCATAGCGGCCATCTTCCTTCCCCACTCGATGGAGAGCCCAAACAGACGCAAGAAGCAGAAGCAGTTCTGGTCTCCGTGGCCGTGCTCGTGGTACCGCGTGAAATCAGTCACCACGGCACTCACAGCCTGTCGCAGCTGCGGGCTGGAGACATGTTTGGGCCGAGCCAGCGTCGTGTTTTGCGGTGGAGCCTCTGGATGCTATGTTGTTTCCACCATCTGTTATGGTACAGGAGCAGAGCGAGGGGGAGGGGGGAGATGCTGATGCTGCGGGCCCAGGACCAGGCTGGAGGAGGAGTGGTCATTTGTGAAGCCTCACTGATCACTCTGGGACAGACACAGCCCAACACAGAGCAGTCAGGCCATTATCATTAGGCTAATGCGAGGAAATACTCCAACACATTATATTGTACAGTAAGGCACTAAGACCTGCACGTTCATGTCTGGAGGAGGAAAAAAAAGAAAAGCTCATGTGCAAGTTTTCAGGTCTCAGAGCTTAGTCTGTGATCACAAGGGAGGAAATTCCACATTAGGTAATAAAGGCATACTCAAATATTTAGATACATTGATCAATCTAAGAATACTCGGCCTGTATAAAACCAAGACATTCTTAAAGAGTCACTAATGGCTTTAAAGAAATACTCCAAAATAATTTGCATCAGACCTAAACTTAAAGATTATTTAGGCTTAACATCAATGCAGTGTTTAGCTATCAATAACAAATATTGACGACACATGTGGAGTGAGTTTGGCTTGAACCTCGAAATAAATATCTATAATCAATGAATAATATGAAGTTATGAATCATTCGAAAGAACTCTTCTTTCTTATGATTATATTTGTTTATGCAGCATATGCATAACATTATCCTTTACAAACAAAGACAACATTTAAGTATATAACTCCCGTCTCAGAACTAGACTAATAAAAAGTTTAAGGCAAGAGTTTAAAAAACATCTGTTTGGGTCAAGGACTGTTTCAGCATCTTTCGCTGCACAATCAATATCAAAGTTGTGATGATCAGCAGCCTGCAGCATCTGTGTCCACATACACTTAGGGAAACAATTATGCAAACTATTCAATGAAATGCAACAAAAACATTATATTTTAATCGAGTTTATTCATTATAAAGATAATAAGAAAATTTCACTAGGATCTTTCATTGCAAGGGATTGGTTTATTATTATTTTTTACACAAATACACATCAAATAAAGATTTTATTCATATATTCTGTTCCAACATATTTTTTCTTTCTTTCATTATTTGTAAAAATATAAAGTCATTTTTTAAGTAACTGTGAAACTACTGACTGTATATAATACAGCATTTGTCTATGGGAACTAAACCTGACACAACTAGGACAGATTTTTGTTTTTGGCACAATTTTGTAACATGACAGAAAAAAAGCAATAGTTAATCTGGAACAAAATAATGCAATTTCAATTTCAATAAATAGCTGCATGAAAATAAAAACAAAACATCTTTTAAATAGCTAAAATATGAGGGGAGAAAGACATGCACTGGGTGATGTGCAAACGTGTTGGTTTAAATTTGCCACATGATTAATATCCATTATGTCATCTTCTGTCTTGTCAGTAACGAGCAGTGGCGTGTCTTATACTTTATATTAAATAGGTTTTAAGTACCAGATGAATGGAGCGTAACAGAGAAGGAAGTTTAAACGACGACCGACAGAAGAGCCATGACAGCTACGCCGGAGAAAAGGAGAAAGATCTGGAGCATGGACTGCCTGGAAAATGAAAATTATGTTTATAATAACATGCATTCAAACATAACCAATATATTGGCAATAAAGATATAATGTTACGTACTTATATCACTAAACTAGGAATGAAAAGGGAGGATATATTTAACAAGGACTTCACAGCCTACTGTTATTTAATCTACTGGATTAAACAGTGGAATGTTGGAGGAGGATAACAACTGTATGTTTAGAGATCCCAGCATAAATAAATAAGAAAGAGCACGCCGCCTGCAACACTGGTCAGGGTGCGATGCTGACTTTGATACATGTGCCTGATTTTTCACAAAAGGCCAAAATGGTTAAAACAGGGCTTAAGTGACATGAGAAGGCTTATTAAACTGATCCTATTCCACACAATAGTCCAAGGAACACACCCACTAAAGCTCTGTCCCCATTACAGAAACCTAAATACTTCACTGATAATGAAACCCATTTAAAATGTGAAAATTATACAGGTCATCTGATACCTCAAACTGGACTCCTGCAGAAGATCAGGGACAACATTGACCAAAGCAATGTAGAGGAATCCACCAGAAGTGAAAGGTAATATCCAGGAGGCTGTGTCTTCTATAAACACAAGTGAGATTTAGAAACTCTAAGAAGCGTGTAAGTCCTGCTGTAAAAATAATTGTACCTGTTCCTTTTGAAGGCTGAGTGTAGAGGGCCACGCATGCCCCCAGGACCCCGACCATAGCCGTGGACAGCTGCATGCGTGCAGCACTCCAGCGATCAAACCCAGCACGCAGCAAAATGGCAAAGTCTCCCACCTGCGGATCATGACATTTATCACAACACAGAACCAGATACACACAGCTTCTGTTTACACAACGATGAACAAGCACAAACGTTTACTCTGATTCAAACTATGTCAACTTTGAAGCCGGAGAAACGCAGAGAAATACATTTTGTCATGTCTCACCTCGTGGGGGATTTCATGGAGCAGGATAGCAAAGGTGGTGAGGAGGCCAACCTGCAAGAGCATCATTGAAATTAAAATGTATGCAAACAGCAAACTCAGGGAGAGCATGAGAGAACGCACAGACAAGCTTTGAATGCAGAAATAAGCAAGCTATTCCTCATCCACATTCATGGTGCGCATGAGGGCTCTTTGTGCCAAATTTGCATATACATACATACATATTATATATATATTATATATATATATTACATACATTAGGCTGTCAAACGATTCAAATGTTTTAGTTGATTAATTGCATAGTACTCACGATTAATCGCATTTTTAACAATCTATTTAACAATCTATTCTATATCCACTCCAATTGAAGTTAAATGAGATCATCAAATGAAATGACGCATTGTCATTCATACCAAATGTACTTAAATCTGTTAGATTTGCTCACAACGTTTTACTTTTGGGCACAACCAAAATGAGCTGTTAATGAAAGGGGAAAATGTACATACCCCAGCTTTAATTTAGCGAGTATAGTTTAGTTATAGTTTATATATAACTATTATATATAATAGTTATATATATATATATATAACTATTATATATAATAGTTATATATATATAACTATTATATATAATAGTTATATAGTGTATAATAGTACACTTCAACTGTGAGAGACAGAATGTGAAAAAAAAATCCAGGAATTCACATTGTAGGATTTTTAAAGAATGTATTTGTAAATGATGGTGGAAAATAAGTATTTGGTCAATAACAAAAAAATCAACTCAATAATTTGTAATATAACCTTTGTTGGCAATAACAGAGGTCAAATGATTACTATAGGTCTTCACCAGGTTTGCACACACAATAGCTGGTATTTTGGCCCATTCCTCCATGCAGAGCAGTGATGTTTTGGGACTGTCGCTGAGCAACACGGACTTTCAACTCCCTCCAAAGATTTTCAATGGGGTTGAGGTCTGGAGACTAGGCCACTCCAGGACTTTCAAATGCTTCTTACGGAGCCACTCCTTCGATGCCCGGGCGGTGTGTTTGGGATCATTGTCATGCTGGAAGACCCAGCCACGTTTAATCTTCAGAGCTCTCACTGATGGAGGGAGATTTTGGCTCAAAATCTCACAATACATGGCCCCATTCATTCTTTCCTTAAGCCGGATCGGTCGTCCTGTCCCCTTAGAAGAAAAATAGCCCCAAAGCATGACGTTTCCACCCCCATGCTTCACAGTAGGTATGGTGTTCTTGGGATGCAACTAAGTATTCTTCTTCCTCCAAACACGACGAGTTGAGTTTATACCAAACAGTTCTACTTTGGTTTCATCTGACCACATGACATTCTCCCAATCCTCTGCTGTATCATCCATGTGCTCTCTGGCAAACTTCAGACAGGCCTGGACATGCACTGGCTTCAGCAGGGGACACGTCTGGCACTGCAGGATTTGATTCCCTGTCGTCGTAGTGTGTTACTGATGGTAACCTTTGTTACTTTGGTCCCAGCTCTCTGCAGGTCATTCACCAGGTCCCCCTGTGTGGTTCTGGGATTTTTGATCACCGTTCTCATGATCATTTTGACCCCACGGGATGAGATCTTGCTTGGAGCCCCAGATCGAGGGAGATTATCAGTGGTCTTGTATGTCTTCCATTTTAAAGAATTTATTTGTAAATGATGGTGGAAAATAAGTATTTGGTCAATAACAAAAAAATCAACTCAATAATTTGTAATATAACCTTTGTTGGCAATAACAGAGGTCAAATGATTACTATAGGTCTTCACCAGGTTTGCACACACAATAGCTGGTATTTTGGTCCATTCCTCCATGCAGAGCAGTGATGTTTTGGGACTTTCAACTCCCTCCAAAGATTTTCAATGGGGTTGAGGTCTGGAGACTAGGCCACTCCAGGACTTTCTAATGCTTCTTACAGAGCCACTCCTTTGATGCCCGGGCGGTGTGTTTGGGATCATTGTCATGCTGGAAGACCCAGCCACGTTTAATCTTCAGAGCTCTCACTGATGGAGGGAGATTTTGGCTCAAAATATCACAATACATGGCCCCATTCATTCTTTCCTTAACCCGGATCGGTCGTGCTGTCCTCTTAGCAGAAAAATAGCCCCAAAGCATGACGTTTCCACCCCCATGCTTCACAGTAGGTATGGTGTTCTTGGGATGCAACTCAGTATTCTTCTTCCTCCAAACACGACGAGTTGAGTTTATACCAAACAGTTCTACTTTGGTTTCATCTGACCACATGACATTCTCCCAATCCTCTGCTATATTATTATCCATGTGCTCTCTGGCAAACTTCAGACAGGCCTGGACATGCACTGGCTTCAGCAGGGGGACACGTCTGGCACTGCAGGATTTGATTCCCTGTCGTCGTAGTGTGTTACTGATGGTAACCTTTGTTACTTTGGTCCCAGCTCTCTGCAGGTCATTCACCAGGTCCCCCCGTGTGGTTCTGGGATTTTTGATCACCGTTCTCATGATCATTTTGACCCCGCGGGATGAGATCTTGCTTGGAGCCCCAGATCAAGGGAGATTATCAGTGGTCTTGTATGTCTTCCATTTTCTAATAATTGCTCCCAATGTTGATTTGTTCACACCAAGCTGCTTACCTATTGTAGATTCACTCTTCCCAGTCTGGTGCAGGTCTACAATTATTTTCCTGGTGTCCTTCGACAGCTCTTTGGTCTTGGCCATAGTGGAGTTTGGAGTCTGACTGTTTGAGGCTGTGGACAGGTGTCTTTTTTTACAGATAACGAGTTCAAAAGGTGCCATTAATACAGGTAACGAGTGGAGGACAGAAGAGCTTCTTAAAGAAGAAGTTACAGGTCTGTGAGAGCCAGAGATCTTCCTTGTTTGAAGTGACCAAATACTTATTTTCCAAGACGACGCCTGTTGCGGTGTGTTCGGTTTGATTTGTTCCCAACATTTTACTTTTGTGTACAACCAACATGCATTTTTAATGCAAGGGGTAATTTAGGTACCTGAGCTTTAATTTTGTGAGTTTTGGTTGCGCAGAGGTAGGAGACACGGAGGAGACCTGCATTTGCAACAAGCTGGGGATGGTCCTGAACGTGTGTCAATGGTTCTGCCTGCACGTCCTGTCCACGCGTCTATGGTCCTGTCAGCGTGTCTATGTTCCGTGTGCATGGTTCTATCCACGTGTCTATGGTTCTGTCAGCGTGTCTATGGTCCGCGCTCGGTACCACATTACGTAGTGCGTTTGCTAGCTGTTGCCAAAGCAGCTGCAGCTGCTCCCGGGGTCAGAACGGAGGATGTAAATCCCGTTCGAGTCCGAACAGCAAACAACAGAAAGTTCCCGCAGTCATACATTTCACAGGAACGACATTGTCAGCAGTCGGGAATTGCGGATCCGTGGAAAATTTTGAAGAGAATTGGTCAAAAAAAGATAATCAGACGTGTCCGCTCCCAGCTCCAGAGAAAAAAATGCGGGAATGTGTTCTCGGCCTGAATGGGTTAAGTAAGGGATAACGTATATTATCGCCCTGAAGGTATAATAAGTACCTTCAGGGCCTGAAGGTACCTGTCGGTACTTATTTTCCGATAATGACTTGCGTAATATACGTTATCCCGCTTATTATACGGCTTTACACCAACAGAACACACAACATAAACTTCAGTCCACTTTTAGGAATGCCGAAAGGTTTATTTAATGACAGAAAATAAAATAGTTCCCGAAGGTTTTCCCGTGGCTATGCTAGTGCAACAGTTAGGCTGGCAACTTCCAAACTAGAACTCCCTGAAACTGCATGAAAACTGAAAAAAGAATCCTGAACATCAGCGGTGAGTGACCCATACATAAACTTAACCTAAATCCATATTTCGATCCTCTGCAAATGTGTCCGAAAATGTGCCGGTATCTTAAAATGTGCCGGTATCTACTTCCGGGTTTTTCGGGATCGCCTTTTCTCGCATTACATCAATGTTTTTGTCATGAAAACGTAAACGGAAAATTCTGAAAACTTCCGTGCACTTGTATTAAGACTGGATATGTATAAATTACTCTCCGATTAACATTTCATTGCGTTGATTGATTGGAATTTGCGTTTATTGAGCGGCCGGAACAACTTCCGGGTTTTTCACGATCGCTTTTTGACGCAGAGAAATAGTATTTTTGTCATGAAGACAAGACCAGAAAATTCTGAAAATTTCCGTGGCTAGCTCCGGAGTGGCCGGAACTACTTGCGGAGTTATCCACGCATTTGAAAGACAAGCAGAGAGTGCGTTGCCATGGGCAGCGGTCATTATTGTTTTGAGAGGTCCGTTATAGAAAATAATGACCGGTAGAACGTTTTGAAATTACATTCACATCAATGGAGCGTTCTACTGCTGCTGTGAGGAGCCGTATAATAAAGTAATACATCACTTGCCCGACCAGGCAACTTGCTAAAACAGCGCACTTGCCCGTCCCAAATCTTTTTACGGACAACCGTTAATGTCGAGCCCTGTAATGCAATTTTATTATATATATATATATATATATATATATATAAAGTCCAGGGAAACATTGTTTTATTTTAATTTATACAAGCCGAAGATAGTTTACATTGAGCCTTGTTGCAGTAGGAACAGCTAAACGTGGTGTGAGGTCTTGTACATTAGTTATAGACATGTGCGTGGATAACTTCCTCTTTGGCATATGTACGCGCACTTCACGCTGCTCGCCTTATGTTTCTCCAGCTGGACTCTCATTGGCCATTCCACCACCTAACACCAATCCACCAAAGTAAGCAATTACCGGTACTCTCCACTTTCTCCAGTCTTAACAAATTTGAACAATATCTTGAATAAGATCAAATCCTTATGAAGCATAACATATATTAAAATGAAACCATAGCTACCAAATTATAAATGGCTGCATGATTCCGGACACTAAAAATAAAAATACAACTGGTCTTCTTCACTCTGCCAAATGCTGTGAGTGTACTGCCAAACTATCTCATAGGAGGTGTTACTTCTATGCACGGTTACAAGACCGGTCTCAAATAAATCAATGAATTCAGTACGGGGTCAAAAACTTTACAAAGAACCTAACATCACAAGCTGTACCACATAACATGTACAAATTAAGTTGTAGGCATGGAAATTATTTCAATCTGTCTTACCTTTTTGCTAACCAGGAAGCTTCCTCCTACTGCCAGGCCATGAGTAAAGTTGTCTATGCAGTTTGCCAACAGGTTTAAATAGCCACTTGTCTAGAGTTTAAAAATAAAAACACAAAAATGAACATGCCAAAGGAAAAAAGAAAGCATAATATTATAAATCTAAAAATGTTATGGAATTGTAATGTAATCTTTCCCCCCCCACTAAGACAATATATATCAAACAGCCAACAGGGTTCAGTCATGTTGTTCATTCATTCATTCATTCATTCATTCATTTTCTACCCCTTTATTAGTCCACATCTGGGTTGAGGGGGGTGGCAATCAGAGCTGCCTCCCCATTAGTTTTTATCCGAAATGTTCGCACCTTAATTTTCGGAGCCGATTGCAGCGGACACGGGTTCTTAGATTTCCATGAGTCAGTCTGATGCCCGTTTTGGAGTGACATGTCTGTCTTTCCACAGAAAACTGAAATAGACTGTTTCTGTGAACAAAATGCAGAAAAATGCATAAAACAAAATGGCTGAATGTCCCATTATAAAACAGGGGGTCTCGGTGGTTGGTCATAGACAATAAGTGTTGCATTTTCTGAATCAAATTATAAGTTTATACTTCAATTCAATCACATTTGTTTTTGTACTGCCCAAAATCACAACAGTCAGCTCAAGGGTAGGGCGCCACATGAACCAACAGTTCATGGTCTGTAATTACAGCAAGGTCATTACTGTTATATTCCTATATTGCAGTATAATCACAAAGTTAGAATAATGTAAGTATATTTTTATTCATGAATATAGTATATTCTGTGAACTCTACAGTTCTCAATAGGATTTCTCCAGTGAACAGTCAATGAGCCAAAGCGGCTGCTTCAGGACTAAAAATAGTGGGAGAAAATGGGTGGATTCCACAGAGGAAGGAAGTGAAAAAAACGAAATAAAAAAGAATCAGCCTTTCTATATTATTATTACCAATGATAGTTAAATATACTTACAATAAACCTGAGCTCTACAATATTCATGCGTGCCATAATTTCCATGTGTACAATTTGACTATTACGTTGTTTATTTCTCACTTATTACAGTATTATACGCATGTTTTAAAATAAAAGCAAAAAGACTTCATCAGGTCTATTTTTTTATTTATCTACAATTTGAAATTTATTTATTAGTTGTTTTGCCCCTGGACAGACACCACCTTAACAAAGGGAACCCCTGCAAATATTTGCTTGCCAGTACGCTTCAGGTATAGTGACCATGGAGTGTAATGCTCAGTTTGTATTCTTAGCAGGTTCTAGAATTAAAAAAGATTTTTTTTTTTGCATAATACACTTACAGAGTTGAAATTCAAATCTGACTTAGCCGTGGCGCTTTTATTGCTGTCCTCATCTGGAAACATCTTCTCCAATAGTAAAAAGGCCAACAAACCAGCAATTAACCAGAAGCCTTGGGATGTGTAGTGATTTTGTTTACTCACTGTGAAAGTAAAGCATATGAAAATAGTGTTAATACACAAGCATTACCAAACAGACAAGTGCTAATTAATAATATTTATTAATTATGATTAATCACAGCAGTAGTAGAATGCTCCATTGATTTGAATGTAATTTCAAAACGTTCATTATTCTTTGATAACGGACCTCTCAAAACAATAATGACCAATGCCCATGGCAACGCACCCTCTGCCTGTAATTCAGATGTGTAGATTACTCCGTAGTTCCGGCCACTCCGGAGCTAGCCACGCTCAATAAACGCAAATAGCAATCAATCAACAAATTTAAATGTGAATCGGATAATACAGTACATTATACATATACATTCTTAATACACATGCACGGAGGATTTCAGAATTTTCTGTTAACGTTTTCATGACAAAAATACTGATCGCAAAAAACCCGGAAGTAGATTCCGGGACATTTTAGGACACATTTGCAGAAGATTGAATTTCGGATTTAGGTTAGGTTTATGTTTGGGTCCCTCACCCTGTTGTAATATACATTATCCCTTACATATTTATAAATATACATTATCCCTTACATATTTATAAACCACATTCAAGTAAAGAGGTAATTTAGAACATCAATCATAATGCTCAACAACTGAAATGAGTACCAGAGGAGCCAGACAGCGCCCAAGCCTCAGGCAAGAGATGAAGGAAAACATCTCCAAGAAGACCACCAATGGCAAAGCTCAAGAGCTGCTTCAGTCTCTGAGATCCAGCTGCAACAAGCAGGGCATACATTCAATCAGAAAACCACTTCTCTTGTATACACATGACATAATATCATTCACAACTCTAAATGTCAGTTTGTGTTGTCCAGTTGTGTTTGTACCTTCAGTTTTGACAGCTGCACATGCTTCTATGGGAATGACAAGTAAAGGAATGATTCCACAGAGGCCCACAGTAATGGAGCAGAGCAGAGCCAGTAGTAGGACTTGTGCCTCCTCAGAGCAGAGGAGGTCAGCTGCAGCCTGAAGGCTCTGTAGGAAGTTTATGGTACTGGATCCTGCAGCGGTGGCTGTGGTTTGAGCCATTACTGTTTGGATCATTCTCTGACTGCTGGACGCTCCCCTGGAGGTCAACGTCAGCAACAACACTGGGACCAGGAGCACAGCAAGAGCCCAGCTGGGCTTACTGCTGCTTTTGTCTTTCATCCAGCCCATGGTCCGAAATGCACCAGCAACCAGTTCTGCTGTTTGGAAAACGTAGTGTGGTCAGTATGCAATGGAAACAACAATTTTAACATAAGTTTAGTTCATTTTAGTCACAGTTCAACAAACCTAGTGGAGCCCCAGACGCTATTACATCTATGGTAACGGAAATATGACATCATGATAAAATGACTGAGAAAAGGCTCAGGCAGAAGCAAAGGTTCGCAAATTAATATCTCATCACCCTGATTTATAAAATACAATTCAATTATTAAATAATGTATAAACTTATTCATCCATTAAACACAAAGAATGAACATGCAATATGTTGAGTTACAAAGAACATAGCATTGTAAAAGCTAATTGAACAGTTAGCAAAGTGATCATGTTTATACAAGATACAAGTAGGATACCCAACAAGTAACCTAGTAAAAACTATTTAACATCTTGAGTATTTTTTAAAGAAATAAAACCAGAGTCCACACTTAATTTTAACACAGGGACACGAACGAAACGCGGGTAAGTAGGTAAATATATGTTTGCTTATTATACGTGCAGACACGTGTACAAAAACTATCGTGTTTTTTTCCATAAGGTTTTTTCTAAAGTTAGCTGCCGTTAGCTCGTGCGCACGAGCTGCCGTTAGCTCGGCTCGTGCGCACGTACACAGCTAGCATTAGCTCACACCACTGCAGAGTGGAGCTACTTCTGCTACAACATAAGCCACACGCACAAGTTTCGACTGTTTACTTTGAAACAGACTTGAAGCACCTAACATGTGCAGTTACCTTGTGTTTTCGACTATCTCTGCTCCAGCATGTCCCTGCCATCCAGGCCCAATGATGAAACCAGGCTGCACGGCGGAGTCAGAGCAGGATCCCAGCACTCCGCAGGAATCACAGCAGCAGACAGGGCTTTCCCAAACAGCCACGTATCAGGATCATGGAGGAAAACCAAAACAGCACAGACCCCGCCCACAGACGCCCCTGGAAACATGAACTTTCTAGAAAAGCTGCACATTGTCACGTACTGTAAATACTCTGAGCGTGTAGCGTGCTCTGGTGGATCTGAATTTCTAAGGAACATACTGGGCTTTCTTCATAGGCTCTAATGGTGTACAGAGATGTTGAGTATAGTGATAGATGCGCCCAGAGTTACTGACCAGAAAACTACTATCATTACTTACTTACTCCTGGTTACACTTGTATTACCTCTGAAGCTAAGCAATACAGGCTATGGGTAGTGCTGTGATGGGAGATCGCTGAGAACTCCAAGTGCCACGGTGGAGCGACTTCAATGTTAACTGCCAAAACTGTTATTGTGTTCTAACTGTCCTTGGGCAAGACACTTGCCCAGTATGAGTCAGTTGTGTGCATGAATGATAAATGGTGGTCAGAGGCAACCAATATGGGCAACAGCCCATATTGGTTGCCTTGCTTCTGACAGTGTGCCCCAAGGCAACTGTGGCTACAATAGCAGCTTATCACCACTGTGTATGGAAAAAAGTGCTGTATATAACTGATGCATCATTATTATTATTATTAAATCAAGTATCAATGTCATTATTATTATTGTTATTATTATCATTACCTGCAGACATCCAACAAAACCAAGTGCAATGTATCTTGCCTTGTAAGGAGTAATCACACAAATGTGTAATGAGATATAAGGCCACACCACTGTTGCAATTGTGAAATTTACCTTGACACTTGTATAGCCTAATATTAATAAAATAGTGAATAGTTCTTGTTCACGTATTAATAGTCTGTCTAGCCATGGTCATGACAAGTGTTAAGATGTGAAGATAATGCAAAATAAAGTGTGATTCATCACACCCTGGTCTCACTTTAGCAATACACTAATAGAGGAAGTAAGCTTGAGACACCTTATATGGTTTCAATTTTGATCATTATGTTCCGTCCTAAAAAAGTATTTATTGTACACATTAGCAGTAAATTTGTTTGAATTAAAGGTAGAGTAAAAACCTATGCAGGCAAATCCAAACATACACACAATACCACACTCTGTGAACCACTGTTGGGCCATAACATAGAACCTTTTTTCTACTTTTAGACGCCCAAATTCCACAATTTTAAAGACTCGTCTGAAGAAAATGAATGGAGTAAAAGGACTGGATGGGGGGGGGGTCCTTGAGTGGAAACTGCTGGACCTCTTTAAATACAAGTGAGCCACCAACCTCGATCTGACAATGCATCATTTATTTTATGTTACATTCAAAATTCAATTGAACGTGGGATAGCCTTTTTCCCTTTTGTTTTGAGACGCAAACATTGATGCAACAGCTCAATAAACTGATCCATTTGAAAGCAATGCAATGAAAAAACATTATCTCGTTTTTTTGTTTGTTTTTTTAAGCCAAAGCTTTCATTTGGATTTTTTTCTTTTTCTATAACTTTAATAGCATGTCTGCGTATTATTAAGTGGAGTGTGTTCTAATGACTAAGTCCTCAAGCCTCTTCAAATAGGAAGCTTTGGTCACCTTCTTGTTTTAATGGGGAAGGAGAAGAAGCCTATATGGCACCAGCCTAAATTGGTAGAATTAAGGAAGTTTTTAGTTCCTCTGTTAATTCAGAGATACATACAAAGCCTGAATTTTTCAACCACCTTTGACAATTGTCTTTGAGTAGAACAACAGCTCCAGCTGGATGGTTTCTCTGCTCTTCACTAGTGCCTCGACACGGTAGGTCAAAAGCCTTCTAGTGCGCTGTGATGGGGGCGTTTCTCTCTTCTCGATTTCCCCCCAGCCCAAGTATGAGATGTTATGTTTAGATGTTTAAGATTCTACATTACTTTTCTACTTTAGGCTATACAAATCTATAATGAGTATCTATGTAACAATATTTACATTCACATCTTTTGCACTTATAGTAATTGTTAATAGTTGTAATACGAATTGGAGCATTGACTGTCTGTTGTAATCAAACCCCACTGCTTAACTTTCTTCCCTGAAATATCCTAAAATAAAAGGGTTCGTTTCATGTGGGACATACTAGCTTTTTACTAGGAGCTAGAGCCTTCACAAACCTTACTTATGTTGGTCCTGAAGGAGGGTCACCACCAGCTTGCTTCCCTGGAAAAAATCTATTTCCATGGACTCATTATACATTGTTCTTTATGCAAGATAAAATAAAATACATCATCTTAATTAATGAAAGTTAAAATAACAATGACAATTGATGCCTTTCTAACTGTGGGATACATTGTATCTGTTTCAAATGTAAAATGTATTTTTCTGATGAATTTTTAAACTTAGTTACTCAATCTCCTCATAAGCAATTTGGAGTGCAAATGATTTTGAAATATGTGCACTGCCACAGAAGTTTCAGAGTGTGGACATTGCTGCAGTCACTCTGGTCAAACTGATGTTGTGCAGAGGATGAGTGCAAGACTTCCTGTTGCAATGTAGCCTGTATCCTGTTTTCCACAGTCAGTGGTCATGCGTGACATTCCCCTCCTCACAGCCGCGTGGGCACCACCTCGTGACCCTGTCACCACAACTGCACCAGACACACGGACACTCCAGAGACTGGAAAAAAGTCGCTGCCAGCTTGAAATGAATATAGGAAAACAAGTAACAGCTATAATAGTGATCAAGCATCTTTAACGGCCCTTTTAATACAAGCCTGACATGAGAAGGACATTGACACCTCAGGCCTGAAGGCGTAGTGGTCAGAGGTTGTTACTCTAAATGTGTGTGTTGGCGTTGACAGCTTCTCAGATGCAGATTGTGTGACAACATTCAGACCAAAAACTGTCAAAAGCAGTTACACCCTGTGCTGTTGACCCTAAACCAGCTACTGTGCATTACACATTTGTCACTTTACAGGAGCATATAATCTCAATATATAATTTGTTATTTTTTACACCCAGAATGTTCTAGTCTTAAATTGATAGTGCTGAAGTCATGTTGTGAATGGTGTTGGGGACCGCCACCTGCATGTTTCAATGGAAAATATGTTATATTTTTAAACTTTGTGATCACATTTGGTGGGGACCACACAAATAATCCCAGTGTGTGACCATGACTTGCATCTGATAAAAATAAACCATTGGAGAAACCATGCGGCATTTTGTAATGGTGTTGTTTTTATGGTGGCGCAAGGCAAGCGGCCAGCAGACATGCAAGTTATTGTAGCAACTTTGATATAACAACAAACAAACAAATGTAACAAAGTGAATGTTGACATGTTGTGCAGTTTCATGGCTTTAGATAATATTTGGTATTGTGTGCATAAGAAATAAACCCATGAGAAAAACACAAAGTTAACAGGAGTACTATGATACTCAAAACTTTGGGATATTCATGTGAGTGTTTTGAAACAAGTCAAAATAAGATTCAAGCAAAGTTGTATCCAAAAGTTTTTAATCTATTGTAGAACATTGAGTTGCATTGAGACTGAACTCTGCAAAACAAAAAAGATAAGATAAGATGAGATAAACTTTATTGATCTCAATATGGAGACATTTACATGTAACATTTGGCATAGATAAAGTCACTCAGATTGTGCATAAGACAGAAGTGTGCAAAAAAAAAAGTCTGTGCAGGATATACAGTAATTATGTGCAATAAATAGCAGTGCTGTTTTGCAGGTCATTAGTGACTTAAAGTGACTTTGTACAGTCACTTGTACAGTCTGACAACGGTGGTAGCACTCTTTCTTGCACTGGGGGTGTCTCAGTCTTCCACTGAAAGAGATCCTCAGCTCCTTAAACGTTCCTTGCCTTAAATTGTGATATGATTGACAATTATATAAGCAAGATATTGATAATCACAGTATCGCCATACAGTTATATTACTGGTATTATGAGTGACCATGCTGTGATTCCCAGCCCTACTCTAAACAATGCAATAATATCTACTTCTAAAATGACTGACTACATGTAAGTCTTGTTTTTCCTTATCAGCCGACTCCATCCGAGGGTTAAATCCAGGCCTCCAACCGATCCGACTGAGACATCCCTTTCAGCCCAGCTTCAGGGAACTGAATCTGAGCGGCAGGTTGTCACTTCCCTTTTTCATCCATAGGTCACAGTTTCTGGACCGTTTCATTACAGAATTTGTTGATTGTGGCAGAAACAGGGCAGTTACGCAATTGAAGATGTTGAAAATAGTAAATAGATACTGCTTTTGTTTCCAGTGCAACACTGTTTAAGTTGCAGGTTTTCATATTTTTAGTTTTATTTATTTATTCAAACTATTACTTAATACTCAATACTCAAATAATGGTGTTTTTTGAATTAATTAACTATTGTCAGTGAGGTCTATTATGTAAAACGTTAAGATTTTATTGAGAGATCGTAGAATGTTACAAAGAATGTATAATATTCAATTGATGATGTAACTACAAAAACAATATTCTCACATAATTTGAACTGAGCCAATTAAAATGTTTTTTTGTCTTTTTACATGATATAAACTTACGGCTTGTACACTTAACATGATTACTGTATTATGTGTGCCCTCCTGAAGACCTGTGTATGGGGAATCAGGCTGAATGATGGTCAGAGGTCAATGGTGAACAATATCAGTGATGTTGTGCCCTGTTATAGATTTGTAATGCATTGTATACAAACGTTGAGCCATCTCTTACACATGCTGCTTTTTGGTGGTGATGTATACTGTAAAATGTGCTATTCAATATTGTACACAAATACAAATATGTCTGTTATTATTACTCTTTATTTCAAACTAAATATTAATTGATATATATCTTAAACAAATATGTTATAATTGTATAACACACTTTATGCAGTCATATGTTGAACATAGCGTGTTATAAAAATGTAAGTCATAAGTCTATCGGAGGCGACAGTGGCTCAGTTGGTAGAGATTGGCCTTTGGGCCTGAAGGTTGTGGGTTCGAGCCCACCACAAGACCTACTTCACGACTCCCACTGATGACTGCTGTCCTTGTGTCCTTGGGCAAAGCACTTTAACCCCACTTTGCCTTAAGCCCCAGCTGAAAGATCAAGGCTCCTGTGGACTCACCACCTGCAGGAGGATCAGTAAGGGGCTGGTGCTATGTGCACTGGGTGCTGCTCCGACCTAGAAATGGATTAAGGGGAAGAAAATGGATGGATGGATGGATGGATAAGTCTATCGTTAATATGAACTCAGTTTGATTGTAAGGTCACAGAAGAGATCACCGAAACACTAGTCAATATGAAACAAAAAACCAAAAAAGGTTAGAAAAGGTTCAATATGTGTACAAATCATATATTATATGAAAGTGCATGTCTGAGAACACAGGGAGGATAACAGATAGATATATCATTCATTCTTACTTACTGACTATAACAAGAGATGCACAAAATAAAAACTCAAATCCATTAAGAGAAACATCAAATACATGAATTTGATAGCAATGTACGTATGGATACATGTATACACTATATATGTACATGTATTGAATGTAAAGTAAGCTGATAGTACTACAAATACAAATAAGCTTGAACTTCTATTTTGTGTGAAAATTTATATATTTCCTCTGTATTAATAAATATACAGTGCCTTGCGAAAGTATTCGGCCCCCTTGAACCTTTCAACATTTCGCCACATTTCAGGCTTCAAACATAAAGATATAGACATTAAATTTTTTGTCAAGAATCAACAACAAGTGGGACACAATCGTGAAGTGGAACGAAATTTATTGTATAATTTTAACTTTTTTAACAAATAAAAACTGAAAAGTGGGGCGTGCAATATTATTCGGCCCCCTTGCGCTAATACTTTGTAGCGCCACCTTTTGCTGCAATTACAGCTGCAAGTCGCTTGGGGTATGTCTCTATCAGTTTTGCACATCGAGAGACTGGAATTCTTTCCCATTCTTCCTTGCAAAACAGCTCGAGCTCAGTGAGGTCGGATGGAGAGCGTTTGTGAACAGCAGTCTTCAGCTCTTTCCACAGATTCTCGATTGGATTCAGGTCTGGACTTTGACTTGGCCATTCTAACACCTGGATACGTCTATTTGTGAACCATTCCATTGTAGATTTGGCTTTATATTTTGGATCATTGTCCTGTTGGAAGATAAATCTCCGTCCCAGTCTCAGGTCTTTTGCAGACTCCAACAAGTTTTCATCCAGAATGGTCCTGTATTTGGCTCCATCCATCTTCCCATCAATTTTAGCCATCTTCCCTGTCCCTGCTGAAGAAAAGCAGGCCCAAACCATGATGCTGCCACCACCATGTTTGACAGTGGGGATGGTGTGTTCAGGGTGATGAGCTGTGTTGCTTTTACGCCAAACATATCGTTTTGCATTGTGGCCAAAAAGTTTGATTTTGGTTTCATCTGACCAGAGCACCTTCTTCCACATGTTTGGTGTGTCTCCCAGGTGGCTTGTGGCAAACTTTAAACGAGACTTTTTATGGATATCTTTGAGAAATGGCTTTCTTCTTGCCACTCTTTCATAAAGGCCAGATTTGTGCAGTGCACGACTGATTGTTGTCCTATGGACAGACTCTCCCACCTCAGCTGTAGCTCTCTGTAGTTCATCCAGAGTGATCATGGGCCTCTTGGCTGCATCTCTGATCAGTCTTCTCTTTGTTTGAGATGAAAGTTTGGAGGGACGGCCGGGTCTTGGTAGATTTGCAGTGGTCTGATATTCCTTCCATTTCAATATAATTGCTTGCACAGTGCTCCTTGAGATGTTTAAAGCTTGGGAATTCTTTTTGTATCCAAATCCGGCTTTAAACTTCTCCACAACAGTATCTCGGACCTGCCTGGTGTGTTCCTTTGTCTTCATGGTTCTCTCTGCGCTTTAAACAGAACCCTGAGACTATCAAAGAGCAGGTGCATTTACAGTATACGGAGACTTGATTACACACAGGTGCATTCTATTTATCATCATCAGTCATTTAGGACAACATTGGATCATTCAAAGATCCTCACTGAACTTCTGGAGTGAGTTTGCTGCACTGAAAGTAAAGGGGCCGAATAATATCTCAGTTTTTTATTTGTTAAAAAAGTTTAAATTATCCAATAAATTTCGTTCCACTTCACGATTGTGTCCCACTTGTTGTTGATTCATGACAAAAAAATAAAATTTATATATCTTTATGTTTGAAGCCTGAAATGTGGCGAAATGTTGAAAGGTTCGAGGGGGCCGAATACTTTCGCAAGGCACTGTATATAAAACATTAAAATCTTCTTCAGTTGGTTATTGTAACATAATGAACACCTGGATATGTCCTGGCTGAAGATGGGCTTTACACAACATTTATCATGAGCCCATAGAGCAGCATCAGTATCTTGGCCGTTTGATAACAGGATCACTCATCTGACAACACACACACATCTTATCACACACTGTTCCACTGCATTTAGCTACGGCCCTGCGGCTGAGTTCATATGATTACACTGTAAAGACCACAGAAGTACATCTCCACACTTGGTAAAGGTAATTTTAGACAAATTGCTCATAATGTCCAAGTGTGTTTGAGGGAAAAAATATTTGACAACACTTGACAACAAAAACAAATTTGTCAATACTATTCTCGTCAGACATTAAACCTGAGGTGCCTGTTGTCCTAACTGAAAGGAGAATTTAAAAAAATGACGTGTATAAACCATTTTATAAATCCATGTTGTTGCCATTACGTTTCAGACAGCAAATAGAAGTGTCAACCCCACTTGAACAGTCAATCAGCTTTCAGCCCAAATAGTAATTTTGTGACTAACACGGCGCTCCCTTCTAAGTGCAAAACAGTGGGCAGTCATTGAATTCTAAATGAAAAAACTGAATTTATGAGAAGAAAAAGTTGAGTACCCCAGCATTATTGGCAGCTACAACAACTGTTTATTATATCCTTTTTAACTAGAAATGTTTTGACCTTTGGAACATGCATCTGTGTGCAATGTAAGACAATGCAGAAAAACAGACAGCATTTTTTTTTTTTTATTAATCGGCCCCCTCCTAAAATGCCTATTAAGGGGGGGATTGCTAAACTCAACTGTGATTGGCTGTTTGAGGAGGCTGTAGCATTAAGACCCTGATAGAAGTTTCATCAATGACTAAAGGTTTTTTGACAGACGCACTCCAATGCTCCCACCCACTTGCGTTTACAGAAGTCCCCGTGTCTTTGCCAGTCGAGCATTGGCCCTTGGTCATTTCTTTTGGTTCAGATGCAACAAGAGGCCTCTGAGGTCAAGTGAGAAAGGGACAAATTTAAGCGCAGAGACACATTTGTTTTTTTTAATGTTGACTGAGAGGAAATTTTGAAATATTTTGCAATGGTGCCACAAACATTTTGAAAGATTGTGAGTGAATCTTGTTGTTGGACAGTAGGTCTCCATGTTGCATCCGTACAGAATGGAGAGCTACCTCATCCCCCCTGTAAGTACAATTTTAAATTATTCAATTATTTAAAAAATGTTGATGTTTTTTTTACTGTGTAATTAAAGTCTCTGTTTTAATGAACTTCTATCTCTAATGTAATACTATGATGTGCATGTCAAGATCTGGCTGTATTATAAATATGCGAGTGGAGCTTGTAAAATGTCTTTGTCTTTATATAATGTACTATTATCCAGGGGAACCATGAAATTGAAACTTTGGCGTTGGGGTTTCAATACTGTCAACGTCTGAAATATGGTCACAGACAAGACTTTTGCGTCATGGAAGATTACAAAAGTATTGCTCATTTTGGAACTGACAAACGGGCAGAAAATCTACAATATTATTTTATTGCATTTATAATTACTTCATTATAAATACGAAGTAATTACGGTTTGAATTAAGTAATAAAGTAATTTTTAAAAAAATATTTGTAACTCTTCTGCTTTTAGCCCTCCGAAGAGATGTATGACCCAGAGATCTACAGACATCAAATGGAATATTACAACCCGTATGTTCTTGAAACAGAAATCCAGTCAGGTGAGTTTTACTAACGTTTTTATAGCGATTTGGCTCAATAAGTCCCTTTTTGTGTTCTGTGTTGTTATTTTTTTAATAAAAGAATAATACGATGTGTGGTATTTTATAATGGGGTAGGTCACAGGTCGAAGAACACATGGGTAATTTTGATCTTTAAATACATTGTGGTTTGGTTGCAATACAATCTTTTCAATATTTAAGCGCATACCGCACCACACAGGAAACAGATGCCATTTGTTTCGCTTGAGCCAAATATAAGAAATCTTCACCCATGGGTTTATTTTGACACAAGAAATGTACTTTTGTGTCAACGGCATTACAGTAATAAACATGTACATGCTGTACTTCAAAAGTCCTATTTTCTAACCTTTGTGCCAGAATACATCTGGGAAACATAATATGAAAATACAAATTTACTGAAAAAATGTCCATGTTTTCATAATTAAGTTTCAATCAAGTCCATTTTTATGTACAGCCCAGACTCACAACTGCAGCTGTCTGTGAGGATTTAACACAATTGTTGATTTACCCATAGATTAGGAAATAAAACTGAATCAAAACAGCCTGATAAAATAATTAAAACAGTCATTGGTCCTTGAAGACAAACAAAATGCCAATTGTAGAGAAACAAAACCATCAGGAAAAAGCAGCATGCCAATGTCAGGGTTGTTCTGTGGAGGAGACGTTAACACGGCCGGAACACGTCAACCGTATTTTAATTAATAAAATTATAATACACTCAATTCTTATCATGGAAGCGTCTGAGCCCTTGTATTGTATCTTAAAATAATTTCTCAATCCAGTGATTTATTTTTTTTTTTTTAATTCTAAATAGTGTTGATGGTCGAGAATACATTCATACATAAATAATTATACTTTTATTTAATTAACAGAAAGCTGCTATGGCATGTTCATGTGCCTAAAGTTGAGTTTGTGCCTTGTTGTGTGCAGATCACTGGGACTACCACACTCATCCTGCAGTTCATCCAGTGGAGTTTGAAACGCTCCATGAGACAAACTTCACAGAGCTTCAGAGCGTCCAGCCTCTACACCCAGCTCTCATCCGCTACGACCCAGACCCCCTGCTGGAACCCAGTCTTCCTGCTCACCCACACGTCATACAACAGCCAGTGAGTGTGAGCTGGGATGTGTTGTATCACTCAATCATCCATTCATGTTTTTTATGCTTGTTCCGTTGCTGGGTCACAGATGCATAAGTGTAGATGAACAATGTTAACCCATCAGCTCAAAGATCACCGAATATGGAAGTTTTGCTCCAGCTCACTTTGTCTCCAATTAGCTTACATTGAAAAGTAAACTCGTCTGATGCAGTAACCGTTTGTGCCACACTCAGTATTTTGTTTTTTACTTTGACATTGTCTATTTGAATATAGTTATGAATCCTAACAACAGAAGGAAACCAATCAAACTCTGGCTTTAGATTGCAAGTAGGAGCAGACCAGAGCCGCTCCAGACATTTGGCTCAAGATTCCCGCCCAATAGGAAAACAATAAGAGTGAAGTCAGTGTTCGGTTAGTCCATTCTAGTCTATGACAGAGATGCCCAAGTGGACTAACTCAAAGTACTCATCATTTTATCATGCAGTAAAAGGAAATATAACACAATAATTATGCTGATATTTGTTTTTAAACAACTAAATACAAAACGGGGAGTGTGCCTTGACTTTTTCAGTAGTTGGTAGTTAGAGGTCCCTTCAAGCAGCACACCACTTGAACATTATTAACAACATGTTTTGGTCGATGTCCCTACAAGTAATTCACAAACATTTCTGAGTTAGTGATTTCAACAAGCATTTGAACTTTGGTTTCCCGCACTACCCTCTGTCCTCATTTTTTGTATCTAATCAGGAAAACATGAAATATGACGGATTACAAAATATTTGTCCTTTAAATGTACTTCTAATAATAAACTGAATACAATGCTTTACTATCACAGTTACATTGCTGTGCCAAAACTGGATATTTTGCATCAGCTATCAGTACTATAATATGGAGCAGTATGGAAAAAAACTGGCCAAATGTGGTGCAACCGCTCCCACTCTCCCTGACTCAGGTTGCCAGATATGGAGACAAATCCAGCTGGGACCAGAACAATCTGAATAGACAAGAGTTTTGTCAACAACAAATCTATAACCAACAACTTTTTCACAAAGGTCTCAATATAAATCCTTGTTTTATTCTTTATTTTGTCGTTAATGATTTGAGAATCATAATGAGATCTTTTTTAGTTCTGTGGCCTGACATGTTACTTTACCAGTGAGATTAGCTCGATGCTGTGAGTTTTGGAAACCCGGATCACAGAATTTCTGTTTGATGAAACGGTGGATGGCGGACATCGAAATGATAACAATAACAAGATTTAAGGGCGGTAAAATCATTTTAAAATTCGAATATCTTGGCTGAACTATACTGTTAAAGAAGTATTGGAAAAGAGCATGGTTTATTAATGCCTTTTGACAGATTACGGAAATGTAATGATCACTTGACAGGAACCTCTTACATATTGATACTATAAAGTGCCTGTTTATTATTTACTATCAACCCATATATTGATAGTTTCATTAACAATGGTAACTAAAAATTAAACTTTCCACTTTGTGATAAATATCAATAATAAGAAAAAATAACAACAATGACATGCTATTTTTTGCTATTTATATATTGACTTGCAAAACACATTATCAATCAGTCCCATTTTGTAACTAAGTTGTCTTTTTCAGTCCCTTCACAGGAAAGAAGGCATTAAGTACAGTAATGGATATGAAAATAATGTTTTTAAAAAATACAAGACATTTTCTGAACGTATAAGCAGTCCAGCAGTCCAGTGTGTTTGTGCTTTTAAGACATTGAATAGGATAGCGCTGATGCCGTCTGAAAAAGTGCTAACTGCCACTCGGACTGAAATGCAAGTGTTTCCACATTTAAAGTGTTGCCCACCGAGGCATTCAGTGACCACACATCACAGCCCATGCAGAAACATTCAACTATTACTGTAGCTGTGTAAATATAACTCAGCCCACACACAACTGCCAACAACGGCACTAAAACGGCTCAAACAAGACACTTCACGGCCTTCTTTTTTTAGCTTTTATTTATGATATATGTATTTGTAAACAAGTCAGATACAGACCTCATAAAAATATCATGTTTTGAAATCCACCAAGGCGTAAACAGGGAATTCAATTTACAAGCAGCAAATTAACAAAGGAAATTTGTTATGAGTCACGTTTCATCTTTTCCATGGAAACAGACCTTTGCTCTGGTTAATCTCAACTGATATTTTTCCTCAACACATTCCCACTTCACCTAAATAGAGGTTATTTAATCTTCTGAAGAAAAGTTCTAGTCCTTTAAAGTTCTATGCAGCTTCAAAAGCATAATCTTCAAAGTTTTTGGACTATAGTATATGTTAAAGAATTATGTTTCTTTGCTTGAAACTTAAACAATATTTTTCAAATCAATACTGAAAAAAACTGGTACAGGTCTCAAAACTATAAAATAAATCAGAATAGATAAGCAGGTGGTGGTGCAGGTCCATTCCACTCAGTGATCCGGATCACCTCCAAAATCCAAAATTGAATCCTTGTCTCACTTTCAAGATTTACTCAAACTTTGTAAAAATCCATCAATACATTTTTTTTGGCAAATGAAGCCAGATGAAGAACCTTCTTCACACTGAAATGTTCAAAGAAGTGATTTTTTTTACTGAGCAGTTGGTTTTCGATTGTTTAATGCTCTTTTTAATGTTTTTAACATGAAAATGGTCTGTGTGTGACACAGCTGGCCTACTATTCTCGAACGGTGTACCCGCTGGTGTCACAGCGCAGCTCGGACGATGAAGACAACAGGACACTGGAGGTGTCTGACGAAGAAAGTCTCAGAGAGCGGATGCCCTACGTCTCGGGAGAGCTTGGTGAGGCCTTGGGTCACTAAAGCAGCTTTGATGGACAATATGACAAGTTTGTGTTGCCAATCCTAAAAAACAACACCTAAAACTCAATATCTGTGGAAATCCAGGGCGCATTTAAAAAAACAAATGCTTTAAAGCAAATGAGCTCACTGAGATGAAAGTATTTTTTGCACCAGAGTTTGTTTCCATACATTTTGAATATGTGCTAAAATGGCAAGGCAAGTTTATTTATATAGCGCAGTTCATACACAAGACCACTCAAAGTTCTTCACAAAAAAAGATAGAAATAATTCTAACAAGGCATTATAATCATAAATAACATCAGTACATTAAAGAGATTGAAGATACGATCCTTCAGTTGTATGCACAGCTAAACAGAACTGTTTTTAACCTGGATTCATCATTGTCAGAGTAGAAGACTTTTCCAGATTTTAGCAGCATAAATCTGAAATGCTGCTTCCCATTGTTTAGTCCAGACTCAGGGCACCAGCAGAGGCCTGTTGGTGTATATGCCACTAACATGTCACTGATGTTCTTCGGTTATATCATTGAATTTATTTTGAAAAAAGTCTTAAAAATAGTGGTTTCTATTTCAAGGTTTTGTTTAAAAAAATCTCATTTCCTCTAACTAGTCACTAATATTTTATTCTGAGGACAGAAAGGGAAATGGACTTGTTTAGGGTTTTTGCATAGATCTATAATTGAATGTTTTTTCTTTTATATACATTTCAAATCTAATGTATTCCATCAGATATAAACAATATATTCTTTTGTTTCTACTCAAGGCAACAGAAAGAAGATGCGCCTGTACCAGTATCTTTTAGACCTGTTGCGGAATGGTGACATGAAGGACAGTATCTGGTGGGTGGACCGCGACAAAGGCATGTTCCAGTTCTCGTCCAAACACAAAGAGGCGCTCGCTCATCGCTGGGGCCTTCAGAAAGGAAACCGCAAAAAAATGACTTATCAGAAAATGGCGCGGGCTTTACGCAACTATGGCAAAACCGGAGAGGTGAAGAAGATCAAGAAGAAGCTGACGTATCAGTTCAGCGATGAAGTGTTGGGAAAGGGCCATTCGGACAGGAAGTATTAGAAACACAGGGGTCAGAATATTATAACTTTAAATAAGTTAAAACAAATTAAATTATTTATACGTTTTAAAGGGCTGAGAAAAAGTTGTGATTGAAGATTGAGAGGATATTAACAATAGAATAATCATTAACTGGACAATGCATTAAGAAAACAGCATTATTTGCGTTCATTGTGGCCTTTAAACCTGATATTGAGAATATTTACTGTACTTGAATTTCATGTCTGGGTGTAAAAAATGTAATTATTGAACGAAGAAATTCCACTAAAAGGTTTTAAAGGAAGAAAACAGCTCAGTTAACAGCGCCATGTTGTAAATATTTGTCATGGTTCGTGATAGAAGAATTTAGACAAAAAGAGAGCGGTCGTATTAGCGCTGGAGGTTGTGTATATGAGAGTGAATGGAGCTAAAAAAAAAACACTCCAGGTATGTTCTTGATAAAAGAGCATTGTTGAAAAATTGCAATACTTTTCACGCCCTTACTGTTTTAAAGATCTCATCACCAATCGTGCCTCATAAGAGTTTTACCTGTTTAACCACAATATTTTACAAATCCTTTTTTAAGATCATACTATATTCAGTTGGACATTTCTGATCAACTCCCTTTTCAAAGCTAGACTTGTAACATTTATTACAAATTGTGTTAGTGATGATTAAACACATCTCCACATATTAGCAGGCGCAAATATTCAAACTATTTGTACAATGAATAGAATATTAGCAAAGACATTGTTAGATTCAGACTTGTTGGTTCGATTTAGGTCCTACTGTTTCTAAATATTTAAAAAGGGAAAATCTGATCATTTTAGTACTTCTTGCCATTTTTTTTATTTATTTTTCTTAAGTATAGCATTATGTACATAGCAATATACCTTAATGGAACAATTTTGGGGCTTTTCATGTCTTTTAAATAGTGGACAATATTTAAAGCATACATACATTTTGTGTGTCCTGTAATTGTATGTGTATTCAGCTCCTACCCAAATGGAAATCTATGTCGTTATTTACTTAAAACATATATATGACATAAATTAAAATAAAAGGGCATTGAATGGTATTTTGAAATCAACTGTACAAACCTAAATCAATGATAATACATAGATCAACATAGAGTCCTACTGTCTTTTGAAACTGTCAATAATAAAGAGTTTTTATTGTAAATGGGTGAAAACACTATCACTATTAGTGTAATGTTTGTTTGAAGAATTGTCAATTGGCCTACTAAAGATTTTAACATTGTTCTGGCTTTACACTTACATAATAACTATATCTCATGGCTCAAAGTAAAATCCTCCAGGGAGAGCGAGCGTAACTTTCCAAAGGTTTCAAAATACAGAAGCGTGTGACAGTAAGAGCAGAGCAAACAGCTCCCCTCAGTGGGCGAGGTGTCACTGATCTGCGCAGACAGGTGAAGACAGCAGATCCAAGTCACTCAAGTCAATGAAACACCACGAGAACAACCAACTCCAACAAAAGGGATGCTCTTAATAAACGGGAATTATTACAGACATAAGGTCAAAACATTTTGTGATGAGAGAAAGTCACGAGATCAACTTGGCTTGAGCAGGTGGAAAAAGGGTAACACTAAATACAAATACAACATCACCTACAGAAAGGGATGTAATCATGCAATATGAGGCACTGACTTACAAAAGTATAATCAAAATATTCCAAGCAGAGAGAGTCACAAGATCAAATAATTGAACATATTATTTTATATAATACAATTAGAACACTGCGGGGCAACAGTGGCTCAGATGAGAGCATTGGCCTTCAGGTCTAATAGTCGTGGGTTAGATTCCCCGCAAGACCAACTCCATCTACTCCCACTGAGGTAGTTGTGTTCCGGGGCAAGACACTGCATGGACTCACCACCTGCAGGAGGATCAGCGAGGACGTGTGCTTCTCATGGACACAATGACAGTTTTGTCCGTCACAATACTGTCAGGACAGGGAATAACTAGAAGTCATTTTAAGAAATGTTATGATAATTTTATGTATGCATGCCTTTACCTTTTCACTTGATTGCAACTTGATTGCACCTTGAGCCAAAGTAAAAATCCTCATTTGAAACTTCCTGTTAGCAAGAAAAAAAATTCTGGTTTTGATTCTGATGTGAACTATGATTTGTGAAATGGTAAACCCATGATCATCAAATAAAAAAGCTTCTAAAATATATGCCTTTCAAACACATTGTATTGCTGTATACAATATAAACATGGGCCTTTCTCATATTTTGGACCTTTCTGTAAAGACCAAACAGGAGCCAGACAGGGGGACAAATGTTGTAATGAAGCTGAAAATGTTAGAGGAAATGTGGTGACACAACATGTACACTGCCAACCCAAATAAGTTCACAGAACTCAAAAAACTAAGGCAATCACATCAGTTTCCACATTTTTTTAATTAAGAAACTCATAAACCTCAACAATGAGTTTACATCAAGTAAGCTTTTACATTTCACAATATTTAAACAATTTGAGTCTATGTTACTTGACGTATTAATTTGATAGAACTTAAATAAATGAAAAAAGTAAGAAATCTTTATTTAATGTATAGCACATGTTTACAGATCAAGGTCACCCAAAGCGCTTTACAATGTTCAGAGTTCAGATATTGTTTCATTCTCTCCTCACACTGGTGCATCAAAGCCTCCAACTAACTCCATACATTCACTAACTCTAATTATATTCTATTTGTTGTTTTTAGTGGTAGGGGAAACCAGTGCACCTGAGAAACCTACGCAGACACAGGGAAAACATACAAACTCCACTCCGAAAGGCCCAGTTCCCATTTGCATTTAAAAACCAAAAACCTTCTTGCTGTTATAGCTATTGTTAAAGTTATAGTTCAAACAGGTCTACTTTGGCTTGGCCTTGTCGATTGGTTTAATGAGTTTATTCAAAGTGTTGCTAAATTATTTTGCATTAGGGCTTGCTTTCCATTCACTCTCAAAATTAACGCTTCAATATAACATTCTTCAAAAGGATTGTTTATATTTTGCTCCGCAGTGGATTCTGTGTCGGTGTTTCAAAGCGTATCATTGGCTGAGTTTGCAGTAGGAGGGCTCTCTCGTCATATATGTGAGAAGATGAGATGGTATGAATTCAAACCATATTCGAAATGTGAAAATCAACTACTGCTATTCAGAAGCTGCAGTGATTAAATTTGTCTGACATCTGTAAAAAGTAAAAAAATAATGTAAAAACAGTATAAGTAAAAATGTAAGTTTAATTTACTTAAAAGCCCAATCATATTCATAGCACTCAACCTTAAAAAGTTTGTGGAACTTTTTATCTTATCTAAATTACCTATTTTGAGTGTTCGGTTTTGCAGAACTTTTTTGGGATCTGGGGTAGTAGTTATAACTTTTAACATTAATTAATTCATCCATACTACGTTACACAAGCCAAAGTCCAAATCCACCTAAACCTAAGTCTGGTTTTAAGGGTGACAGATGGTGCAGGCCGCAGTACAGATGCGGGCAAAGCAACAGAGACTTCTTTAAAAGAATTGTCTAAATTTAACTCCAGCCTCCCACAGAGTCAAGGCCTGTCACTGAGCCAAGGTGTCGAGGAGACGATGGCGGGTACAGGCTAAGTTCAGGCAGGGCCGGGCCGAGGGCCAATGTGCAGCCATTGCCATCAGCGCAGTTATGGAATGCAACCGTAACCTGGGCTACCTTACATACTGTATTTGTTTCATTATTAACATGTGTTCTTTGTGCCAACAGAAAGAAAGTCAAATGTTGTGAACAAATCTGACCCTAACATGCTCTCTTCATCTTCATTAGAACATTTTTAATCTTTTACATGCTGAAAGCTATTTGGCAGGTACAGCTGTATTCTCTGAAAATGTTCAAATCCAGGTGAAAGACGTTTTTTTGCCTATGGATAAAACTGAAGGACTGTATTTCTACTCTTTTTAATGTATTGTTATTATTTTAATCCCTTATGTTATTTTAATGCTTTAATTAGTTGTGTGATTTTAATGTTTTAAAATATTTGAATTGGGTTTTTGATAGTGATTTTGGTGTTTGTTTTATGTAATGATCTGTGCCTTGTGTGATGGGGACTGCTTTGTGTTGTTGTAAAAGCACTAAAATAAAGATTTATTGACTGATTGATACTCTCTTTTGAAGTGAACAAAAGATGTGACAGTGGTAAAAAATACATGCATGTGAAAACTAGTGATAGAACCAGACAGTTTGAGAGCAAGGAACAACATGGATTTTGGGTAATCTTTGTGGTTTAAAAGTTAAGTTCAGCTAATAGCAAAGTACCAAAATTAAAGTGTTCCTAAATCTATTAACCACAGCATCAATAACAGGCCGGTGTGAGTGTGGTGCGGGAGGAGCTTTTGGAAGGGGGAAAGATGGGATGGTTTGTTGAAGGTGGGAGTGTTGTTGGGAAGAGCAGCTGCTATTAAAGACTGAGGCTTTAGTCAGACAGCTCTGTTTGGGACGTCCCATTGAGTCGGAGCAGAGACAGCTCAGGATGCCAGAGCCAGTGAAGAAAACAGGTAAGCTCCATCCATCGCTGCACAGTCACAACACACACAGATGTACTGTATGTTATGAGATTCACTGTTTGTGTTTATAATGCAAATTCCCTTGTTGCCATATGTTGTATGTATTATCACCCATTCTCAGGTTTTTACCCTGCTTTAAAAGAGGAAAAATGCATTTAAGTAATGATTCAATGTCCTTAAAGATGTGTAATGAATATAAATTGCTTTATATGAAAACATGAGATGATATGTTTAGTGTCTACCCAATAGGCCAGATTTGGTCTATAGTAAATGTAATAATGTCTTGTACATGAGCGTTTTGGGTGGTGTGAAAGTTTGCCTAAATCCCTTTGGCAGTGAGGGACAGGCTCATATGTCCTGTTGGCAAACATTGTCGGACGTATATTTGATACTGGAGCATTTAAAGCATCACAGCATTCACCAAATGCTGATCTGAAGAACGTGTCAATAAGTTTCAACAGTTTCCCCCCTCCCTAAGTCCGGAGGATGCATTGTTTGGGAGCTATCAGGTAACACAATGCAGTTCAGGTATCTACAGTGTTCGTCTGAGGCCAGTGTCAAGGATTTGTGAAGCCTATCGCAGCTAGTCGACCTAAGCCAAGATTATCCTTAGTGTGCTTAGACAATGTGTGGCAGAGATCTAATTAATCAAATCAATTATACTATAGTTGTCCAGGGCATTGTATCAATTATGTGTTGAATTGCATGATTGTGTACGGTTTACAATATCCTTTCATGCAATTTTCAGTATCAGGTAAGGTTGTGCTAAAAAAAGTGCGCTTAAGATTTTTTTTGGTCTACTTACATGTACTAAGAAATCAGTGCACACTTTGGTGCTTTCAAATCTCCACAAATGAAGACTAATCAGCCCCAGATTAAATAATTGGTCGCAAACTTTAATTGGATCAATCCACATATAGTAGGTTGGTGAATTTATCTGGAATTCCTGAGCTATCACATTAATTATCCTATCTTATCCTATAGGGAGATGGTGTCCTCTTAGCTCCTCTAAGCATGTGTAGAGGAGCAGGTTCACTTGAAATTTGTCTTAAATTGTCTTAAACCAATCATAACAGCGTGAACTACGTATCGTATGTCCAGCAGACAATGACAATTTTGGTAGTCAGCAATAATAATAAAAACGTCAGAATGGGCTTTATCTTGTTTTGGGGCGTTGTAGTCAAACTGGTTGTGTATAATTTAAAAGTTTAGTACATACATAGTACATGCAAACCTTCTTTTAAAAGCAGTGCATGACAAGTTTAGGAACTGTGAAGGTGAAATGGCATAATTGATTGACAGCTGGAAGTGTAACAGTAGAAAGCGGTGAGTGCCGATAGACAGAGCACATCATTCTTGTGTCTCTCGAGGAGCTAAAATAGAGCTGAGATAATCCCTCAACAAGGATACCTGAGGCCTGTAGCTGCTTTAGGCCTGAACATATATGTGCAAGTGAACAGTTTTCTTAAAGTATTTTTTACATTAAGCCTGTGCATAACAGGTTTGCTCAAAATGTTTTTCCAGCAGGTGGTGTAAAAAAGGGCTTTTAAAAGTTTTTATTGTTTTTAGAGGACTGCTGTTGGAAATGTCAATTGTCATGTGTTTCCAGATCTGTTCGTAGTTTTCAAGAGCAGATGAAGCCATTCAATTTTGGCCTTCAATTGTCTACAATGACTGTGCTCATTCGCTGATTCTATGTTAACTAATTTACATCCGAAAATTATCATAATTTGTCTGTGGCTGAATCCATGACTCAGTTTCAGCATTTGCCAAGAAACCGAAGCCCCAGGAGGCGGCGGAGGGCTCCTCTGTGGTGTTCGAAGCAGAGACAGAGAAGACTGACGCCAAAGTAAAATGGCAGTGCAACGCAAAGGACATTGTGGCCAGTGACAAATACTTAATCACTGCGAACGGAAAGAAACATTCTTTGACCATTAAAGAAATCACCAAGGACGACGCCAGTGTCTACGCAGTGATTGCTGGAAGTTCTAAAGTCAAGTTCGAGCTCAAAGTTGTCACAAAGCCAGGTGGGCCACTTCGCTCACGACATGTTGACAGCACGACTCACAAAAATCACTGAAGCTGTATATTTGGCGAGAACCACTTCCCTTTGCCTGCTTTGTCACCACTGCCTGCTCACGGTTTCAATTTGCCGAGTAATATTTTAAATCAAATAAATATTATATTTGTGTATAATACATTATTCAGTTTTTTCAAAAAATACATTGGTTATTTTTGTTCTCAAGACAAAAACAGACAGAAAAAAGTCAAAGCAGAAGGAAGTCCCATCTATAAATAGGGTTCCTTCAGAGAAGAAATATTATGCAATATTTTTGGCCATTGAAAACTATATAGTTATGCCAGCACATGCTTTAGAATGTGAAAGACTATAAACTATAATCAAAATCTCAAGTGTAAAAAACACAATCCACATGCAACTCCCTATGCTACCACCAGAGGAAGAGGTATTTGTTTTTTTATTATCTTTGTCCAAATTACCGGCTGCAAACACAGAATGTGACAGAAAGCACACCATTTCGCCTGAGAAATGGCCATTTCTATTTTAGGGGCTGCTCTAAGTGCGATGTCAAAGTGTAACAATTATGTCATACTATTACAGGACTGAGTCAGGAGCTTTTAGGTAGAAGGGAGTAACATGATTGTGCCAGAAATTCCTTTTATTAGTGAGAACGAATTTAACAACAAGTCCAGGTCCGTTTGTGATGCGGAAACAATGTTGTAATATGGTTTAAAGTCGATTTGCATAACATTTCCTTCCCACAAAAGTTTCTATACAGCATGTCTTTGCTTTCACTCCCTAATCCACCATAAACCCTACAACAGCTCATGTCTGCTGCAGTGTGAGTTGCTGAGAACACTTGTGCTATTTGCATTTGATAAGGTGGAAACAAATCTCTCAAAAGGCTCCAGACGAGACTCAGAAAGCGACACAGCTGTCTGTGGCTCCTATCTCTGCCACCCTCTGTCTGCAGGCCGACCTTGGGCCACACACCCGCACATTATTTCCTGCTGAGTAACCACCACTCCACTGCTGTTCAGGAGCGCCACGAGAGGAAGCTGATAACGCATGGAAAATCAGTCAACAAGCCACTCACATGAGATAAAAGAAAGTTTTTCACAGTAATGAGAGCACCTACTGTATCATGAATGTAATGTCTGTTTCTAAGAACAGTGTTTTTGGTCTGGATTTGGTTTAAACATTTCTGTGACATTTTCTGTTGGTCTGATATGAGGAGCAGTGAAAAGGAAGAAATACAGAATGTGAAAATCAATATAACAGAAGAGCACATAAACTATGTACTGTTGGACTTTTTGCTTTATTTTTTTATGAGACCTCATGCGAGGTAAAGTGGAACATATATTATTACCTCAATATACAGTATCAACCACTTTTTTAGATGGGAAATCTTATTGTAATGTATTATAAAAACATGCAGCAACAGAATATCATACAATGGTTTGTGCAGAGGATTACAACAGTCTATTGTTTCCCAATGCACAGTGAGACTTAGACAATTCAAGAATGGACTGTGCCCACCTGCTCCAAGTGAACTCAACAAGACATGATAGGACTAGATAAGTCTGCACGAAGATTGACAATATCACTGTGTATGAGTCTTGTGAGTCTTGTCCAGCAAAAAACAGTTTTAGAATTTTGTCTTCCTGTCCAGTTGGTACAATGCTCCTTTCTACAATTAGCATACTTGCATTCACTATTGTTACAATAGCTCATTCCAATGTTTCTGGTGTGTCAAAGCCCCAGAGAAACCCCCTATCGAGGCACCTGCAGAGACCCCTACTGAGACCCCTGCTGAGATCCCTGCTGAGCTGAGCGCAGAGCCAGAGTCCACCGCTGTCCCAGTAGATGGACCTCCGAAAGATGAGACCGCAGCTACTGCCCCTGATGCTGCAACAGAGGGTGGCTACTGTTTAACCTGAATGTTTGTGTTAAAAATAATCTATTGTATTGAGTTATCTTTTTTATTTTGTGTTACCTGCTGGTCCAACAGATGGGCAGGCTCCCGACACAAGGCAAGACCTAATTGGCCTCTTCACTGAGAAACCACAGTCCGGAGAAGTAACTGTGGGTGAGTGTAGAATTGTTAACATTAGAATCTCGCATTTTCTCATGTTTTGTTTATCAATGATTAATCCTCACACTTATACAATGTTATACAGGAGGAAATATCACATTTGTGGCTAAAGTGAATGCAACATCTCTACTAAAGAAACCAACAATCAAATGGTTCAAAGGAAAGTGGATGGACCTTGCAAGCAAATCAGGAAAACATCTGCAGCTGAAAGAGATTTATGATCGCAACACAAAGGTACGCCATTTTTCACATGTTTAGGAGATATACATTGTTTTAATAATAATAATTTGTATCTACTACAGATCTATACATTTGAGATGCAGATTATTGCAGCAAAGCCCAACTATGCCGGAGGTTACAGATGTGAAGTTTCGTCTCGAGACAAGTTTGACAGCTGTAACTTTGAGCTGACTGTACATGGTGGGTTCCTTCAATTTCCATCATAAGTTAGACAGTATCTAGTTCTTTAGTCGTTAAGCAGAATGGGTTGATGATCATTTAAGTACTCGTTAGTTATAGAGCAGAGATCGAACATGTTTTTCAGTGGAGTAAAGTAAACAATCTCCAGCTGAACACTGCAAAAACATGTGAACTTGTCTTTGACTTCAGTCGTAACAGTTCTCACACTCCTATTGTTATTGACAACTCCCAGGTGCAGACTGTAGAGGAGTGCAAGTTCCTGGGTTTAACTCTGTCTAACAACCTGAAATGGGACAAAAATAATAACCGGGTCGTTAAGAAAGCTCGTCAGCGGCTCTTCTTTTTGCGGAAACTTAGAGAATTTACCAATAACTCTAAGATTCTGCTTAACTTTTATCGCTGCACCATTGAGAGTTTACTTGTTGGTTCTGTGTCTGTGTGGTTTGGAAACATCACAGATAAAGAAAAGAGATCTTTAAACAAGGTGCTCCGCTCTGCAAAGAGGACCGTGGGCTGTGAGCTTCCTGTTCTGGAGGTTCTTTATAAATCCAGACTTTTAAACCGTGCTCTTAAAAAAATCAATGACTCTTCTGGCCACCCTGGGAAAGCCATGTTCCAGCTTCTTCCCTCTGGCAGAAGATATCGGTCGCTGAGATGCAAGACATCTCGCTATGCTAACAGCTTCTTTCCACAAGCTGTTAGGTGCCTAAACAGAGCACTTTAATTCCTGCTTTTACCCCTTGTATCGTTTTTGTTGATCGGTGCCACAGTGTCAGCTGTTTTTTTATTCTTTTATTTTCAGTGTATGTGTATTTTATATTACATTGTATCGTGCTCTTTATTCTGTCGGTGCACACAGAGTACCTTTTTTGCGAATGTATTCCAATGTATTTTTTATACTGCACATGGCTAATAAAATGAATCTGAATCTGTAAGTCTTTATTAACCTATCACTGTATTAGAATAAGCATTTACATTGCCCCACAACAGCCAGTAATTGATGCACAGTACATGTCGTTAATTGATCAATAATTTAGTTCAGTTTAGTTCTCTATACAATAATCATGTGTATCCAATCGCTCAATATAACCAAACTAAACTAAACCAAGCCAATAATTTATTCAAACCCCTGTATCAAGAGCATTACTTTTATTTCTTTTCAGAGGCCAGTGCATCGGAGGGTTTGGACATAAGAGCCGCCTTTCGACGAACGTAAGTATTGAAACAAGTTTTGCATTGACAGGTGCAGCAATAATCTTAATGCGAGAAGTATATCATGCTTTCAGTAGAAACATGCAAACAAGGACTGTGAGGAGCATGACACAATCTAACAAAGGCCCCACCCAAAAAGCAGCTTGGAGAGGTATAACAGGACTAAGATGGGATCCACTCAATCCCATCATGAAAGTAGAGGTCAAAGATTGGGGCTGGTTCTGTTCACTGTTTTATGAACAGGATATATCAACAGCCAGAGCCTGAAGGGGCCCACAGTATGTCACCTCTGCTGTTTCCAGATGATAGTCTCCTGTTGACTTCATCCTGCCAAGACAAAAAACATAGGAATATAGGCACCAAATCTGAAAGTACAGTTATCATCCAGTGAATAATGCCTTGCCCTCTCCGGGTCCTACCTCAAGTGGAGAAGTTCAAGTACGTTCAAGAGAGAGTGAGGGAAGGAGATTGATAGAAAGACTGGTGCAGCCCCTGCTGTGGTTGAGCTGCGGAGAAAAGGGAAAAGGGAAGCAAAAAGATAAAACTCTGAATATATCAGTCAGTCAACGTGAACATTTGTGAGCTTTGGAACATGAATACAAGTTATTGAAATTAGTTTCCTCTATGAGATAAAGCAGAAGAAAACTAGATTTTAATTTAGGATTAACATGGGTTCCCATTTGATTGGAGAGAGGCACAAATTCTTCTGAATTACCACAAAAATATCTTGAATTATACTTAAAAAAAGCATTTAATAAATAATCACTGTAAAATGCTGACCTGTCAGGAGTTTGGTTGCTGCAAGGAGAAGTGGAGCCTCAACCAGGTAGCACCTTTGGAGGTTCATTCTGATTCTTCACTGATGTTTAATCTGACTGTCGAAAGAGCAAAGAAATCTGGATTACATTTAAGCAATTCAGTCCATTTCTTCTCTGCCGTCAAGTCAAACACAAAGGTTAAAGTTCACTGTGGTCTCAAAGTAGTAAGTCAAAAAAACACATGTTTGTTGCTAAATTCTAATTCTGCATCTCAGTTTAAAGAGTTGCCTGGCCTGCCAAACGATATGCTTTTTCAAAGACATATTCTTCTTTTGAACAGAAAGGAGGAGTGTCTGGCAGGCCAGGCAATTTAAAGAGCACAGTGAATGGCCACAAAATATTTCAGTGTGATGGGTTTGATGAAAACCCATTATGTGCCAAGATGTCACACAATGTTTTCAAGACATTCTCCCTCAAGATTTAATTCACCAGAGAAAATGCGTTGATGTTGTGTGTGGTTTCACTCTCCTAAACGATCAAAACTTACCTTTGCAATAATTCTGAATCAGCTTTTTATTTAGAGAATGATTCCCTTCTTTTAATGGGAGTTTTGAATTCACAATTTTAGCTGAAAAAAATGTAACAGAGTAGGTTCTACTCTGGATATGAAAAGTTAATCTATTTTTGGCAGTTTTGGCCATTTTTGTGCATTTCTTCGCAATTTGGATACAAGCTATTTTAAAGCAGATACAAATCCTGTAATCATTTAGTAGTAAAACATTAACTGTTGTAGTATAAAACAACTGTCAAACCAGGAACTATGAAGTTATCTAACTACTATTGCATATTAGATAAAATAGACACACAATGACCTGCAACACTGCAAAAAAAAAAAAGATAAAATATGAGGAAATCATTTTTAGGTAAGGTTTTTCCCATTGGAACATTTTGTTTTGATGTAGTCAAAATGTGCTCAAATTAGGATACGTTTTGCCCAATTTGAGCAAATATTGATATGTATTTCATAAATGTTTGCAGTAAAGACATACTTTAGCAATAACCAGCTCTTACTTACAGCGGCTAGCTTCCACCATAGACTGTAACGAGCTAACGCTAATACATGCTAGAATGATGCTAATGAGGCTAACGAGGCTAATGAGGCTAATCAAGCTAAAGAGGCTAAGATGCTAATCTGATTATGTTGATGAACTTCACAGTAGTGGCGACGGGAAGGAAGACTCAGGAGAGTTGGACTTCAGCGCTTTGTTGAAAAAGAGGTGACTAGCAATCACATACACACACAATGAGGATGAAGTACGTGCAAACATTGAAAAGGTTACATTTGAATTTCTTTCTTTTGTTTTCATTCTCATGGACACAGAGAGTAAGGTCCTTCTATTCAACATCATTCAACATCACTTACCAGAATAACAAAATTAAAAAATATGTCAGTAACCACCCAATAATACATGCAGCATTTTCATCTTGCTAATAACTGGTAAATGTGAATTATGTCTTCATGCATTTCCACTTCAAAAGATAGTTCTAGTTATGAATGCATGACATGTAATGTATAGTCATCACTCATTGCATGTGAACTGACCACTTGATTGTTCTTTGTGGTGCTGCATTTCTATGTTTAAATGTACGATCATGTTATTGTCAATGTTTTGTTACGTTGTGGTTTAATGCATCTGGTTTGTTTTGCATCTTGGATTCAACTTCTGAATGAGCAGCAGTTTCCTAAAACCTTCAAATCGGTAAGAGTCTGTATCACGGCACTCAACTAATTGGGAACATCTAGTGGACAGGTGTGGTACTGCATATTTTTCAACGAGGGGAGAAAATTCAGGTGCACTATTGTAAATGATTTGCACCTGCTTGTCTTCACTGAGATTTGTATTTGGTCATCACAATTTCAATTATTTTTTGATCAATTTACCAACCTTTATTGTGAAAATTAATTATATATATTATACATTTTGTTCACAAACGGCCTAAAATTTCCCCTTCCTTGAGTACATTTTAAAGAGGGCTCTCTTACTACATGATCACTGATTGCATTTGATTGTTGCATTTTCCCCTTGATTGTCATTGGAAATAGGCCCGTTTGCCTGTTCGTAGTGCTATGGCTTAATAACTTAAACGCTTTCAAGTGAAGTGTAAAGTAATAGTATTTTAGTTGCACACCGCCCAGAACCGTTTATTAGGGCACCTATAATTATCCTATTTCTTGGAGAATACTGCAAACATACAGACATATTTGCTGAGTTTACTTGTTGACACATGTTACTGTGCTGACAAAGCAGGCACATCAAATGTTAATGAATTTGATCAGTCATAAGACAATGTTTTCTTTTTTATCCAAGTGCTGCGCAGGTGAACACGGAGGCAGATGCTGACATTTGGGAGATTCTCAAAGACGCTCCTCCCTCAGAATACGAGAGGATTGCTTTTCAGTATGGCGTCACCGACCTGAGAGGAATGCTCAAGAGATTAAAAAAGATGAAGAAAAAAGATGAAAAGAAAAGTGAAGGTAAGTTCAAGAAAGTTTTGCATGTGAAATACATATTATGAGTGAATGTTAAAGTTTTTTGTTTTGTTTTGAAAGCTTTTCTTAAGAGGTTGGACCCTGCTTACCAAGTAACAAAGGGACACAAAATTAAACTAGCAGTACAAGTTGCCAATTCAGATGTGGAAGTAAAATGGCTGAAAAACGGACAAGAAATACAACCTACTGGCAGGTATGAATAAACTTATCTATTTATTATTAAACCTCCTGTTTCTTACCAATAAAATGTCTCTATTATTTTCTTCATTTTCTGTGGTTCATTTAATGACGTGTGTGAAACATCTTCCTTGACCTTTCTTCAGCAAGTAAGTACAATGAGAGACAAGACATACAATACTCTGATGTTCGTCCGTACATTGGCGACTTAATAGGTTTTTCCGAAGTGCAATCGGTGAGTGAATCAATCTTGTCTTTCTTGAGGTACATCTTTGAGAGCGTGGGCAACATGCGCTACCTCACAATCAACCACTGTTCTCTGGCCGATGACGCCGCCTACAGCTGTGTGGTGGGAGAGGAGAAGTGCACCACAGAGCTCTTTGTCAAAGGTAGGATTTTTTCTATGGGGACATAAATGCTTCAGAAGAATTCTAAATGCCATTGTCAATTGTCTTCCTAGAGCCTCCAGTCACAATAGTGAAGAATCTGGAGGATCAGATGGTGATGAAGGGTGAACGAGTGGAGCTGGAGTGCGTCGTCTCTGAGGAAGGAGCCAATGTTAAATGGTCAGGAAAAGAATTTTACTCTGTAGAGTACCCAGTAGAAGTAATATAATAATATATGACAAGGAGATTTCATCTAGAGGGCGCCCTCACATCAGATACTACCTGACAAGTTATAAAGGTGTTTTTACATCCATCCATCCCTTTTCCCCCAATTTACCCAATATAAACTTTTTTACTCTTGAGTTTTGAATCTGAATTGAAGTTAATGAACTTAATTTTAGTGTTGGGGAAACGGATCACCCGGAGAAAACTTAAGCAGGACTTAGGACCATGTTTGCTGAGAGGTGAAGCAACAGCAAACATGTACCTTATTATGCAGGGAGAAGGATGGGGTGGAGCTGACCAGAGATGAATCGTTTAAGTATCGCTTTAAGAAAGATGGCTGTAAACACATCCTGATTATAAATGAAGCTACAAAAGAAGACTGCGGCCTGTATAAGGTTAAAACCAACGGCGGCGAGTCTGTGGCTGAGCTTATAGTTCAAGGTAAGTGTCAGTCTTGTCATCACATACATAATGTACATGCATACTTACGTAAATATACATGCATATACATACTCTGAGACATACTCTCAGCATGATACTCCTTCAAGCACAAGCCCCATGGCTCTGCAGTCATGCTGGCTCCAGTGACGCAGTCACTCATGGTGACTCACCACGGAGTGACAGGCCTGATGTATACTGAATCATTTGTCTGTGAATACAGAGATGTATTATTATACTGTCCCAATATTGCTTGGATACACAATAATGGTTTTCTCCAGTCATAATCATGACAATAAGTATGGAACAAATGCGAGCAGCATTTTATACAACTATTTTCACAACTATTATACTGTCATAAGTATTAGATCCACTGTATTTTGCCCTTTGTTAACCCAATGAACTATATTTTAGAGACAAATAACAATCTTATGAGCTACCAAAAATATTACAGTGGAGGGGATCAACAACAGCTGAGCCCCATTAAAAAGCCTATCCCTTGTTGTTAGAGGAGTGATTTATGAAAGCATACATGAGAACTTCTATTACCTTCTAGGGCAGTACACAGTGGCCTATCTTTCTTAGAGAGCGCTTTGTCTGTTATAACTTTAATAACTCTAGGTTTTGTATTCCCTGCAATCTTCTGCAGTGTATCGACTCAAGGCTTTTGCTGCATCTGGCATTCATATCCTCCTACTTTATTTTCTGCCATAAATCCAATTAACTACACCCCTTGTGTTAGTTGCTAAGATACAACACCAAAGGTACATCAGGATAATGAACACATCTCAACAGAGCATATTACTGCCATTTCAATTTGGAGAGACGAGAAACAGGAAGTTGAGTATTTTATGAAAGGAGGTTTGGCGCCCTAGGTCCCGGTGCGGCCTTCGGATCGGAAAGGCTCCTGCGATGGAGCGCGCACAATCCCCCGGGACCTAGGCACTGGTGGCGGCATTTGGCAGCGGGAAGAAAATTGAAGGCAGATTGGAGGCAGGGTGAAGAGGAGGAGGAGGGGAGGCGGTGGTTGCGAGGCTTCAGGAGGCCGGTAGTGGGAGTTGCTCCGTTTTTATGCAGCTGCGAGTCGGTACAGATGATTGGAAGGGGGCGTCTGCTGAGCGATAGGCTGGGGATGAGAGCCGGCCTGGAGGGGGCAAATTTGGTTAACGTCTACCAAATTGAATTTTCGCGGGCTGCATTTCAATTTGGAGAGACGAGAAACAGGAAGTTGAGTATTTTATGAAAGGAGGTTTGGCGCCCTAGGTCCCGGTGCGGCCTTCGGATCGGAAAGGCTCCTGCGATGGAGCGCGCACAATCCCCAAAAAGGCTGCGTGTTGATGGAGTTTTCGAAGCCTGGTTTGGAGGGGACAGACGTCGTGACTACTCTATTCTGTGACCGCTATCGCTAAGCTGTGACCGCTATCGCTATATGCTGTGACCGCTATCGCTATATGCTGTGACCGCTATCGCTATATGCTGTGACCGCTATCGCTATGCTGTGACCGCCAGCGCTATGCTGCTAACCATTTTTTGCTATATGCTGTGACCGCTATCGCTATATGCTGTGACCGCTATCGCTATATGCTGTGACCGCTATCGCTATATGCTGTGACCGCTATCGCTATATGCTGTGACCGCTATCGCTATATGCTGTGACCGCTATCTACTGTGATCAATACTTGCGGATACTCGGCTGCTGGCGGCGCCTATCCGGAAGGAGTGAGCTGCGTAGAGATGGGGAGACAGGTTACGAAGCAGCAGTACGGACTTTAGTTGGGCTCTGAACCCGTTGGATGACATTGGGAGGTGATCGGGGGTGAGAAATAACGGTCCGTTGAGATCTCCTTTCCGAGAGCGGAGGCGAGTGTAATGCATCGTGGGTTATTTTTGCGCGCTGGGAACGTGAGCGTTCGCATCACGTTCCGTCAGACGCTGCGGCAGCGGAGAGTGTTTGAGAAGTGCGTGCCGCCACCAGAATCTTATTGCTTCACTTACTTTGCTTCGTATTGCTTTGCTGGGAGCTTGCGAGGAAGCCAGTAGGCGTTGGGCAGCCAGGATGGCGGACGCGTCTGGGCTGATGTAGGCGGAGAAAGCCGAAGAGGACCAGCCCCCCAGCTGTTGGAGAGGTGGGGGAGCCCCAGCGAGGCCGCACGCGTGGCAGCGCCTATCCTGAAGGAGTGGGCTGTATAGAGCTGGAGAGACAAATTGCAGAGGAGCAGTAGGGATCTTAGTTGAGCTCTGAACCAGGTTGCTGTCATGGGAAGGTTGTCTGGAGAGAGATGTGTCGGAGCGAGCTATTATTATGTTGCAGGCGCCTTGGTCTTTGAATGTTTGAGATGCAGGTTGAAAGGGTCAGGGGACATTATGTTGGGTGAAAAAGAGCGACCTTTGTGTAATGCTTCCACTACGTCGAGATTATCGCGCATGACAGAGATCCTCTTTCTCTGCCACGCGTGATTCCACAGCGCGCAGGCCACGACCACTGGGAATATCTCGTGTAGGGCAGAGGAGATGCTCCGGTGGAAGTAGCGGCCACGGCCCGGCAACCCAATGGTCCTGGAAGAATCCCCCAAAACCCACGGAAGGGGCACGTCCGTGTAGAAGCGGAGACCTGTAGGGGCAGAGACATGTCGGAGAGGGCCATTGATGTTGCAGGCGCCCTTACGCTTAGAATCTTGGGTCGGAGAGTAGATAATCAGGATAGTAGGATGGTCGGGAAGCCGCGTCTCGGACCGCATGAAGGTTGAGCGAGCAGTAGTGAACGCTTATGCAGAGAAGTCATAGAAGGCGAGCAGGAAGATGCTGCGAGGAGGGCAGACATGTACTTGGAAGACGAGCCAGAGTTCAGTGCCGCTCAGAGCCGCTGCAGGATGGGCAGCACGATGGGGGAGCCTGCGATCAGAAGAGTGAAGAATACAGGTATGGATGCCTTTGATTAGGAGTCCGATTGACGGCTCAGCGCAGCTACTCGGCCAGCTGCATCTGATAGAATCAGAAGATTAGGTAGAGAGATGAAGCATGACCGCCGAAGCGACCCTGGGAGCATAGGTACGAGGCCAGCGCGGCGCGGCATACTCAGCCGGGCAGCGTCCATTAGAAACAGGATAAGCTCTGAGAGAGTGGGTTGCAGCACTAGCGGTAGCAGCAGCGGCAGCAGCAGTACCTCAGATAATAACAGCGATAACCTGTATCAAGCCGCAGCAGCAGCAGCAGTAGCAGCATCCTTAGAGATTACAGTAATAATCCTGTATCAAGCCACAGCAGTAGAATGTTGTCGTAGCTGATCAGTGTTTCAGTAAAGAGATGCAAGTGAAGAGAGATGGCAAGTAAATGAAGCAGCAGTAGTAGCGCAGTAGCGGCATGGAGCAGCAGCAGCAGCAGTAGTAGCCGTATGAAGCAGCAGCAGCAGTAGCAGCAGCAGCAGCTGCAGCGTCCGTAGATAATAACAGCAATGATCCTGTATCAAAGCCACGGCAGTAGAATGTTGTTGTAGCTGTTCAGTGTGAGGGATTTCACCAGGTTTTTTACGGTCCAAGTGATTTAACAGGTTTTACGGTCCAAGTGAGGGATTAACTGAGCCCGCAGTCCAAGTAAGGAGTTTAAACTATTTTTTTTTTTTTTTTTTTTTTTTTTATATATAGCGTTCCAGATATAGGCAGTACCATATATGCAGTTCCATGTACTGCATAACAGTTCCAGGTATAACCGTACCATATGAGCAGTTCCAATATAGCAGTTCCTACATATAAGCAGTTCCATATGAAGCAGTTCCAGATACAGTACAACAGTTCCAGATACAAGTAGTTCCAGATATAAGCAGTTCCAGATATAAGCAGTTCCAGATATAAGCATTTCCAGCTATAAGCATTTCCAGCTATAAGCATTTCCAGCTATAAGCATTTCCAGCTATAAGCATTTCCAGCTATAAGCATTTCCAGATATAAGCATTTCCAGATATAAGCAGATCCGTGAGGGATTAACCCGAGAGCTCACAGACCAATGTAAGGGATTCATTTTGGGAGCCGCAGTCCGAGAGGGATTTAAACAGCGCTTGCAGTCCAAAGAGAGGGATTTAAACAGAGCCTGCAGGCCAAAGTGAGGGATTAAAACTGAGAGCATGCGGTCCAATGTGAGGGATTAAAACTGAGGTCTTGCAGTCCAATGTGAGGGATTAAAACTGAGGTCTTGCAGTCCAATGTGAGGGATTAAACGGAGCTTGCAGTCAGAGTGAAGATTTAACGGAGCTTGGTTAAAGAGAGCCTGCAGACCAATGCGAGGGCTTTAAACTGAAGCCTGCCCACCAGCACGGGGCCAACTGAGCCTGCAGGACAATGCGAGGGGAATAAACCGTCCGCGGATCTCATACTTACCCACAGCGCCAGAAGACAAGGGACAACACAACGGGACCACACCGTACCGGCACAAGGAGGCAGGGATGCGCACGGCTCCCACCGCACCGGGCTAGACCGGCCGTATGCAGCAGCAGGCCGCGACGAGACGAGCAGCGGCAAACCCGCGGAAGAGCCCGCAAGGAGGAGAGCGGCAAAGACCCACGGACCACAGCACGAGACCCGCAGCAGGTGCAGCCACAGGAGGAGCAGACCACACGCAGCAAGACAGAGGACAGCAGGGACACGCACGAGTAAGCGTGAGTAGACAAAAGTGATTCCTCCAGAACGATTCTTTGCGAGGCTGCAGGAGCTTGCGAGGCTTCAGGAGGCCGGTAGTGGGAGTTGCTCCGTTTTTATGCGGCTGCGAGTCGGTACAGATGATTGGAAGGGGGCGTCTGCTGAGCGATAGGCTGGGGATGAGAGCCGGCCTGGAGGGGGTAAATTTGGTTAACGTCTACCAAATTGAATTTTCGCGGGCTGCATTTCATCTCCACATACAATAATCTACATTAATATCTGCCCATATATCACCAGCTGATCATATTGCATGCTATTATATTGTTTTCCTCCACATTCTATGAATCTGTGATGTTTGTATTGTTTCAGAAAAGGAGCTGGAGGTTTATCAAAGCATTGCAGACCTGACAGTCAAGGCAAAGGACCAGGCGGTTTTTAAATGTGAAGTTTCAGATGAGAATGTTAAAGGGACATGGTTAAAAAACGGAGTGGAGGTCAAAGCCGATGCAAGGATTAATATATTTCATATTGGCAGGTAACAGGTTTATTGTTTTTATATTCTTTTTTACAGTTACACAGATTTACATTACTGAGCCAATTTTTTTCATCTACCAGAAATTAATCCAAGTATTTTAACGACATTACCTTAAAATATAAATACAGAAAAAATATATATTAAAAGAAAAAATGGATGCAACTTAATTCCTTTAAATAAACTTTCCAACAAAGAAAAAAAAACAATTGAGACCTAAAAGTCCTGCAAAAAATGTCATAGCCCCCGACTAACTATCCCAACCTATCGAACCCAAGAAAAAAGCAGGCCCATCAGCAGGACCGTTGAGGGGGATCCTTAAACTTTCTCTTAAGGATCTTCACTTATTGCTCTTTCTTCTTTTTGCTGTGTTTAAATTGTAATTTTATTTAAAGAATCCACAAACTCACTATTGATGATGTGAAACCTGAGGATGAGGGAGACTATACGTTTGTCCCAGACGGCCTCGCCTTCAACCTATCAGCCAAATTGAACTTCCTTGGTAATTTGGATTAATTTTCCTTTCAAAATCAATCTTATTTTCTCCTGCAAATAAATGCGACAATGACCCATTTTCTTTTCCTTAGAGGTGAAGATTGATTACGTCCCACGACAAGGTAAACAATCCACATTCTGGATTAAATAAAGATTAAGATTGATGTGTGTTGTCATTTGTGGCATATTTTTTTCTTTTCAGATCCTCCCAAGATTCACTTAGACACAATGGGACGCACTTCTGAGTCCACCATCATCGTTGTAGCAGGAAACAAACTGCGACTGGACGTTCCCATCACAGGAGACCCGGCACCGACAGTGATCTGGACCAAAGGAGAAAAGGTTAACACATTGGATCCAGAGATTATGAACAGTGCTTGTCGACAAATATAATTTTCAATCACATGCTTGAAATGTACGCAAAGGTAAAAAAAAACAGGGGGAATGTACCATTTAGGATAATCAAAGTCTGGTTTCAAGTTCAAATTCTCAGTAATGTTGCTCGATTATCCCTCTGACAGACTTAGAAATGGTCATTTCCCCCTTTTTAGAGTGCTGACTCAAACTACGTTCAAGGCTTGCCCCTTCGGTCCTGGTGCAGTCTTGTTTAGGCCTGGTATAATCCTGGTTTAGTCCTGGTTCAGAGTAGGACGGAACATGTATACATGTGAGGAGAAGATTATCTCAGTTGTAGTTCTTTTGAAAATTTAACATATAAGTAGATGTTTCTTGTAAGTAAGTTGGTAACTAAGTAAAACATATTTATATAGCGTTTTTCACACACCAGGATTACAAAGCACTTGACAATTAAAAACATACAGTAAAAATATTATACATACAAGCCATAAAAACAAACATACAGAATAATCATAAACACACTTCAGACTGCACACTGCCTAAACAAATAGGTATTAAGTTGCGACTTTAAAATGTCCACTGACTCTAACATGTGCAGAGACAGGGGAAGTTAATTCCAATGGCGAGGAGCAACAGCCTGGAAGGCTGTCTCTTGAGGGACCATCAACAGGTTATGAGTTGTAGACCTAAGGCTCCTGTTGGAGACGTAAGGCTGGATCAGGCCCTGGATATAATCAGGTGCCTGACCATGAAGAGCCCTGAAAGTCAACAACAGAATAAAAAATAAAAAAACAATTCTGTGTGACAAGGAGCCAGTGTAAGGACTTAAAGATTGGAGAGATATGTGCTCTCCTATGAGTGCAGGTCAAAGGCCTTGCTGCAGAATTTTTGACCATTTGTAAACGAGCCGCATGACCCTAAGACTTTCCCCTGTTAAAGGGGAGTATTGTCCTTGATGGCTCACCCAAGTAACCTGCGTTAACAACAAAAAGCAATAATGACTCTTAGGGCCTCATTTATCAAGCATGTTCATGTGCAAAAGCAATTAGCCCTCAGTGCAAACTGATTTATCATATACTATGTCCAATAGCTGCAGTTTAGCACCTAACAAGGTAATCATGCTAGCTTTGCTAGTCCTGGTATACTGTATCAAGTGTATTACTGCAATAGAGATGTGGCTGGTGAAAGGCAGACTGAACTGACTAGAAAAAGATGGCTGCTACCTCCTGGGCCACTGCGTTCTTGTGTCAGAATTATTTGCATGGAACACTTGGCTGTTTCAGCTCACTGCAACTAACTGCTTGAGTGCTTAGCTAATGTGAGGATCTATTGCTTCTGCTGCTTTGCTCTGCTCAAGTTTAGGCTAATTCTGTAAAACATGAAGGAGAAGACTCAGCAGGCCGGCCATCTTCTTGGACAATGCAGGATGGAAAAGTAAGTATGCATGTACTTTGCAAAGCATAACTATAGTTAGTCATACTTTTCTATTTATTTCCAGCCTTTAAACTGATTTGTGCATGTCTTACACATTAATACCTCACAGTAGTGTCTGCATGTGGCTTATTGGGAGAGAGCATGTCCTGAGTTAGCGTTGTTAAAATCATACTAAACTACGTAAATTCAACTTTACTCTTTCTCTAGAAGTATACAGTCATCTAAAACAAATACTGGATGCAATTCCAAATGGTTATATATATAATGTATTTGGTTCTGTTTTAAGTTAAACACTTAAAACAGAACAAAATACATGGCATGTGACTCCTGTCTTGTCTCTTTTAATCTATATGGTCTTTGTCACAGATAAATTAATAATAAATGATGACTAAAATGGATTTATTAGTTATGACATGTCTCATGAAAGAGCCCCATCGCGTTTCAGCGCACTTCATCAGGGGACAGGGTGCACAAATAATCATGTGATAATATCGGGATTCTCCACCTCTGGAATTGTGACAGTGAACCTATGTGGACAGTGGCTAGAAAGGAGGTCTATAATATCATTCATTTCAGTTTATTAAATATACTGTAGAAACATGATACATAAAACTGCACATTTATGGGACAGAAGCAGTATGTAGCTTATGACTTTGGACATTATTTCAAGACGCTTTATTAGAAGATTTAGAAGATGACCCATGTCAGTGAGGTTACACAATATCATTTGTATTAAATTCATTTTTGTATCACCCTAAATAACAACAACAGTCATCTCAAAGGACTTTACAAAGTTGTCAATTCATCAACAACATATCAGAGAATCAAACAGAATTCAAACACAGGTAATGCAATAATAACAAACACTTAGGAGCCATTGGTCCATAGAGAGTGGGAAGACCAATGTCCATTTCATTTCCTAATTCGGTACATTCAAATCTGTGCACATTCAATAATTCTGGGACTAAGATACTGTATTTCAAACAGGTCCTCACTGAAGGAGATGGCAGGGTCCATGTTGAAACCACCAAGGGCCACTGTATCTTCACCATTGAAGGAGCAGAGCGTCAGGACGAGGGAATCTACTCTGTGGTGGTCCGAAACGAAGCCGGAGAAGACACTGCTGACGTCCATGTTAAAGTCGTGGGTAACGAAACATTTGTTATTTACATCTGAGGGTGTTGTGAACTCTTGCTTGGAGATGTTTTTAGTTGTACAAAATGTGGTTTTCTTCAGATGTGCCTGATCCACCTCAAGCTCCCAGAATCCTCAGTGTTGGGGAAGACTCTTGTGTTGTTCAGTGGGATCCTCCGGTGTTTGATGGCGGACAGCCTGTTATTGGTAAAATATTTTAAACAAGTTTCCTGTTCATATGCTTAAGATTCAGAGATCTCAGACTGCACAACAAACAATGCGGACTAACAAAAACTGCCAACCTGACCTCACATGTTGTGCATCTGTGCAATGATTTTAACTTATGTCAGAATGTGCAATATGAAACCACATGCATCCACTCATCTGCAATTATAACTTTAATAATGTCAGAATGTACAATGTAGTATACTTAGCCACTGTGTCCCAGACCCTCATGCTACTAACATGTACAGATGTATACACACAATTATTTATTTCTTGCACTAGAATACACAATATTTTATCATGTATTCTTATTATGCTAAAGTTAAAGATGTTATACTTACTTCTTATAATGCTAAAGTCAGAGATTTTATACTTAATTCTTGTTTCTTCAATGGAGCTAATACTGGAGATTAGACTTGCTTCCTTATTAAGCTAAAGCTAGAGATTTTTTTCTTGCTTCTTTACTATGCTAAAATTAGAGACGGTGATGCAACACTGAAATTTCCCCACTGTGGGACGAATAAAGGATCTCTCAATTGTTCTCTCAATAATATGTGATAAAGTTTAAAGTTTCAGCTGGAATTCCTTCGATGCTATATGTCATTTTAAACTTTTAACAAACAAATCCTACTTTTAATGCATAAATCTCGCTCTCTGGTGAAATCCATCTTGTCTTCCAGGTTATGTACTGGAGAGAAAGAAGACAAAGAGCTACAGGTGGATGAGACTGAACTTTGATCCGTACCCTGACACGACTTACGAGGCCAAAAGGATGATTGAAGGAATGATGTACGAGATGAGAGTGTACGCCGTCAACAGCATCGGCATGTCCCGCCACAGTCCGGCTTCACAACCTTTCGTTCCTGTCGGTGAGACTTCTACTGGGACCCTTTCGTTTCTTTTTAATCACTCTTTTTAATTAGTTCATCAAAGTCGTTTGAGGTCATTTAAAGACTGATGGCGACCTCTTTAGCTTTTGAGGTGTAAAGTTTCTACAGGCCATGGGTTCATGTAGCTTGTGGTCACTCCTGAACAAGCTCAAATTCACTGTTCTAATTTCAGAAGTGTGGCTGTAGCGACTCCGGTTTAGAAACATAACCAAAACTTGCCCCTTCTGACATATTAAAATATCCGACCACGCCAAAATACCTTAATCTTATATGAATTTTTGGTTTAATTGTTTGCATACTGAGAGCTGATTGGCCTCTGTGTGTGAGGGTGTCCATCTCATATTTACTAAAAAAGCTGATCAAAAGATGTGACAAAATACATGCATTAGAAAGCTAAAGTGATGGGATTTACTGTAGGTAAGGTTTGGATTAAACCACAACTAAGGCCAAACATGAATAAAAGATGTATTGGAAGACTGATTGTAAAAAAAAGTAACTATAACTTCTAATTACATTTTAATTAACAATTTTGAACAGATACACTTACATGGTTGTTTTTCTTAGACACTAGGGTTTATTATGAAATATAACATGCCATAGTAGCCCCATACTATCAATGCTGCTAGTTCCTGCGATAAAGATGATAGAAAGTCATTTCAGGGGCCACTCAAAATGGTCTTGCGAGCCGCATTTGGCCCACGGGCTTGAGTTTGACATGCCTTGAGGGTCCGACTTCAGCATGTGCCTTCTGTGTCTGGCATCCCAGTTTTTGGTCACCCTGTGTGGAGTGAAGGGAAATAAAAAATAAAAAATAAAACATTAATAAAATGAATGTATGTAAACAATATATTATTGATTTCCCCCAACCCCTGGGGACAAACCGATATGTCTGATCTATCGTGAACCTGTTCGCATTAATTGGAACGTGATTTGTTCAGCTGACCCTTACATTGTATGATGTGTGAGGAAAATATCTCTGGAATTTCCAGAAGTGTTGCAGGATGTTCTTTTAAAGGAAGTTTGTCAAGAGGACAACAAGAGGTTTGTCCCGACAACAAACACGGAGTGAGAATAGCCGAGGCATTTGGCACTAAACAGGTACAACAAGTGTTAGCTGAAGCCACATGAGCAGAAGCTGGAGCCCTGTATGCTGTGGTGGACCAGTGCATTTTCTAAGTCAAACATATTAACTCTTGAGGCACCAAAGGAGCAGAATTGCATGAGCTCCCAAATCCAGCACAAACACTTTCTATACAGTGACTCAGATTCACTTCAGACAAACATTTCCCTACATTTTTCTCAATGTTTTCTTTTTATGTATATTCCATAACACATTTCTGTCTAGATAATGTTTTAATAATTGCTTTGCTATTCCGATCAAATATTATTTTGATGATTTTCATACAAACAAAAACCCCCAAAAATATTTAGTAATCTGTCGTTTCTGACATTCACTCCAGATTTGTGGAGCGCACTTATGTAGTTTTCTTTGACACTGTCTGACCCCAGCTTTACAAGGTCAAAGTTTCATGGTGTCAGCAAGTTGTAAAATTGATAAATGGTTCATGAACTGTGGGCTGCTGCTGTTTTGAATTGTACTGTGACTTTTTTGACAGCAAATTTGAACCTTTTTAATTTTACTATTGGTATTGTTTTAAGGAACATTCCTATCCTGGTGGAGGCTCTACTTCTTGCTTGAGTTAATCTAAATGTTTTTTGTGTTTTTCAGGAGTTCAGGATTATAGCTTTAAGAGTCATCTCAATCTTATAAAAATTGCAATTTAGTGGAGCAATATTTAATGGTCTTTGGAAAGAGAAAAATACTGCAAAAAGTGACAAAACATAATTCAATTAGGGGGAAATTATCTGACTTAATTTGACAATTTGACTTACAATTTTTCTCACAATATTTCTCAATAAAAATAACCTTGTTTGGTCTCACAGAGGGGAATATCTGGTAAAACAAAACACATTGTGCTTGCTCCATGGCCAAAACGCCTCAATTCAAGTCTCGATCTATTGTTGTTACTGAAAAATTATATAAATTTAAACGCTTGATTACGAAAACAGGAGAGTAGGAGAGTTGGAGAGTTGTCTGAGCTTTTTTCTTCAATTAAACTTTTTCGAAGTTCTTCTATTTCTTCCATTTTTTCTATGCATAAATTCTAATCTTGTGTCTTAAATTCTGATGTTTGTCAGAAAAAAGCCTTTCTCGGGACGGACATTGCAAACTAGCTTTGGCAATAAATATTGTAGTATTTCACAAGTTCATTGTGTACGCTCATCAAATAAATGAATAAAGATAAATTAGATATTGTGCTAATATTGTACAGCTCTATTCAGGATTTTCTTCTTTTGTGGAAACATATTGAATGTGTTTGCAGCTCCGACCAGTGAGCCAGTCGGCCTGTCTGTGGATGACATCACTGACACCACCATCGCTCTGAAGTGGCGGCCTCCTGAGAGGATCGGAGCGGCGGAGCTGGAGGGATACAGGGTCGAGTACTGCAAGGAGGGCAGTAAGTGCTGAAAATTACCTCTGCTGCTTTCCATCCAGAATTACTCTGACCTGAAAAGTGGTGCACTAAATCAATATACAATCCCTGAATAGAACGCTTCTGTTATCGTTATCGATGTGCTCTGGTTGTCTGGCAGTATTTTATTTTTCATTGGTTCATTTACTGTTGTGAAAACGGCACAATAAATATGTTAAAAACACAACTAGGAGCGGTTAAAAAACAAATTCAGATTTTAATTACATACACTTTTTTATTTTGTGATTTTTTTTCTGTTTGTTTTTTATTATAATTTTTCTATGTGTATATATTAAATGTTTTTTTTATTTTTAGATATTTCACATATTAATTTTGTGATAGTTAATGATCCACACAATGCTAACAAAAGCATGAGCCAATCAATCTTCAATAAATAGAAGATAGGTTCACCAATATTCTTCCAATAATGTTGTACTTTTGTTAACGTGGGGAAAAGTGTTACATAAGGGCCCAAGAGTCTTTATTTTTTACTGAAACAAATGGAATTGGTTAGAAGTGTACACATTCTCTCAACAATTCATATTCTCTCATCAATATTTGATTCTCATAACTGTTGTTGGCAAAAAGACAATTTTGTAAAGTCCTCCATGTGAAATTCTGTTGGGATTTAGGGCATTACAAAAATACCTTGAATTGTATTTGGAGGCTCTGAAACATGCCCAGTTCAGACAGTGGCCACGCATTTATCTGTCCTGTGTGTGTGTGTGCTCAAGCTGACGAGTGGATTCCGGCCTGCGAGGGGTTGACAGACAAGACGTCCCTCATGGTCAGGGGTCTGAACACTGGGGACAAGCTGCAGTTTCGTGTCCGGGCGTACAACATGGCAGGCCCCAGCGCCGCTGCCACTCTGGCTCAGCCCGTCACCATCAGGGAGATAATGCGTCAGTACACTACATACATCTCTGTACTCTACCAGCTCCATGCTTCTCAGGCCTTTCCTTACACGTGTTTCTATATTTTGTAGAGAGACCAAAGATTTGGCTTCCCAGAAATCTTCGTCAAACTCTGATCAAGAAAGTTGGAGAATGTGTCAACCTGGTGATACCATTTCAGGTGAAGTCAAACCAGAACACATAACTCAGGTTACACGGATAATTCCTGTAGCCCCCATGATTTAGTTGTTGCTTATAAAAAGTTGAGCAGTTGAGCAGTACAGTTTGGATCCTCAGCTGCCTGTGACATCAAAACAAATGAAAAACACATTTAGTAAAAAAACAACAATATTTTAATGCACTATGTTAAATTATGGAATGAAATGTTTATTATTGTATTGAATATATTGTTTACTGGAAGTTTGAATTGTGTTAACGAGAATTGACTACATGCAAAATGGACCCCAGCAAACATTTGTTGAAGCTCATGGGAATCCAAATAAACAATCTCCCATCAACTGTATCAAGGACATATTGTCATTTCCTATTGTTAATAAAGTATGTTACTACCTTCATTTACAATGTTACCACTTTTAGCAACCGAAGCAAAACACAATTCACTTTTTTTTATATAGCACTATGATTTTACCCAAGTATATTGACATTCCATACAGGGAAAGCCCAGGCCAGTGGTCACATGGACAAAAGACGGGGAGCCGCTGACCTCCGCATTAGTCAACATCAGAAACAGTGAAACAGACACAATCTTCTTCATCCGTAAAACAGAGAGGATCCACTCGGGCAAATACCAACTGCAGGTTCAGATTGAAAATGTGGAGGACAAAACCACCATCAATCTACAGATCGTTGGTACGAAGCTCAATGTTTTATTTCATATAAAAGCTATTGACCTGAGCAAAGTATATTTGTCTTCTGCAGACCTCCCCGGAGCTCCGGAAGCCTTGAAGATCGTCGACGTCTGGGGTTTTAATGTGGCTCTGGAGTGGAAGCCGCCAAAAGATAATGGCAACTGCGAAATAACCGGCTACACCATTCAGAAAGCAGACAAAAAAACAATGGTACGTTGATAGACATGATTAAAGCTGGGGTACCTAACTAAAAAAACTACTATCCATATACTGTAATTCATTACTCATTTCAATTACTAACAATTATTAACTTTCAAATTCATGTATTTCGGCCTCTGTCACATTTTTAGATCAGCTTTTTCACACAGAAAACAGAACCTCCATCACTCAGCCAATCAGCTCTAATCATTATATTCAATTGTAAACAAATGTGTGTAAACAATTATGTTTAAACATAATAAAACAACAAAAAGAAACTAAAAATTTGCCAGATACCCGGTTTGGCTTCACAGGGATGTTATTGCTCAGTCTTAATTATCTCATATTCTCATTATATAGTGACATTTTGAAAAAAAAAGAAACATAAAATAAGGGTAACATAAGATGATTTGCCATCGTGCATGTTGATCACGTCCGCAGCCGTGACGACAAAGGTCCTGATGCTACTATACAGCGACTGAAGCTCCAAAGTCGACAAGAATGTGCTAATCTTATCCAGGGCCATGGCTGTGTCCAGACTTAGTGCTCTTTGACGCACACCATTGTTCCTCTGCTGCTCCCCTGGGCTCATTACAACAGGATGGAGTCACAAAAACCTTATCGAGTTACCAATTAAAAATGAAGAGTTCATATGTGTGTGTCCTCTTCACATCTCTTCTACTGGCAGGACATATAATTACATTGCAGTTGGAATTAAAGGTGAATTAATAAAATATTGTGCTACTGATGATGGGATTGGATTTCAACACATTTTCTAAACATTTAAATAAGACTTAATATGTATATTTTGTGTTGAAAATGTATACCTAGTGTTCATGTTTTTAGAGGAAGGGATAATAGGAGCACCCGGAGGAAACCTGTCAATGTGTATACACGTGTGGAATTGAAACTGGTATTTTATTTGTCTCAATATTGAAACCAACATGATTGAAAGCCTATTGCTATTCTCCAAGTTTCACCTGTATATAAATGCACTTTCATAGTTGATAGACTGTAGTAGAAAAGGTTGTTGTTATTCACTGTGGTTACACTAATGTCCCTACACATGTAAAAGTGCATTTAAACAGACTATATTCTCTTTCAGGAGTGGTTCACGATATATGAACAGTACAGACGCACTCACTGTGCGGCCTCAGACCTCATTATGGGAAACGAGTACATCTTCAGAGTCTACGCTGCGAACCTCGTCGGCCTCAGTCCTGAGCCGTGCAACACAAAGGACAGCGCATACATCCAGAAAACAGGTTGGAAATTAATTGGAATTAAATAATTGGTTAGAATAAATGTAAACCAGTTGTTTTTGCAACTGTGTACATTAAGATCATTTTTTTATTTAATTCATTTACCTGTGGTTATTAGATTTTTATGTTTTTAAACCATTGAAGTCAGATTGCTCATTCTGGAAAACTTTTGAAGGTTTTTTTTGTGTTTGAAATGCGCTATATATTTAAAGTGAATTTGAAGTACGAAATCCTCAATTACACAGTCACAGTAATAAGAAGTACAAAAACACAAAAAAGGGGATATATTTTATAGCACAACATCTTTAACTTCAGCTAAATAAAAAAATAAAAAATGCATAAGTGATCTATAAGAATCAGTTAGGTCAACACTAATAGCAGTAACATCCATATTTAAATTTAGCTTTAAGCACTAAAATACACATCTGTAGTACACTCTACTGCAAAGTACAGTGTATTGAACTAATCAAAGTAGCTAGCTCGGTAGGATGGAATATTTACAGTTATGGCTTCTACTGTATGTAATGTATGTATGTAAGTGGCTGGTGTGTTTTAGTTACATTCTCTACTGCCACTTGGGGTTTGTGAAGGGGTTTTGTCCCACTTTCATCTGAACTCTGTCTCTTCAGCTATTGAGTACAAGCCGCCCAGCTACAAAGACCATGACTTCTCAGAGGCCCCAAAGTTCACTCGGCCTCTAGTGAACAGGTCCGTTATTGCAGGATACAACACCACTCTCAGCTGCGCAGTCAGGGGGATACCAAAAGTAAGTCCCCAACCACTGTCATTTATAGTCCTGCACATATGAAATTATTTTATGATTACACTGCAAAATGTACAACACAATAACACAACAACTACCGGATTCCCCTACCACTAAAAACATGTACAATGAGGGAATGAATGGATTGTGATGCTCGGTGGTGAGTGAAGTGAATGGAAATTACCCAAAATGTTCAAGTGCTTTACTTAAGAGGACTTACTTTTATATTCTTCAACCTCACTATCAGAAATAAGATATCCTTCTATTGGGTGAATGAAATGGTATATGATATATCTATGTTCACTCTCATCAATTCAATTTGTGTGTGTTTGTGAGTGAGTGTCTGTCTCTGTGTGTGTGTGTGTGTGTATTGTATCATACTAAAATATGGAATACACAAGACTTACATTAAATAATGTAGGTATATTTTTGCCTGCTTATCTGTTAATTGAATTGACTATTTTTTAGCAGTCTGAAAAAAGTTGCAAGTACAAGTGAAGAAGGCGTAGTAGTAAAAAAACAAAGTGAAGTTTGTTAGATTGATAAGTCTATAATCTCCCCTCAGCCCAAAGTGACCTGGTTCAAGAACAAGATGGACATCTCGCACGAGGCCAAGTACCGGATGCTCAGTAAACAAGGCGTTCTGACACTGGAGATCCGGAAGCCCTGCACCTTCGACGGAGGCGTGTACACGTGCAAAGCCGTCAACGCCAGCGGAGAGGACGTAGTGGAGTGCAAACTGGAAGTGCGCGGTGAGTTAAGCAACCTATTTACTGACTTTCAAACCATTTCAAATGTATGTATTTTTGGCTTCTGTCACATCTTTAGATCGGATTTTTCAGACAAAAAAAGACAAAGAGGGGACCACTCTCACTCAGCCAATCAGCTCTCAGTCCAAAGAGAGAAAGAGTGACTCACAGGGCTCTTTCTTAGATAACATGATATCCAAGATGAAGACAGAATGTTGTGGTCTGGTTTCTTCATAACAAGACTCTCTCTGGAAATAAATGTATAAATAATAAGATTTTAAAAAGTCAGGCCCTATCTTAAAATGCCTTCAATCCAAACCAGAAGTAGAATTAGATGTGTTCATGTGCATACAAAGACATGATCTTGCTGATTTGCATTTTGTATCTGTCCATCTTCCAATCTTGTATAAAAAATTAAAATAGGACAAACATACTTTGAGTTTTCAACGTTTCAACCTTTGCATCAAGATATAACAATTGATCAAATGTATTGTTGACTGCTTACAGCTCAAATCACCAAAGAAGAGACAAAGAAGTAGAAGTCCGCAGCCTGGGACGCACTTGCTCTGACTGTCATGGACTCCTTGGTCATTGTCCAGATGTGATTCTTTTAGCATCTTTCCTTTAGTTTTTGTGAAGTATGAGGGATGCATTGTGTTTAAAATTGCAGTTACAGTTGAACTAAAATTTAAAACAAAAAAGTTAATTTCATTTCATGCCATGTGTAATAAATGAGAATGTTAGGCCTTCAGCACAATGTCATTTTTCCTGTTTGATATAATGGTGTTGTACCGCTGGGCAAACATTTAAATTACCCAAAAGTAGGGATGGGACAATTTGATATTAAAGTAAAGTGTATAGTGTAGGTCTGTACGTATGTCTTTATAAATACTCGATATGCAGCACCTCCTATATACACTTGAAAGTACACCCCCAGGCAGAAATATCCATTTAATTTAAGGGACATTTTCAAATTATAATAACAACAGCAACAACTCAATGACCCTGATTAGAAGTCTCCATTTCCTGGTTCTCAATATCGTACATTTTCTCTTTGACACCTATGACAGCTTGGAGACTTTTGTGCTAGTTCTGGAGGTAATTCTTTTGAACATCTCTGAAGGTATTAATTTGATAAATGCCCAAAACAACATCTCTGGCTGAGTGTATATTACTGTCAAGCACCAAACCTCTTAAATGCATATTCCCGATACTCAGAAGTATTAGGTATTAGAAGGATTAGGTTTTACTGACCAAAGCCCTGACAGAGCCTAATGTGTGGAGAATGTGGATAAGAGTCTAAACATCTCGCCGAAGGATGTTTTCATCAGCTGAAGCTCCAGCATTACTCAGCACTGCCGCACATAGACATATCTGCCATAGCGTCTCTCCGTGCAGCTGTGTGCTCTGTACCTGAGCTTTGAACATGTCAGATGGCAGCAACTAACACGCATAGACCCCGTGTTGGAGGAGTGTATGTTTACAGGTGTTTTGACACGGACTAAACGCTCAAATTCTAAAGCCTACGTGGTTACATACAATTTTTCAAAGCTCAACAGAAGCTATCTGCCATTATGTAGTATTCGTCGCAGATAGAGACAAGCAGAAGGAGCTGCCCTGAAGAGAGAAAATAATGATGATGCACTGGTTTTATGAAGCGCTTTTTGGAACACTCAAAGATGCTTTTACATTATTCATTCACTCCATACACTGTGGTGATAAACTACTACTGTAGCCACAGCTGCCCTGGAGCACACAGAAGTGAAGCAATCATCGGCCACTCTGACCCCCACCAACCATTCACACACACACCAGACTTATTCTAGGCAATGTGGGTGAAGTGTCTCGCCTAAGGACACAACAACAGTTTGGCATTTTACAGCCACCCCGCTGCGGCACCTGGTGTGGTGTGCTGTGGCACCTGGTCCCTGCCCTGCTTAGCTTCTGAGGTCTGACGAGATCTGGCCTACTCATGCAGGTATGGTCAAAATATAGGAAGTGCTAATAATTGGATAGCTATTTTTTATGATACATTCATATTTATGTGGTAAAAAGTTAAGACTTTTCTATCATGATGCTGTTTAAAATCAATATTGTTGTTTTAAAAATGCAAAATCTAGACATATTTTCTGTTTATTTCATAATTAAATATAAGTAGTGAAGCTCCTGCTGTTGCTCTTCTCAAACTGATGGTGCCAGTGTTAGAAAGAACAGGAGACGAGGTGAGGGAGAGGAGCCCAATAAAAAAACAACACACATTACATGAATATAGTTCGACAATAAAACAATGTATGCAATGCAATTTATTTATGTATTTTAGAGCAAATATCTTTTTTAATAAAACAACCAGGGGATCATTGAAAATATGAATAAAAAACTGAAATTAGCCTCAAATCACCAACAAGTTAATAAGTGCTTGAATGTATTTATAATTTGAGTTATTTATTATCATTAAAACAAGATTTTTCAGGATAATCAAGTTTTGTCACATTATGCAGTAGCTTTTAATAGCAAGTAAAATAACTGATATTTTTTTCTTGTTTTGAGTTAAACAAAAGGCGTTGAGCTTGTTTCGTTCAGTAGATAAAGTAGGTTAAGGTACGAGCACTTATCAACTTATTTGTATATCTTTAGTATGCTCTGCAAGGGTTTTGTGAAACATACTTTTCATCCCATCTAGAAAGGACAAAATAATAATTCATAGTTGTGTTTTGGCTAATGAAATAATCACAGTAAACAGTACACAACCTCCCACGTTTAGAATTAAAACAAAATGGAACTAAGATGTGTATCAACATTAAGTAGTAAGCCATGAAGATCCACACAGCCGACGCAGTTAAGGAGGTAGCTTCTGTAACTCAACATCCCATTCTTGATGACATTTACTCAAAATTCAACATTTATACCAGCTATACAAGCACTCAACAGTATTGTCATCACTCACCCATTTGGATTCAGACCTGCAGACAAACACAGCTATACAGTTGAAAAGTTCATTTGGGAAAAACAGATAAGTGGCCTTTGAAAAATATCAGAAAAGCTTACAATTTGGTCTATACAAGCCAAATGTATCAGTGGCTTACAAATAAATATAAAAAATGTCCCCCCTTCTTAAGAACATGTCTTTCAAATGTACTGCCAACAACAAAACATGTTGAAGATTGTAGCGAGAGGAACTTTTCAATGTTTTTACATTTTTTTCCAAACTGAAATATCTGTTTTTACCAACAAACTCGTCATTTGCTAAACTGATTGTAAAAAGTTGAAATCAAGGGAACTACAGATACACATTGCCTAAATACCTGAGCGCTCACATGACTTGCACTTGTGGATACACGTCCCAAGGGCGGAATCACCTTTATGTGAACAGTCTTGCTCCTGAAACCAGCGAAAACACTGCCTTTCCCCAGCGCTGGGCCAAAGCACGGGCAGGCTTTACAATTATCTCCAATATAAATGTGGATGTCCAAACTACTGCATCTGTCACAGCACTTACTGAAACGTGTTGGATTATGTTGAAGAGAAGCATTTTAGGCTTTAAGATGATTATTTCCCTACAATATCTTTTGCATAGTGTTAGACCAGATTACTGTCTAGTTTTAAGACCACATATGGATAGTGTTGGGGTCATGATCAATGGGTAAAGGGAAGGCATGTGACATAACGATGGTTTTTTGTCCGGTTTCCTTATTATAATAAAATAGAGTTGTAAAGGCCATTACCACAGCTGAACACTCCCAAGCTTTCCTGCTGCTCCAACAATAAATAATGTCTTGTGGAGCATGGGAGCAGTGGCCACACAGTGAAATCTGCTACTTTAATCACATTCTTAGTCTGACACCAAACCAAAGGTGTTTGTTCACGGACAAGGCGTGGAGCTAAATTTTTCTTCTGCTGATTACAATCACAGATGTACAGAAGTTATTGTTGATTTTCCACCAATGGGGAAAAGGAGATCACCTCAATTACATTCACATGAAAAGAAAGATAATATAATGTGCTACATTTCACTTACAAATACCATTAATCCAAATACAATAACCTTTGGGGTGAAAATGCTTAGGAATCAACCAGAAGCATACAAATAAAACATTTTAAAAGCTTATGACAAAAACTGAGACTGACGACAGGAGATCCAGAGGCAGGCACCGTGGCAACAGACTCTCTGCTGTTTAAAGAGTTTGTGTGATGTGTAAAAACTTGTCTCTTATTACCTCCACTCTGAGTTCCCTTTAAATAAATGGCTCTATCTCTGTTCACACAGTGTGCACATACCTAAGTGCTTTGTTAGTCTTTCTGAGCGGTAGTTGCACATAGAGTTTGTAAGCGTCTGTGTTGTGATAGTCAGTCTTTGACTCGAGGTATGTTGTATGAGTATTGTACCAGCGGCAGTCCTCTGCTCTGACAGAAACAGGCCCTGCCACAGGCCTGGACCTGGTCTGAACTGTCCGACACAAAAGAGTCTCCCTCGTCTGCATACTCAGACTGAGCCAGAGGTGTGCCGCTGTCGGCCCAAAACCCCTCTGCAGGCGGGCACAAGGCGGCCGCCCCCGAGAGGGTGGGACAGCTGTGGGCCTTCACAAAGTGTCTGCACACAGAGGCGCTGGAGGGGCAGGTCCGGGCGCGCAGCACGGCCTCACACCGCTCACACACGTCTGTACACAGCTCTGAGTACAAGCCGCACTCTGAGTCCAAAGAAGACGAGCCTCTGTCCGTCAGCTCCGAGCTCCCGCCTCCATCGTCAACCTCACACTTCACCTCTCGAGATCCTCTGAGCCCGCGCAGCCGTGACCAGTCCTCCCTGAAGGCGGGGCTGAAGAACACGTATAGCACTGGGTTCAAACAAGCAGGCAGCGGGAAGAAAATCAATGTGACCGACTTTGCGATTTCCCGGCCCCCAACGGAACCCGTGAGGAGAGGGGCAAAGGAGAAGGCCGCGACAGGACAGAAGAAGATGCAGTTTGTGAAGATGAGCCAGGCCACGTGCCGCAGCGCCCCGCACTGCTCCGGGTCGGCCAGCTCCACTCGGCCCAGGTGACAGTACAGCTGGGTGTAGACCGTGGCTGTGAAGAGGAACGCCAGAGCATTGAGCAGCACCAGCACCACGGTGACGCTCAGAGCCGGACTGTCTACTCCAGCAAAGGGCAGGCACAGCGGGGAAGCCTGCTCCCCAGAGCTCAAGAGGGGCAGACAGGCCACACCTGCCGCCAGCAAGCCCAGAACACCCGCAGCCACGCTGAAGCGCCGGCCACCTCTCCAGCAGCCGCCCTGAGAGCTGCTTAGGGGGGGCGTCAGCAGGACCTTCCCCAGGATCACTCGCACCGACACACTGCGCTCCACAGCGGCCAGCGCCAACAACAGCGTGGACCACTCAGAAGAGAAGACTGCCATCACGCCTGTGACCTGGCAACCGGGGCCCGTCTCCCACCACATCCCAAACTCTGCGAAAGAGCCCCAAGTTGCCAGGTCCAGCACGGTCAACACGCACACGTAGAGTCCAGTCAGGAGGTTGGCCAGCGCCAACAGCCCCATGAGCAGGCGCGCAGGCGACATGCCCGGGGAGTACGGGTGTCGCATTGAGCGGTGGGTCGGTCCAAAGGTGGCCACAAGAACCAGACTATTGAAGACCAGAGCCACCACACAGATGAACCAAACGGTCAGACGAATCATCCAGTTCCCCAGCAGGTGCTCACACGGCTTGAAGGCGCCTACATTGTGGAAAAATACTTATTTAATGACTGACATTTTAACCAAAATAACCAAATAACCAAATAGTGTTTTACCTGGTGAAGGGGAGCAGTGCATTAACATTGAGTTCCTTTCTACTTCTTCTCCACCTACAATAAAATATGTCTTTACTTCATACTTACTTTATAAGAATGCCCAAATGTGAAATAAATGAGTAGCAATACTTCAACTTCACCACAAAAACCAAAATTTTTTTTTGTCTTTCAAATTTGTGAGCTTTTATCTTTCTGCTTCAAGTAATAGGCAAATTGAAAAGTTAACAAATTGTATATTTTAAAGTGAGGGATCTGTTATAAAACAACAATAACACCAATGATATTATGTTTTTGACTTTGACGACACATTGTAAACAAATAAATGAATAGAATGTGCTGGTCTTCTCACCTGGTTTTTTTTCTTCCTTTTCCTCTAGACTAGACTGGTCACAAAAGGCGCAGCACTGGTAAGCGTAAGGCACAGAGATGGACCTACAGAAACACAATACTTTTTAAAACCCAACCACAATATTTATCTGACATTATTATACCACTATCCAGATACAAAGCACTCTAAAATAGAAAGATATTTTGATGTATATGTCACTTACTGTTATTGCCTGTTATTTCCTGTACTGTGATCATTTATCATTTATCTTATTTTGTTCAGCACTTTGAGTTGCCTTATGTATGAAATTGTTCTAATTTAAATAAACTTGCCTTGCCTTGCCTAAAAGCTTAACACGTTTGATAATTTTGCACAATTATTGAAACACACATTTTTGTATTTGTAGTACACGCAAAATCAGTGTTCAACTATAAAGAAATTATAGTCTTTTTATAGCTTTGCCATTGGATCTGTGAAATGTGGGGTAGCTAACTTTTTTCACTTTATCCTATGAGAAAAGTTGTCATCTTTTGCACGCTTGTAAGACAGTAAGTAACTGTTTGATAATTTGCGCTGCGAGCTGATTGGCTGATCAAGCAATGGGACAGGGGCCAAAACAATGCGTGCAAGTGAAAACAAGTGACAGAACCAAAATGTTTTGAGAGTTTGGAACTAGTTAGGTCATGGATAATATTACACACAGCAAAACTGAACCCAACACAAACATCCCTTCTTTATTTCTTTATATGGCATGCAGCTTCACTAATCCGTAGCCTAGACTGTGCTAAAATGTGATTTACAAATACTGATTGATCCATGGTCACTGTATAAGGAGCTCTCATCCCTCACCTGAGCTTGGGCAGTGTTTTTGCAGGCAGCACATTCTTCATCTCTGGGTTTCCGGACAGTTTGAGTTGACTCAGTGAGCTCAGTCCACTTGTGGGAATTAGGGTCAGGGAGTTCATGCTCAGATCTCTGCAAAATTAATTTAGGACACACACACACACACACACACACACAAGGTGATTTACTGTTCACTGAAAGACAATAAAATCAAGGCGTTCTGCTGCGACTTCATTCTTCACTTTCACAAATGTATTAAACATGCACAATTCGCGACATGGCTTCCTATGCATCTTGTTTGAGTGATGACTATTTCCACTGCTTTGTAAAGTGCGTTTCAACACTGACATTTCCCCACTGAGGGACTAACTAAGGCTCTTTTTTTTTCAATCTAACAAACTGAGGGACACATAACTTTTGAAGCGCTTATAATTCTTGAATCATATATCACAGCTGATAACTCTACTGCCACTGATTAGACAGGACTTTGACTATTCACATAACATTCTAATTGGGGTAATTTGGAAAGACAATATAATCCTTCTGAAATCAATTACAATTACAGCTGATGATCATATGGAAATTACTTTTTGCTACTGCTGCTAGTCATACAATCCAATCAAAGAATCCCAGTAAACTTTTTTTGATGACTGTTTTGATGTCATTCTCATCTCATAAAAAAACAGTCTAAAAAGTTACTTCCTAGAACTTATTTACCAATACTCACAGATTTGTAAGCGCAGACAGTGTGAGAAAAGCATCTTTGTGAATGACTCGGATTTCATTTCTGCTGAGGTCTCTGTAAAAACAATATCGAGTTAATATATTTTCACTTGGAGTAAACAATGGAGTTTGTGATAATGACTCACAGCAAGCGCAGAGACGAGAGGCCTTGGAAAGTGCCGCGGTGGATTTGGTGAATGGAGTTGTGCTGAAAGCTTCTGCAAAGTAGAAAACCAAAACTCATTTTAGTAGCTGAAATGTATGTTTTGTTTTCTTTTAGTTGGTGTTTTAGTTTCTTACATTTCCCGCAGTCGGACACATCCCTGAAGAGAAGGTATGTCGCTGATGTTGTTGTAGGATAAGTCCCTTTTGAACAGAACAGATCAAAACTGTGTCCTATTTCACTTCCAGTCCATTTTTGGATCATTCAGTATTCTTAAAACCACAAACTCAACTCATTATCACACCGACAAAAAGGCTTTTACAATCGAAGAGCATTTTTGGATTACAAACTTTTCATGCAACTTTACTGTATCACTTTACTGTATCATTTACTGTTTGATTCTGTATTTTATCTGTAGTTGGCAAATTGACAACTTTGCAAAGTTCTCAGAGACGACTGCTGTTGTGATTTAGGGCTCTACAGAAAGACATGGAATTGAATCCAATTGTTATGTCCCTGGGCAAGGCACTTAAACCCACATTGCCCAAAGCCCCAGCTGAAAGACCAAGGCCATCTAGTTGATGACGGAGAAGCCATCATCCTGTGGACCCACCACCTGCAGAGGATCAGCGAGGGACTGGTGCTATGAGACTCGGGTGGCAGCTCTGATTGACACTCCCCCGACCCAGAAATGGGTTAATAAAGGGGTAGAAAATGACATGACATGAATCAAATTGTTAACCTGGCTCCAGCCGACCTTTAGCCCTGCCTACATTCTATAATAAAAATTTTATGTAGGCGGGGCTAAAGGTCGGCTGGAGCCAGGCTATCAAATTGTACCTTGAACATCACAATCATTGATAAACCAATGTTGACATTCATCGTTCCATGTAAAGTCAGTAATTAACTATAAAACAAACATAACTTTTATTTTCTTTAACATTTAATTTATGATATTTTAATTTATGATATGATATTTTGAGTGAGGGTCGTCCTCTCTTTTTCCCCTTTCTGTGAAAAAGCTGATCTAAAGACAGAAGATGTAGAAAACATAGATGTATGTGAAAACAAGTGTTCGAACCGACATAAACACTGAGCAATTAACTTGTGGCAAATAAAACTTGAACTTGAACCAAGTAAGATTCAGCATTTTTTTTTTTTTTGTGGTTTGAAAGTTTTGTGCAACAGCTTCAACTTTAAAAATTAAAAAAACAGATTTCTAATTAAACACAACATTTGCAGACATCCCCATACACCTAATCTATAAATGACAGTTCATGGGAAAAGATAATTCTTGTGTTAAAAAGTAAACTCAGATTTCAAAGTTTCTTACAAAGTCCTGAGATGCTTGAGGTCATCGCACAGATCAGCAGGGAGGGAGGATATTTTAGTACCTGAGAGCGTCCTGAAACACGTAGGCAGAGGATGAGTCATTCCTGAACTGAATGTGTAAAAATAACAGTGTTATGTTCACGATACTCACAGACTCTCCAGTTTGTTTGTGTTTGTGAGGACGGGAAAGTTCTCCATTTTACTGGCTCCACGCAGCATCCTGGGAACAGACGTCAAATAGAGACATGAGTTCCAGTAAATGATGAAATAAATTGTCTCAGTTTGTCCACTCAAAGTTGTTCTTTAGTATATTTCAATCTGGCAATCCCTGCTGCCATCTCCTAAACCCATCTCTTGTAACCCAGGCCTTTTTATTGGAACATATTCTGGATGTCATACGAAAGAATGTTTTTTTTGTGTGCCATATTTTGTTATTAATTTCCGTCGCTGTGTAGACGCTTTGCACTTCAAATCCAGAGTGGGGTCATTTTGCGAATTGCTTGACTGAGTCTTTGTGTAAACAGAACCTTAGAGTCAAGTCAAACATTCTGGATGAACCTGGACTAATTCAAACTCCAAACTCAGTCATAGTCCAAACATTCTGAAAAAGTTAATAGGGTTTTACATGGTTGTTGCTCTTTATTCTTTATATAGCTTTAACTTGTGCTCCATGATTCTGAGACAGTTTCAGTTGTATTCTTTACCACATTTTAGAGGTGTTATAGTGATAAAGGGTATGGTTTCATGATGTGTGAGAGTTCTTTTTCATTTATGGCAAACATTTTCTCTATAGACAAAACGTACTTCTTACTGTAGCTTTTTCAACTGTCCAGAGCTTAACCAGCTCTCTAAGCAGTTACATAATGGTTATCTACAGAATTGTGTGTACACCTGTGTGCAGTTGGACTCACAGCGACTGGAGGTCCGACAGGTTTTGAAAAGCTGAGGCCCCGACAGCGGACAGAGGGTTGTCATACAAATGTCTGTGACAAAACAAAGAAGTTTACAATGTTAAAATGGCACCATCTTCTGGACACTGGAGTCTCATCGATGTTTGAACTTTCACATCATGAACTATGAATATGTCATGTTCGCTGCCAACCACTTGTTGCTATAGTGATAGGATTGGTTAGCTTGGAATGAACAAAATGGGTATCTTTGATACATCTTTGATCAGTTGATCAGCTTTTTCAGACTGATCTACTGTAACACAGCTCTTTCTTTGTAAAAGATAATAAGACTTCTAATAAGATGAAGACAGCATGTTGTGGTTTACAAAACTCATTTTTGAAAAAACTAATTAAAAAAAAGTTCGGTACCCCAGCTGTGATTTCTGTCAGATAATTAATTGCGGTCTTGTTAATTTGGTACTGGTAACTACAGCCACTAAAATAGTGATTTTGATTTGAGAAACTTTGCGACCCTGGCCTGGACCTGGAAGAGCAGTGACAGCTTTAAAGCTGATCTCAAGAGCACGACTGTGTTATATGAGTGTAGTTTGGCCACAGCCAAGCTGTTGAGCCCAGTGTGCGATACTGGGCTCACACAGGGATGCTGCTGGTATTTGTCCTGGTCATTAGTGCCTGTGAGTGTATTTGAGTGCAGTCCTGGTTCAGTATGTTTAAGTGGTGGACCAGGGAGTGACCTTACATGGCTCGTAGCAGGGGGTTGTTATGGAAGGCCCCCTCAGGTATGGAAGCAATGTCGTTACTGTGGAAGCCGCTGCAAGAAGGTCAGACACACAATCAAGACTTTTGGCTCAATAAGAACAAGCTGCAGAACTGAAGATACAATCAAGGTGTTTCTTAACATGCAAATGTAGACCACAAAAAACAGATATTGAACAGGCGGAACACAAATGGGAGCTTTATGCACACTACTTTTGTGAACGTAATGTAAACTCATCTAAAGCCTAACCTAAACTAAAGGCATAGAAACGGCAATAAATATGGCAATAAAATGGTGTGGTATGAATATATTTCACAGCAGCTAAGCGGCTAATTGGTTTAAATTAGTGTTGAAATTGCCTGAAGTAACATTTCACTGATAAGAACACTTTCCCATAATTAAACTAATTATTCCTTTCTCTAATGATGCTGTGGCTTTGTTAGTTTTTCACTTCAGTGTTATTAGGGGCTAGAAACCGTTTTCAAAGAATAATGAATCTCAAAAAGAGCAGGTATTGCTCACAAAATGTTCTGGATGAGGTGCAAATGGGAAAGTAACTATTTAAAAACAAGAAGCGTTGCACATTCATTTCATAATGTTTTTGCGTCAGATTTTGTTTTTCTTCAAGACCACAATAAACATATAGAATACAATATATAATGTTGTGGGTGCAACATTTTCTTGTCTATCATGTCTTAACAAAAGGTAATCAATGCTTGAAAATAAATAAAGTTAATTGACAACAAAACTGGAATGTGATACAAAAGAGGGCAGTATTTATGGTTGAACACTTGTTTACAACTTATGAGGCGATAATTGAATATGTCCATGTCATTTGCAGGAGTTAGTTATTGGTTTATATACAAGTGTGCCAGATATAATAAATCAGTAAGAAGAATGTAAAAGCAGGCCTTGATTTAATCTATATACAGTACAAAATTTAATCGTGGACCATGTGTCAGATTTTTGTGCAGACATCCGGAATGTGCCCTAAATAAGACTCAAGTCCACATAATGAAGGAATTGTTGGTCTGATTTGACTGCAGTCCGGGGCTCAGTCTGTTTGTGTCTTTATGTGTCCAAAACACCGTGTCCCTCCCTCAGGGACCACATACTCACAGCTCTTTGAGTTTGGGCAGGGACTGGATCGCGTTGGGAAAACTCATCAAGTTATTGAAGTTAAGATCTCTGCAACACAAATTAGAGCAAAAGGACGTCACAAAACTGTTGCATGTTTACAATAGAAGTACAATTGCTGCAAGGAAAATCATCTCCTCTCAATGTTTTTACACCGTCTATCGACTAAAAGGTAGATAATAAGCATACATTATTTCATTCACAAGACTAGGGCTGTGTGTATTGGTGGCACAGGCCTTAATCTGTGAGATACAAAATATAAAGTAACATTTCCAATACTTTGCAGAACATTAAACAAGAATAAAGAGTAAGAATATAAAACAAGGTGTATTTTTCCCAACAAGGTGAAGGTGCTAAAGGTGGCAACAGATAAATGTGGCATTCCTGCCCTTTTCAATACAAATTTACATTTTCTGTCATACAGATGTGCTCATAAGTTTACATACCCTAGCCTTATGTTTGCTTTCATGGTCTTTTTTTGAACAAAATAGAAACAGTAGAACATTAGTTTTTTAATCATAATGCCAACATAAACCATCAAAAGCTGAAAGGTGCTGAAGAAAACCATCATTCACGACACGTTTGGACACATTTCTGTCATCCACAAACTGCATTTTCATCTTCATACTCTGCTTTTTTCATTTAATTGTGACCACACAGTATTAGTTGGGCCGTGTTCATGTTGTAGAGTGGTATTTCAGTTGCAGTGCAGGTCAACATCATGCATATATGTTTTTTTAAATTTTGTCAGCACTTTTTCATATCTTTTGGAGCGAATAATAGGAATTGGAAAATTAGAAATGAGCTCAGGCTCTTTGAAATGTTGTGATATCAAATGAACGCCGCCTTATGCACTGATGGATCCTCTACAACAGTGTCTCCCAAAGTGGGGTCCGCGGCCCCCTGGTGGGCCGCGAGGGTACTGCAGGGGGGCCGCGGGAGGTCATAAAAAAATAAAAATAAAAAAAATAATTATTTAATGTTAAATTTATAATGTTTTGTTTGTAATATTAAAATATTTGTGTTCATTATTTGACTTGAATAATCCACTGTAATCATTTTTGTATTACAATGTTTGTAGCAGAGGCTATTTCCCCAAAATAAAATAACCAGAAGAGCCTATTTTTAATGTTGTCTTCTTGGTTATTATTTTGGGGGGGCCACGCAGACCCGTCAGATTTTTAAGGGGGCCTCGGTGTTACTGAGTTTGGGAATGGCTGCTCTACAAGAAAAACTACATAAATATTGCACCTTTGTCTCATTGGGAAAAAACCAAACAGCATCGGACCACATTTTGAGTCTTTCCAGCCGGAGGAAGTGAACAGTGGGAGGGCAGCGCAGATAAGTATTGTGTACTTTTCTCTATTTATCCTAGAGCAATTAAAGGCGGAAGTGGACACAATGATGTCTGGAGGAGAGGAGCAGCGCAGGACGGGGAGCCGTTAATGTACACAAACACGCTGCTATAACAAACATTACTTACAGGGTCTCCAGATTCACCAGACCAGCAAAAGACTTCTCCCCTATTTCCCTAATGCGGTTGTTATGAAGATGTCTGGAAAAAGGAAAGAACATTCAAACTGTCAGATGAATAGAATATAGTAGAGTAAAATGAAGGAACATTTGGTAAAGTTCTTATCTATGGATTCATATTTAATGTTCAGTTAGAAGTTGTACTAGATTAGAAGGGTTTGTACAAATGAGTAGTGGTCACCGGAGTAGAACTTGTAATAAAATCCACGCCACTAGTTCCAGGCTCTAAAATGTATAGAGAGAATGTATTTTTGGCCTCTTTCAAGTGAAAGAGTTCAGATCTCAGCCCAAAGAGTCAAATAATAACTCAGGGGGCCCGTTCTTGCAAATATGCAAAAGATAATATATTTTCCCTTATGATGACGACAGCATGTTGTCGCCCAATTTGTTCACAACATTTTAATTTGACAAGATTAAAAGATTTGAATAATTTATTAAATAATACAAATCAATGACATATAATTCTGTGAGATTTGGAGAATAATGAAGTATGTAATTGTATGAATAGACATTATTTCAATTGAGTTTGTTTGTGTCAAAAATCCAAACCCAAATAAATTTGGAATTGAGACATATTTTCTTCATTGTTCTTCCTTAAAATAGTCAGTCATGTATTGTGAAAAGCATAAGTAATTCCAAAAAAGTAGTGAAACAGTCATTTTCAAACCTAAAGAAAAACATTTGAGCGATGTTCTCAGTTAGAGATCAGGGAGCACACACATATAAGTAGATACTATGTTTCTTTTCTAGCTTCAATATCAATAAATCAACACATCTCTATCTGTCATGTCCTCACAAACAAACAGGAAGGTTGCCCTTAACGAGAGCTATGTGGAGAAATAAAATAGTACAAACAAAGAAAAGCTGCGATTAAGTGCGTTCAGGACAAAAGCCAAGTTCTTCTCAGGCTGTTTCATAAATCAGGTGTGTACTTGAAAAGTGCTCAGTCTAATAGATGTTTCTTCCTGTTTATGCTGATGAGTTTACACAGAGCCTGAAGCACAACCACCTCTTCTGTTTACGTGAGCAGTAGATGCATAAAAAAGATGTCATACGCATTCATTCGTTGCCCACTTGCTCCTCAAAACAGTTTCCCACTAGTTTATACATCCATGTATTTTTGGCCTCTGTCACAGGTTTAGATAAGTCTTTTAGACGGAAAAGTGGAAAAGAGAGGCACCCTCACGCAAGAGGTCAGATAGTGACTTCCAGGGCTCTTTCTTATGCAAGTATGCAAATGATAAAACATGTTTTCTAATGAGATGAAAACAGCGCAATGTGCTCTGCGTTGACTGACACAACTGACCCTTGTCTATCTTTATCTTTTTATGTTAAAGGGGAGATTGAGGAGAGAATCCATTGAACCCCAGTCCTCTAAACAGTGATATGGCATTTTCTTGTATATCCTCTGACCTCCCCGACACAGTCCTTCCTTTAACCCAGACATGCACTTGTGACCCCTGTGTCTGTGCTAAATGTGAGGTTATAAATATCTTAAAGTGGGTTCATGTTTAGAACAGAAATGCCCTTAAATCGCACTAACAAATGCTCTCTGTGATAACACAGCTGTGGTGCAGTTTATGTCGGTTTTAACTGGAGAATTACTTAGTGCTGGATGATTTTGACTCCCACTACTTCTCCCTCAGGTCATTTCTGTAAACAAGAAGTGTTCCAACAGTGTGCCTCTTTAATTAAGCCAGAAGTCTACCAGCAGGTTGGTCCTGCTGAGTTATGACAGAGGCCGACAAGGGCCACTCTCTGAGCTATTGTGGAGGTTGTTCACATTCATTAATCTCATACCGCTAAACTAAAACCTTGTAGTTCAAAATGACCTGGACTTTTAGATTTGCGCATTTATATAGTTTTGAGGTATCATGTATTATTATATTCACTGAAGAAACCGAAAACAACAAATAAGTTCATTACATTTTATTCAGTAGCTTACTATTATGTACATGATTTTAAGGATCAAAAAATGTATATAGTAGTAAGAATAGGAATGAGTGGGAGGTGAAAAATGTATATCTGTATAAAACGCCATTATAACATGGCAAACAGTACACTTAGCATGTCTGACACTGCCTCAAGCTAATACTGTCTTTGGCGTGTGTGTTCATTTGTGTGTTGATGTAAAACCACAAAACAAGTGTCCACTAGTCAGTTTACATTTTTGTAACCAGACTTGGTGCAAATAAAGTGAACCAGACCAACAATTGTTAAGTGACTATGGATGGATCTATTGTCTGTCCAGAGTTTTTGAATTTTCCTTGCTGTTGCTCAGGACAGGGAATTTATGGACAATAGTAAACCCATTATCTTTTGCCCAGTCACACTTACGTATTATTGTTATCATTTGAGTTCCAACTGTTTGATAATAGAATAGCAGAATTTAAGAAATTGATTGAAAAAGATTATTCTTCTCGTGCTAATCAGACTCTACACTGTAGTTACTGTTGCAGATTAAGTGTAGCACAAAAGTCACACGCTGTTTATAACTGCTAATCAGTACAAAACACACGCAAACTCCCTCATGGCATTGAAAAAGAATAACATCTCATTCACAGTGACTGATACGGACATTGGAAAGATAAAAAATTGAACTGCAGGGATGGAGCGCATGACTTTGTATTAAAACTCATATCGAAACAAATGACTCCTCTGCACAAATCTAAAATAAACATGTCAGAACAAAATTAATGAAACACCAGAAGGCAGAACACCCTGTTATTATTTGTGTTATCAGTAGAAAGAGTAAATATGTATTTACATATTTATTAGAGCTGTCCAATCCAGATTAAACGTAAGAATTAGCTATTAATTTATTAATTTGCAATTTATAACAAATTTGTATCTATTCTATTGTCATACAATTCAATGCTGTCAATAAACAGATGTATAACATTTATAATTGGTTACAAAAAATCCCCTTCAACTTCCCTTTCAAAGAAGTGCCCAAGATTGTTCTTAGTTGCACTATCCATGTGTCGTGACAAGAATGTGGCGGAGGAGGAGAGTTCGCATCAGCAGTGTTTCACGTGGTATTTCAAAGTGGATGTGCTACGGTGATAACTACTTCTCACTGACATTAAAGGAACAATATGTAAAAATCTGGCCAAAAGTGGTACTGCAGTCTAGGGGTGGGAACCTAAGGGTACCTCACGATACGATACGATACACGATACAAAGCTCACAATAACGATATTATCACGATAACGATATTATCACGATAACGATATTATCACGATAACGATTTTATCACGATATGAGGATTATCGATATATTGGTCAGAAATATACAATATGCCAATTTATGGCATGAATAAAAGAAAAAATACACTTTATTTCATGATAAATGGAATGGAGATGCGTAATGTAGCCATATATTAAGTATTGATACCAATTTTTTTTTTTTTTCAAAAAAAGATACTTGGCAAATGCATATCGATAATTGAATTGCGGGAGAAAGTATTGTCACACCCCTACTGCAGTCACAGTCAATATTTTGTAGTCCTCTCCCACTCTCCCTGACTCAGGTTGCCAGATTCACACCAAATCCAGCAGCAAACACAGGGAATTATTTTATCAGTTGTTTGTCTGTCTCTAGTCACATTGACATGAGGCATGCTAATGTTGAATGAATGTTTTTTTTTTGGACATTTGAGATAAAAAACACAAAACAAAATAAATTATAGATTATGCAAAATAAGCAATTGATGTCCAAAATAGCAGTGGGAAGAATGGATGTTGGAACGTATTTCTTCAGCGTATCAACATCAGGGTTTGCTCCAGAGGATATCACCTTTCAATTTTATTTATTCCCTATTTTTTAGACAAACATGTAAAAGTCCCACATCAAAAAGAGACTAACATTATTTTAATTGGGGTACATGTGGTCTTAAATGATTCTTTTTACAATTAAGCTATAATCTGCAAAAAAAACGTCTTGACCTTCGTCTTTTACCGTTTTTAGAGCAATCTGTCATAGAATGTGATAACATGCAATTAAATACAAAAGGTACACTGTTCAGGTTCGAACCCACGTTGCTGTATCGTGAGCGCACAGGCTTAACCTCTGGACCACCGATTCACGCGACAAAGATAATGAAGAACGGAATCAAATCCAGCAAATTTAGCATCACACGTAAACTTTTATCAGCTGTCTCAATTGTTCAAAGGCGTCCCGATATAAATCCTCGTTTTAGTCTTTGTTTTGTCATTAATTATTTGAGAGTCATAACAAAACCCTTTTATAGTTCTGCGCCACATGTTATTTTACCTCTGAGATTAGTGAGCCGCGCGGAGTTCTGGCAACCCGATCACGGACTTACATGACACTTCCTGATCAGCGAAACGGCGGAGGGTAGGACATCAAAATCAAAACAATAACAACTTTTACGGGCCGTAAAACTAATTTTGATAATCAAATATCTCGGCTGAACTACTGTTATCAGTTAAAGATGTATTCGAAAAAGAGCATGATTTAATAACGGCTTTTGAAATATGGGGGCCATTTAATGATGACTTGACATGCAAATATTACATACTGCTGCTTTAAGGTGCCGCATAGCAGTAGGTCACAGAAAAACAAAATTACAACAATAAACACTATAAACGACAAAAACTGAAGTGAAAAGATAGTCTGAGAGCAAAAGATTTCTGTTGCGTGTGCTTGTGCGTTTGTGTGGTTAGAGGGTTTTTTTGTTTAGTGCAGTGAGCGCTGTGACAAAATCCGGACATTGCCGCTGGCTCCTGGTGCAGGCTCGGTGATAGTACTGATAATAGTCCGCTTTTCTGTGGCTTTTTTGGCACACATGAACACCATTTTTGTAGTAATGCAGTGACAGGGCCTCCCAACTTGATTTGTAAAAGCATTACAATACATTAGGACTGAAGTCTGAGCGATTTTCCTGCCATACTTGACAAGGGCTTGGTTACCCAAATAAACTAGTAAGTAGCAAAAATCCACTATTATTTGAGGCGGCAGGTCTCTGGTCATGTCTATTCCTATTAGAAAACACATGATAACTTGACTACTTTTGGGGTTAAGAGACATTTCCCCTCAGTATTAAAAATTGCGTCAGGTGTACAGAAGGGGGTGTCCAGAGTAGCTGTATCTGGAACAGTCTTCCTGAAGATGTGACACAGCCTTCTACTCTGAATATGTTTAAATTCAGTTTGAAAACAGTTCTGTTTAGCTGTGATTATTTATGATTTTTTCTGTTAAGTACTTTTAGCTGTTATATGAACTCTGCTATACAAATAAAGGTGCTACTATTCGCCCAGACTGTCCGTAAACCACATTTCATGACATCCTTCTTTGCTATAAAAAAAAAAAATCATGTTTGTTTAAATCAATAACCCTTTTGTATGTAATTGCGTGTCAATGCCAATTATGTAGTTGTTATGTGGTAATGTCACAATTATTATGTTGAATAAACATGTCAAAATGTGTAAATGTTTTTAAATTATGTCTTTGTCTCTTAATGAAGCGTTGGTAAGCACTCTGCCTCTGCATGTCCTGTTTGTTTGCTGTGACAGTCTGTACAGGCCCTGTCCCAATGCACTGTGAGAACTGTCAAATGAATGAATACATTAAATTAAGGCAAAATGATGATTAGGAAATAGTGATCTAATATTGTGCTTGTATTATATGTAGCGGATTGAAAATGCACTAAAACTCACCTTCCTATTGGATTACTTCGTATTGTAAATTGGGGCGTAAGCTTTTGGGGCTTGTTTTATAACTCATTTGATGAATGAACAAAAGCAGTATTTTTTTGTATATTATATTTCAGCCGTATTTTACTCGAATTATTCTAGGCTGTATTCTATATCAAAGAATCCTTTGTTTTCAGAGAGGAAAGTTATATTTGGAAGCTCATATTTTGCAAACTCAGAAAATTAGAATATTGCTCCTTTATTTCTGTAATTGCACATACATTGTGAAACCAATATATGATATAGACTCACTGCATGCAAAATAAACATATGCCAAGGGTTAGGGTTATGAGTTTGTTATAATGTTGATGATTATGGCATATAGGCCATTTTCAAAATAATCACATTTTCTGAGATGTTTTTTTGCGGTTTTTACAAGCCTTAAGCCAATTATCAACATTAGAACAAATAAATGATTGATCTATCAAGTGATGGGGAGAGCATGTGGGTGACATTACAGCTGATTCACATGGGGGTGTCTCTCCCTGTGGGCTCTGGGTCTGTGGAGCTTCTCTCTGACAGCAACACGGAGCAGAAGGCCTGCTGCTGAGGGCCTCTCACTCTCCACCACGTGTCCTTCATTGAACGAAAACCAACCATTGGACCAAAGGTAAAGAAGGATTTTTTGACTGATGCAAAAAATGGCCCTAATTAACAACTGCTTGTTGCGTTTTGGATTCAATGTTTTTAATTTAAAAAAATGCATAGTTATTTTCTTTGGGAATCTCGGTCTAAAATGAGGTATAACTTGCCAGGGTAGCTTGCAATTTAATAGCAATAACAATATAACAATAATAGCCTAGTCTATGACTTCTTGTTACTTACATGGCAATAAAAATATTCTGGTTCTGATGATTGTGAATTGAGAATCATTAGGAGAGCCACTAAAAATGTCCAGGTTCTACTTTTAGTTATTTATTTCTCCTGGTTATATGTTGTACTTGGCCACAATACCAACATTTAAAGCCAGAACTTAAAGGTAAGCCCAGTTCTCCTCGCGCACGCTCTGTTTAAAAGTCACGATTGGCATCTCTCACTCAAAATCACGTTCCAAGAAGATTTGCACTTTTTCCCACTATGTCAGACATTATAGACAGAGATCACTTTTACTGGAAGTGATTTAAAATGGATTTCTCCAAATAGAATCCCAAACTTTACCTGCCGAGTATAGAAACTTTGTGTGAAAGAATCTTCCATAAACACATGTACGACGGCCTTACGTCACATATCACCAGAATGATTGACAATTAGGAGGACCAATTATCTTGATGATCAACCCGGAAAAACAAAAGCCTCTAACGACGCATCAAACTACTGCATATTTGTAAATGTCACAAGTGATTAAGAGTGGATGCTATTCATAGAGAAATCAAGTTAACCCATACTGACAGCCATAAGTCAACCCCTCATTCCATCAAAACCATTTAATAAACACAGATGAGACTCACAGCACAACGAGACTGGTCAGGTTGGCAAAGGCGTTGTCTGGAATGTACGAGATGCGGTTGAGCGCCAGAGTCAGCGCCTGTAGATTGGTCTGGAGTGTGAGCGAGCCCACCGGGACCTCCCTCAGGTTGTTGTCGTCCAGCCAGAGGTGGCGGAGCTGCTGCAGGCCTTCGAAGCTCACGTCCGGGACACTGGTGATGTGGTTGGCATCCAGACGCCTGTGAAGGAGGAGAAACATGAATTGGTAGAAAGATGAATGCAAGTTTATACTCATTCACATTTGAGAAAGAATAATTATGACCAGTTTAATTTTGCCTATGACTGATATTCTGAGGTCACACTATTCAAATAGGGAACATAAGAAGGGAAATGATTACATTACAAATACAAGAAAACATGAATTACAGATAGTAGAATAGAAATAGTATTCCTAGTATCAGATATTTTCAAAGTCTGAGTGTCTTTGAGTTTTTTGTCTGCTTTTTCTTTCAATCAATCGCTTTGTTGTTTGATAAAAAAAAGACATAGATTATGGGATTTTGTATAAATTTGACCAAAACAAAGCTCAAAGGATGTCCCTGGAGAACAAGTGCATAGAGATGACGTGCTACACAATGGGTTGTTGATTAAAAATACTTTGTAAACACATATTCATCTCCGCAGTTATTACAGAATTATCTGCGCCATGAATCCTCTTTTCAGCATGTTTGAGTGAATGTACGGTTCAAAAAAATGACAAATTCATATGACACCTATTTCAAATAAACATCTTGGTTGATGAATCAAACGGCCCCATTCAGCTCAGAGGACACATTATTATCATCATAAGATAAGATAAGATACTACTTTATTCCTCTCACAGTGGAGAAGTCTCAGTGTCATCGTTGCGCACATTACAGCAGAGAAAGAAGGAAATAAAAGCACTCAGACAGAACACATCAAATATTCAATCATTTAAGGATAATAGAAAATATAATTAAAAATAAGATAAAGAATAAAATGAAATAAACCCTGGAGCTATAATTACACAGGTTCAGAAGTATTTACAGATGTGTATATTGTTCTTAAGCAGCGGAAAATATGAGCAGAATAAACATCAGTAATAATATCAACAGGTAAAAGTCACTAGTGAATGACAGAAGTATCAGATGGATATGTAGTAATGCAGTAATAAAATAAATCAGTTATATTTATATCATTGCACGTTAACCTCTGGTGCCAAAGTCGCAGAAATAAATGAACTCCGGGTCCAGGACATTTTCTATACAGCAACTAGACTTCACATAAACGTTTACCTACATTTTTGTAAATATTTTTGTTTGTTTCTGTTTTTTTTCATTTCAGCGCTGTATTTCTAATTGCCAGGGCGTCACCTTTTGTCGGTTTTACTTTCATATCAAAAACCCCCGGACCTAAAGTGTTCAATGATGTGTCAGAAAACAGCTGAATTATTAACATGCCACAAAAGCTGGAAATAATTTGTTGTCCTCAATTCAATTCAATGTATTTTTGTATAACCCTAAATCACAACAGCAGTTGTCGCGAAGGACTACAAAGTTGTCAATTCGCCAGCACAGATTAGAGAATTATGTATCCACAATTACGAGAAAAGTCACTTGTGATTCTCAACAGGACAATTGTTCACATAGTTGGCAAATTTCCAGTGGAGCGTAATATGTGTAATTATAATGAGACATCACTTGTGTTTGTCTACTCAGAACTCATGTTATCTTTTGCATACGTGGAACTCGTTAAATGGATTTAATTACATTTTATTATTCATCTTTATTTCAGACTCAAGATAAAATTGGTCCATACAAAAAAGGACAATATTTCATGGAAAGTATTGCAGCTTTTAAGAATAGCCTTGGGTATTTGTTCACCAAATAAAAAGGTAGATAGATAGATAGATAGATACTTTATCGATCCCCCGTAGGAGAAATCCAGGTGTCTAGTGTCTATTAAAATGCTACAGCAGTGTAGGTCACAGCAGCAGAGGTGATGCAGCTGCTTAGTTAGGACCATTTTCTCTGCTCTGAATGTTTTTTTTTTTTAGCATTTTTCAAAAAAATAGCGTTCCTCCAGTGGATCTGTGATTGGTTCAGCCCGTGGATGCTCTCTGCTCTGCTCTGGATCACTGTACTGCAGTAACATTTACAGGTAGAAAAAAAATTAGAAAAATAGCTATTTCAAAGCACAAAACTGTTTCAGGGCTAATTAGGACTTGCTGCCGTTTCCAGCGCATTCAAAAGTAAATAGACTAATTAAAGACATCATTTGAGAATTCAGTCATAATTTACTAAAGGTTTAGTGCAATGAGTTTCATTGTGCTCAGAAAAAAATGTATGTGTATCCGTTATTACACTCCCATCTGAAAAAAGCCACTGTGTGACTTCTAAAAGTAACATTATGTTTTTGAACACATAGTTTCAGTATTCACCATCAGTGTAGTATTAGTTCAAGTTCCCCTTCTCACACTCCCTGAAAATTCCTCAAGTGTATGGGCAGGAAGAAAACACTTTTGATTGACAAAAAGCCTTCACTTTTCAGAAGAACTCTACATGAGCCATCTGCTGAGGACCACTTTCTGACCACTCACATTTTCAGTAGCAGAAATGATCATAAAGATTCATATATTTCACTCCTGAAGACAAATCTTAAAACACTGTCTTTCATGTTGCATAAGCTTCTCCTGAGCTTAGTTCCAGCTGTAACAGCTGTTACATTATATATAAACTTACAAAAACACATGAAATAAAAAAAAAAGTTATTTGAAGTAAAAAGTGAATGTCCCTTGCTATTGTTTAGTTTATTTTACTATACATGGAGATGTTTGTACCAATTAAATTGTGACGTGTTTGCCAATAATTGATCTACCTCAATGTCAATCATGCGTCTCCTTTTCCCATGCAAGCATCTCATGCATGTTTTTTATAAATAGGTGGAACATTCCGCAAAAAGCTCCTACTGAAGGAACGTTAAAGTTGAAGTCAGATTACTCACAAGGACTGGAGAGAGTTGAGGTTCTTTAGCGCAGCACTCGGGACGGTCATCAGCTGGTTGTTCTGAAGCATCCTTCAAGAGGAAGACAAGAGTATTTACTCACATTAATGATGCATTTACATATACAACACAACAGTATATTAACAACATTATGTTTTCTTTCAATACTTAAGTGGAAAAACCGACATTTGTTATTTGTGTGACAGACAGTAGATAACTTGTGTGTTATAACGTGTGTTCTGAGTGTTACATGGATGAGCAATTCTACTGCTTCCTTCATCCAAACAAAACCACACAACCACGCAACTGCTCCATCTAAACGGGGCCAAAGAGCACGGATTTTGGCATCTCACATAAACTCTCCTGGTAACTAACATTTTAGCAGCTGCTATGACAAACAAATATTATTTCACCTAAGCTAACTTGATACAATACACATGCTCCATGACTCTGGTACAAAGTATCACCATTTGCAAAAGTAAGCAGAAAGACGTCATCCTGAAAACAATGAATTCCTTGTATCTGGACCTGCTTGTTCCAGCCTCTCTTATCATCACATACTTTTGCATTTGTGCTCAGTGGTGTAGATACATTTGAGTAAAGAAACTAAAAATACAGGCCAACAGCAATGTTATCTCAAGGTAGAGTCAACGTCTGCACTGTGGTTTAATGCAGACATTGCTCACATGAAATATGTGATGCCAGATCAACAACAGTGGCGACAGTGGCTCAGTTGGTAGAGCATTGGCCTTTAAGCCTTTTAAGGTTGTGCGTTCGAGCCCACCACAAGACTTTCTCCACCGATACCCACTGATGTCTACTATCATTGTGTCCTTGGGCAAGACACTTAACCCTACTTTGCCTATTTGTGGCCATACTGGCATGCAAAAAGTCAGATCCCATCAGACCTCTGAAGCTGGCTAGCACTGTGATGGGAGACTTCTGGGAACACCAGGTGCCACAGTGGGGCGGCTGCGGTGTAATATTTAAATATAATCTTTTTTAACCCTTTGGAGTAGTAACACAAGGCTGGGCTCTTTATGAAGCAGAGGCCCTGCAGTTTTGGCCTCTGAAATATTTATTAACTTAACTTGAACTAATATAGACTCTTCAAAATGTTGCCAGTGGAAAAAGCATAAATTCCTATAATCATAAATATAATAGATAATTTTTTACTAAAAATATGAAAAAGACAAGCAATATTGCACTTGCAATGGGTATTACTTAAAACAACTTAAATGGGGGCGACAGTAGCTCAGTTGGTAGAGCAGTGGCCTTTGAGCCTGGAGGTCGTGAGTTCAATTCCCACCATGGGACCTACTCCAACTGCTCCCACTGATGTCTACTGTCGTTGTGTCCTTGGGCAAGACACTTAACCCCACGTTGCCTGAAGCCCCCGCTGAAAGACCAAGGCTGTTTCACCACTGACAGAGCAGCCATCTTCCTGTGGACTCACCACCTGCAGAGGATCAGCGAGGGACTGGTGCTATGAGCATTGGGTGGCAGCTCTCATTGCCACCCCCCTGACCCAGAAATGGACAATAAAGGGCTTGAAAATGAATGAATGAATGAATGAATGAATGCTTGTGGATAAAGTTGAGCAGTAGTGTACTGACAGGCCCAAGTGTGTGCAGTGTAAGGCTAATATTTGCTCTGTGATGTGAGTGGAAACTTCACAGTGCTGGGTAAGTGAAGCTCTTTGTGCAGCTGAAGGAGGAGACTCACAGGACTTTGAGGTGTTGGAGTCCAGACAGCGCTTCCGGGTGGATGAATGACAAGTCGTTTCCCGCCAACCGCCTAGAAGAAAAACATATCACACATATACATAACATATACACATTAGGTATATTTGTGTACGTGCAGTTACAACCACTTTACCTCTGAATTCCACTTCACAAACATGTCCAAAAAGAACCGTTTAATCACTAACTACATGCATCAGTTTGTAGCCACAGCTGCCCTGGAGTAGACAGAAGGAAACTAATCTGTGCCATTGGTCCCACCAATCATTCACACACACCTGACTAATACGAAGCGAAGTGTCTTGCCTAAGGATGCAGCAACAGTTTGACAGGCGCATTCACCCCACTGTGGCATCCAGTGTTTCCAGAAGTCTCCCATCACAGTACTAACCAAGATATACCATGCTTAGTTTCCGATAGATATTGCAGTATCTTTAGCTTTGTATATTACTTGTTGTTTACATAACCTGTATCCTGTTTAGACCAACACTTCTATTTACATGCACAAAGCGCTTCACCCGTCCAGAGTTTGTAGAACCTCTCAATAGATTTACTCTTTTCATTTACTCGAACCCATTATGTATGAATGACTTCATCAATTCCGCAACCAGTCCGAGCGCTCGTGCTGTCTCAGATGAAGGAGCTGTGTGGGGAAAACGGTAATAGAAATCTGCAACTGAGACTCAAAAGAGCGCACAAGTACACACAGTTTATAACTGTGATGGGTTCTTGGTCGGAATAGGAGTTTTTTCCAGAAGAAAAACAGTGGGAAATGTACAAAAACGTATTTATAGTTTTACGGCATCTCAGAGTTCATTTAACTGCATGTAAGATGGAGCTCCATTGTCTCCAGTAAGCACCAACTGTGATTTTTTTCTGACTACTAGCTCACATTATTTAGATATTTTTTATTTATAATATTTTGAGTTTATTCTTAAAATATTTCAAATTTATTCAACTAATTTTACAAGATTAATTTAATAATGTTACGATATTATTCTAATCATTTTACGAGATGAAACTAATTTTTAATTATCTCAGTATTATAACGTAAATCTCATAGTGTGTGAAAGAAAAATCGGGTGAACCCTCTGCTCCATCATGCTAATAACAATGAATTTTGTTTAAAAATGAGGGGATTTAAAATATAATTGTGCCCTTTAAGAATAACTTGTGTTTCTTCCCACCAGAGCAGACCAAGGGTGTGAAAGACATGTGTGTTTGCCACGGCCTGTTGTCACATCGTCTGTCACCTCCTGCAGATTAGACTGGTCCTGGATATCCCCCCGCTCCTATCGCCTTCTGACCTTCTCACACTCACTATTCACAGATCCCAGGGGCCACATAAACCATGAGCCTGTAGCAGATATCATTTTAATAATGTTTTTTAATACCGACATTGCATCTACTCAGTCAGCACAGTGGATGTTTAGAGATGTTGCCCCCCGCCCTTTCCTGCGGAGGAAGTGCATAGGAAACAAGGCTGTAAATAAGGAGCAGGGCACATATCCCCCAGTATATTATCTGGCTGGGAAGATTAGCAGCAGATTTATCACTCTGCAACTTGAGTCCAAGCTGAATTCCCTGCAACGAGAGCACTTGGGTGTGAACCAGAACCCTCCAGTCCTGGTTCACACCCGGCAGCATTTGGAGTCCAGATGCCCCTCAAGCTGATAGCAGGGGGGTTCAGCAGGTATAAAGCAAAACAATTATTTTTTTGTAAATTGCAAGTTGTAATAAGAAATAAGAAAAAGTGGCGGCCAGTCTGCTCCCACTGTTCTCAATCATTCACTCTTGCGGGGAAAATGAGATGTCAAAACAATAATATTTAATAAAAATACAAGCGATTCAACAATACTCATCTCATTCATATTGATTATGACTATATCCAGTCAGTAAACTATTATAAAGTCCTATATTTTCTAATTTTAGCATATAATAGTGGTCCTGATGCTAAAATTACCTGATTCCAACTAAGACATGAAGGAGATTTGATACTCGATACTATGGGATAATCAACAAAAAAGGACAATTATCTGCCACTTTTTATATAAATAACAAGAAAATGTAGTACCACAATGTTTAATTCTGGTTCTGATATAGATCAAAGTCCTTCAAACACTGCTCAGAGAATCTCACCTTTTGTCCTGTTTATGTGTGTTTTTCAGTAAGAATAAACTATACAGTGTTGACATATGGATACTATACATTCAAATACAAATGCTTATGTATGTTTGCCAAGAAGTTCTTGCATAAAAAGCAGTGACACACCTATGAAAACTGTGTGTTATGTCTTACGTATATGTCTATCCGATGTTATCATTATCTGTCAAGGCAACCGCATTTGACTAACCTGTTTTATGTCGTTAAATGCCTGTTTCAGCTGCATTTGCATCTTATTTCACATTGCAAGACATTCAAAACACACCATAATAAAGTAGACAGAACGTGTGATTGTTGTTGTAAGCGTGAGGCCTCTTTGGCAGACTTTCTTGTCACGACGAAAAGGCATAAATCAAACTATCGAGTCCAGAGAGTGACATAGATTTTGCCTGGAGCTGTTGAATCGTGTTTGCTTCTCGGCAGCCAATAACGTCGCAGTGTTGATATGACCTCAGAGTTTGGGAACTTAAATAACCCACACACCAGAGCCACTGTCACACGCTACCAATGATGCAGCCGTGTTACCAAACCACAATTCAATATGTAAAGTTTAAGTATTTGCACAAGGCTGAAATTTACGTATTTTGTGATTGGAGTGGACAATGTGGCGGCTGTAGTGACTGGGGGGAGGGCTGTGTAACAAATCTTATCTTAATCGAGTCATGATTCTGTCATTTCAATAAATGAAAAAAGCTGGGGGGATTTTTGTTGTTGAGAGAACCACAACTAATACTGTCAAGAGTTTATAGCTTTTGAAAAATTGACTGTTTTTGCATGAAGTCATGAAATTGGGTTGAGTGCCACTTTGACAATAAATTATTAATTCAAGTTAGTTTTGTATTTCCTAATTCCAAATCAGAAATATTATATTTTGTTATTTATATAGTTTATCGACAACAAATCTGATACAAATACTGCTTTAGCATCTGTAACACAGATTGCATAATAAGAGTGGACTGACCGAGCGCAACAGGCAAGTTACCAAGCGCCAATCTTGCGAGCTAAGACCAAATATGGCGACAGAAAGCTTCCGATTAGTCAGTTGTTAGTTGTTACTTTCAATGTAAATCAATAGGAGCCAGAGCGAGTCGGACTATAACTTTGGCCATGAGCTCTTTCCTATTAGGCTTCTTTAAGGTACGGATTAGCAATGTCCATCTATATACAGTACACTTTTAATTGCAGAGTCATAGTGCAGGGTTTAATGTTATTTTTGTATTTTAGATCCACATCACTTTTAAATAAGATTTAGATGAAAAACTAGTAATATTAGCAATGCTTCTATTTACATCATGTAAGAGAGGCTGTGATTGAAATCAAGACTGGTCCTGTAAGTTTCCCAACATAAAGATCCTCTCACCTCTTCCATCTATCAGCACTTTTGGGACGTGTCGCCTCAGGGAACAACAGGGTCCAAGAATGTGCTAAAAGTCTCAGTGCAACTCCCACACACAATCAGTGCTGACTGACAACTATATGTGCTTAATTATAACTATTTCACTGAAAAAGATAAATCACTACATGGGAAACTGTGGCTGATGAAGGACACAGCACTTCAGGTTCAGGCTAAAGTTGGTTGTAAACAAATTAAAGTTACTCTGCTTAGTCTGTTTTGTGTAGCAAAAATTGCAACAACACTCCTCTGTCCTCTCTGTGGTTTTAAGAGATATCAACAAAAACATCTGTAAGTTAGCATAATGTTAGCATATACTGCTAGCATAAAATCAGGTAAAGGTGCACTTTATTAATCCCCGTAGGACAATTTGTCCTCTGCATTTGACCCATCCTGATGCCGCAAAGGCAGCCGTCAGGAGCAGTGGTCTCCGTAGTAACAGCGCCCTGGAACCCATCTCCAGATGTTGATGCTCGGCCTGGTCAGGACAGGAGCTGGAGAATTTAACCTAGTGAGCATGTTTTTAGTGGTAGGGGAAACCGGAACACCTGGAGGAAACCTACGCAGGCACGGGGAGAACATGCAAATTCCACTCAGAAACACACGGTTTCAACAGGGACTCGAACCCAGGACCTTCTTGCTGAGAAGCGAGAGTGCTATCCACTCAGACAGAAAAGCGAAAACATGTGTGGACAATTCTTATGGAGCCGAAAGCATTCTATTGTACGTTACATTATGTTACAAACTAGGAATTTGCTAAGTATAAAGTGACAGAAGAGAGCTAATTCTAAAATGTTAATGCTAATTAGAAGATGTCAGGTTATGGTCTGAATCCTTACAAATGTTGTTCACAAACTGTTGTTACAAAAACATGAAACATGTTTATAGCCAGGGGTGCACATAAGTGGTACGCAGGTACGCATGCGTGACAAATATCACTTGAGTTAGAAAGCGCTTTTGCGTACTTCACATACACCATAGACCAGTCCTTCTCAAATATTGGGGAGCGGTGCAATAACATCCTCCGTTCTGACCCCGAGAGAAACTGTGGCCGCTCTGACAGCTCAGCGAACACGTGTGGTCATGTACCGAGCGCGGACCATAGACGCGCGCACAGAACCATACACACGTGCGCGTTACGTGCACATTGCACGTGCGGGTCTTGCCTGTCTCCCCCGTCCTCCCCCATGCCTCTCCCACGTCTCCCCCAAGTCCCCACACGAGGCGCACCCGAAACTCACTGAATTAAAGCTCAGGTACCCAAATTTTCGCTTGCATTGAAAATGCATGTTGTTTGTGAACCAAAGTAAAATGTGACCAAATCAAACAGGACAAACCAAAACAGTCTTGTTTATTTTATTTTACTTACTTAAGAAAGAGCCTTGTGAGTCATTATTTGACTTTTTGGGCAGAGAGTGGTTTTTTTTCTCTTCTTTTTGACTTATTGTATTGAGATAGATGTGTTAGTCCCACTTTAATATTGGTTGTTTTATTACCTTTCCTGTGTGGAAGTTATCTGCTACAGAGGCCGAGATATCAATCATTCTGTAGACGTTGAATTTCAGCATTAAAAAGAAGCAAGTATAAAATCTCGATTAAGAACCGCGCGACAAATGAGTACCAAACACCATGTCCTGGTACTCATCTGAGTACCTCACTGAAAAAGTTATGTGCACTACTGTTTATAGCCTAGATAATTATATACAACATTCAGACCCATCCTTAGCATTTCTCAATTATGTTGGACTAAAAGTCATGGAAAATAATGTGCCATATTAAAGATGAGTTATTTCCAGTGTACTATATATAAATGACTACAAAACCAAACAGTCACTACAAAGCCATAACCCACATGTCACGCATTCAGTCGAGTGATTTATTGGTCACAGGTAAATTTACAGAATATCAACAAACTGCGGAGGAGCTGTCATCACGTCTGCAGAGCTTTGTTGTGCCTTTGGCTGGGATCACTGAGGCCAGAGGGGAGTTGCGTGACTAGAAGGAGGTGATATAATTCCTGCCTGTGTTGTGTCTTATAAGAAAAACGTCCACTCACTCTTTGCCTGATCTGTCTCTGTCTCTTCACGCTATGCCCCCAGGCCTCGTACTCCAGTTCACTCACTTTGCTGCAGCCCTTGAGCAAAAAATCTAATCTCTGAAAGTTCACAAAGATAATCTCGGGAAAAGGAGAATGAAGATCAGAAGTTGCCTGTCAATCTTTAGGGTTCTGGAAAAAATGCCGGTGACAGTTTTGTGATTATTGAGATCGAAAGGCAGCAATGCACCTTCAGACAACCATCAATTTTGTTTTGACTTTTGTGCATGTCTGTTGCATGTGTTTATTTTTCTGCCAATTTTGGTTAACTACTAATTATGACTTGGGTTTGTATTGCTGCAAATACTAAACATAACATTCTCATATAAGTATATATCAAGTTGTATTGAAAATCAAGATTGATAAATGTGAGGGAAACACCCTAATAGCCCTAATATTCACACAGATTATTTTAAAAATTATTATTAAAATGTGTTATGCCATTCAGTTTTATAATCATATACAAATAATAATAACAATATAATAATTTATAAATCATATAATATTTTTTTGATAAACAGACTAGACAAGTAGAGAGGCAGAGATGCTGAATACCGCATCTTGTTTGGGAAGTTGTAGCAGCTAAAAGCAAAACAAAAATGGCGTGGTTATGTTTGCCCTTGATCCATGCATTGGACACGGTCACTCTAAAAACCTGGGACGAACTGGGTGGGATTGGTCTTTTTGCCTTGTTGCCACAGTAACCATTGTTTTGCCCTCCTTCCTTCCTGCGCTGCATTCCTCTGCACAATGCGCTGAAAAGCAAATTGCCGTTGGGACAAAGCAGATGGGAGTTGTGCATGGACAAGAAGAGGGGGAAGACTCTGAAGCTAAAAGATGCACAGGGGCTTTGAAAAAACATGGTCACAAAGGGCTGCTGGTCATTCACTGAGCTGTGTTACCTGAGATCAGGTAGACTGATTTTATCAAACCCTCTGCACCAGACAGCACAGCATTTAAAGAGCGGAGAAATAACAACCACACAGCGAGATTAGACGGGTACCGCTCTCCAAGGCCCCACAGAGAAGTTTCCACCCTTAATCCCTTAAAAGCACAACTCAGGATGTCACATGACGCAACGCACATTGTCTCACCTTTTTATAGAGATTAAGTGTGCCTTTATAACCACCAAAGTTCATGAATGGTGAGTGACTGTTGCCAGTCGCGGCTCACAGTGAGGAAGGGCATCCGCTGCGTGTCACATATATGTTGTTTTAGGACTAACCCAAGCCGCCAGGTGCATATCTCACACAGCTACAGTGCTTATCTATGGGACAAAGTAAATACATCATCAACCAGGAGGCAAGTACTCACAGTTCCTCCAGATACGGCAGGTTCTTGAATACGAAGGCGGGCAGCTCAGTGATGTTGTTCATGCTCAAGTCTCTGTGGAAAGAAGCCGTTTTTATCAGAACAGCATGGAAATGACATTGTAGAATATCTATTACTAACAGCTGATCTTTGAATGGTTATGAACTGTTTTCCCGTCCACATGCATGCATTTTTGGTTCTAACTCAGACAATCAGCTGAAAGGTGTTTTCTAATAAGATGAAGACAGAATGTTGGGGTCTGATTAATTCTCAAAACTCTTTCCGTTGGGATAAACAAATGCATTTATGAAACCTAAAAAATTACACAATTGCATTCATGTAGTATATAATTGTTCTTATTGACAAAGCCATCCATCAAGGCACTAAGCTTGATGTAAGAAATAATGGTAGTTAAGGAGCAGCAAAAAATGTTTTGTCAAAGAAATTTAATAATTGTCAAAGGCTTACGGGATGTAAATATCCAATCCATATTGCAATAGATACATATCAATCATTTCCTTATTGGGCAGATTACATTGCCCATAGTTACTATGTATAAAACAGTATCACACATGAAAAAACATTGATTTGATACTGTCTTGAGGTTGTTATTTTGACTCTAACTACAAGTTATCAAAAATCACATCGCAATCACAATGTTGGCCAGAATCACAATTAGATATTTCCCCAAAATCGTGCAGCCCTAAGTGGGACTGGACTCTGTACTTAAGCTCTGATGTACGAAGAGGCCAGTGCTTGTGTCGCTTCATAACAGACATGATGATTGTGCCTGCATAACTGTAACCTCAACAAAAAGACATCTCAAAGGCCTTGTTTAGCCCAAGGGATCTTCATTTTTCAACTCCAAGTGAAGATAGGCGTGTAGCAGCATGAAAAATATGCACACAGGACTTGATCTGCTTCCCCACCACAGTTAATAGGAGTGTACACTTTATAGTCTGGTTCAACTTATCAAACTCAAATAACATTGAACCTTTGCCTTGAACAAAAGTGAAAATCAAACAACATAAATATGGCTTTGGGAAAACTACCTCTAAAGACTGGAGTCAAGGCAAGTTCAAATCATTATTTTCATCTATATTTTATCTGATCTGCCAAACATGTTGCTGGATTTGAGATTTTAAAGTACAGTGGTTTTTGATTTAGATGAGGACAGACTTGACAGGGAAAAGCAGATTCATTATGTCCCGTAGGAAATTTGTCTTGGACTCACAGGCTGCTACATTGAAAATACACAGATATAAACCATCACGCTCTGCTCGATGGCCTGCATTCAGGAGTTTCACAGATATGGGTAGGAACGAGTCCTTATATCGGTTTAGATATATTTTCTTATTAGAGATTTCAGCAACAGACTGAACAGAAAATGGCAACATAAAGAGTTATGTGTTTCTTTTTCAGGGGAGTTTGAGAGAACGGGGGCTTGTACATGGTTTAGTGATAGGGAAATTGGAGCGCCTGGAGGAAAACTAAGCAAACACCGGGAGAACATGCAAATGCCACTCAGTAAGGCGCTGTCCAGAGGTGAAATCGAATCCAGGACCTTCTTGCTGAGAAGAAGTGAGCGTGCTAACCACTCAGCCCATGAATATGTTACGTGCGCCTTGTGTGCTCGTACCAGTGTCCTGTATGTGCACTGCAACACCAACAATTTCCCACTGTGGGACCAATAAAGATCCTCTAATACTAATGTGACTTCCAAGTCTGTGACTTCCTGTTACCTACTGTACGCGGCAATAAAAATGATTCTGATTCTGATAAGCACCTAAGTATAGTATTGCCTGTCAGGTTATACTACGAAGGCAACGTAAGCATTGTTGACTAAACCTTTCTACAACATTTGAATTTTCAGTCCTAAGAAGTTACTTTGTGCATTTGAATATGAACAGGGGCCATGGTTTTTAAAGTTAAAAACATAACTTTTATTGAAACTTGTAAACGTGACAAAGCTGCTTCTTAAAGGGTCATTGTGATGACATTCTCGTCATATTTAAAGCCACACAATCCTAAACAAAAAAAATACAACATGGGCATTTAACTGGATCGATACCGGGCTTGTACTCATACTCATGCCATTGGACCCGATCCAGGGAACCGATACTCGAAAGTTGGCTGTGAGAAAACAAGCTACCAGCAAGCAAGCTAGCGACAAGTGGACAGAATATCGGCCGTATGGCAGTTTTTTAAAGAAAACTTAAACACCATCCATTCATTCACTCTTTACATTCATACCTATTGTACATGTTTCTAGTGGTAGGGGAAACCGGAGGACCAGGAGGAAACCTACGTAGAAACAGGGGGAACATTTCACTCCACTCAGGCCCTGTTCCGACCGGGATTTGAACCCTGCAGAGAAGCGATACTATCCACTCAGCCACCATGCCGCCCTCGTACTTGTAACTTTTTGAAAATGTAGTATTGGTGCATCCCTACATTTTAAGCAACAATTACAACTGTCAAAACAAAATAGGTCTATCACAATTGTTTACATGCATGTGTTTTGTTTTTTCACATTTTAAAGATTTTTAATATTAGTCCACACAACATTGTACTTTTACAACACTCTTTCTGTTGGAGCAAACTAAATCAATTGTTTATGGGAAAGTATCCTGGTTTTAAATACATTACAGTTTTAACACATGGTGTGGGAGTTCAATAAGTAGAAAGACATTTACAACCATAGACATTTCCTATAGACCGTACACCAGCGCTAAAAGCAATGGCCTGAACAAACATGACAAATAAGAAGTCCGCCCTGCACCCCTTCGAAGGCTGCATCTTGAGTTTCACTGCCAGAACGCTCTAGGACCTAAAGTGTGGGCCCCTGAATCCAGTCGGGATCATATTGCCCTTCCTCTGCAGTCCCCTTCACTCACATATGTACACACACACACACACACACAACCACACACACACACACACACGTACCCCCTAAAAGGCAGGCCATGACAGACCCTCACCATCCCAATGACCCTGTCCCATCTCCACTTACCTGCTTATCCAATTACCTACACACTGCCCACTAAACAGCACCTCAATCAACATACACCCACTCTACGGCTCTTTTTGTTTTTCCTCGATGACATGCCGGGCAGCCGCGTGTGATTTGGGATCTGTGCATCTGACCACATTTTGAAACGTTTGACTACTAGGCTCAACCGCTCACAGGTCTTTCAAGAGGGGGGGGGGATAATTCTTTCCCTTTCCTGAGATCCTAGCTGCTAGACCCATTACGGCCGGGACCTGTTCACGCTATGACAGATTACACAGGATGCTAAAAATGCAGAGGTGATAAATGGTGACAGGCCTAAGCACTTCGACAAACAGGTAGAACACAATCTCTATTCCAGGTGGCTAAAACGGAGGGAAACTGTGTCCAGTGGGCGCCAAAGAACCATTACTTTGCTTAGTGCTTCAGCAGAATTAATGAATCCATGAGTAGTTCAGATCGCAATGGCCTTGTGGATAAGTGAGGCAACATCCAAAGCGTAAACTATTAAAAGAGAGAAGTAACTATGATGTCACCGTTTGTCTTACTGTGGAAGAAGCCGATTAGAGCTAAATCTCGAGTCAAATTTGTGGGAAGTAAAAACCTAGCAACCAATGAGCCAATCAGGAGCATCACTGGTCAGTTCCTGCTCGCACTACTCACTAGCTGAAGCCAAATTCAGGGAAGAGCTTTGTTAGGGGACATATTTGGATGTTCAAAAATCATATTAATATAAACACCAGGATCAAAGAGAAACACAAAAGGATGATTGTAACACAAATAGGGCTGAAACAACTAATCGATTAATCGACGACTAATTGATTATTGAAATAGTCGACAACTATTTTAGTAATGGATTAATCGTTTTCTGGTTCACACGGACTCAAACAGAGCAAAAATTACATGAAAATGTAGTATTTTTGATTAAAACCGACTTTTTTTTATAATTTCATGAATATCTTTCTGTCTCATCCAATCAGATAGCAGAATTAGCACAAAGAGCCTGTTACAAACATTTACTTTAAGTTTACGGCATCAATACGTCCTCGAGTGTTGCCACTTTAGCTTTTTGTGATGAAAAAATATGTTTTTTCTACACAATTCACAGCCAAGCGATTACTCGATTAATCGTAAAAATAATCGATAGATTAATCGATTACAAAATAATCGTTAGTTGCAGCTCTAAACACAAACGGTTTCTGAGGAAAATAAGTTTGATTTCACTGTAAGTGAATAGAGCCAAAGCAAGATGGAGCAAAGCTACATCCAGCCCTGTTGGGCTAGCAGGTTAGCATTGTTCATCTATTTACAGTCTATGATTCCAATTTACATTCCATTTAGAGGGAAATGTATAAACTATGCTGTTTCATTAGCTATCAACTGTGAACTACATAAATGTTGATATTTCTTATGACGTGTGTGTTTCTCTGGAGCCATACAACCACAAGAGATTACGAAAATATTCAGTTATGTCCTCTGGGACACGTAGCAGGTAACTGAACTTTTGTTTTGTAACTCAGCAACAACAAATGAAAGTTTTGGAAAATATAAATGAAATAGAGGATTTATTGTATAAATTCAGTCATGTTCAATTACTTTAATAAAATCCACCTTCAGCTGCCCGACATTTATAAGTCTATAAACTTACGTAAACACTTACACTGACTATACTACCGAATATAATGACTTTTCTTGAAGATGACTCTGAGTGAGTCAAATTTCTCCTCAAATTGTAAATTTCTCCTGTCTAAGATCAATAAAGACTATCTTATGTTGATTAGAAATGTGGGTCTTGAATATTACGGGCAGAATGACTGGGTGCCTGAGGGAAAATTACTTTATTGTCAACATTATCATAATTGAAGTAAAAATTGAAATAACAATTATGAATGTAATTAATAGCACAGACAAAACGATAGTTTTAACTGATAAAGGGAAGTGAATACTCAGATAACAACACTCTTAAATGACAATGCTGTACTGAGGGGCAAGAGGGAACATATTGCTTATTTCAACCCAATAAGGTAATGCAATTCAAACTGATTTGTGTAAAGTGGCATCAGAA